CCGCGCGTGTTGCCGGTATTCCTGGCGATGGGGAACGATAGTCCGTAAGCAACATCGATCACGGCGGGCACCTCCCGCCGGTTTCTTGCGGAGAAGCCGAAAATCGAACTGGGACAAGCGCAAGTCAGGTTTTTCAATCGATTCCATTCCGTCTCAGAAAATCGATTTTACGCCGTATTCGCGATTTTGACGCGAATCGCGGTCGCCGAACAATGTCGTTTTTTTAATGAACGCTGGATCTTTCCGGCGCTAAAAACGTGCGCTAATGGAAAATGTTTTTATCACTATAAGCGTGATCTGCTCACGGACGTCGCTTTTCTCTTATAACATTTTCTTGCAGGATAATAATTGCGTTCGCACGCGAGGGTAATACGTTCTCGGTACTCGTTTCGTTACACTGTTTACTTGAATTCATTGAAATACGAACACACGGGTAAGAGATGAGATTTTTGTGACAGCTCGACGTCTTTCTAAGTTACTTAACAACGTACAGATTGAGTTGCCAATCCGATCAGGATCTCTAAATTCTTTCACGGCCAGTGACCGATACAAATTGTCATTAATCATCGGTATTGATGGGTGGGATGGGTCAAGACATCAATATCCAGAGCGTGGCTCGGAGGGACGTCTCTTTTATGACTTAAATTTTTTCGAGAAAGCATCCTCATTGTGCCCTTATAATCGTAACTAATATTCAGCAATTGCGATCGCGTTCACGTAACGTAAAACTTTCTCTCAAGAAATGACCTTACGATATTAACTATTCGGCGCATTGCGTGCGTTGCACAAACGCCGATGGAAAAAACTGGTCATTTTTACGCAAGCTGAGTTCCATTTAATCGTCTTGACAATTAATTAATAGCTTAACTGCAACCTACCACGTTTAATGCGTTCGAAACGATATCCTAACACTATCGTCGATCAATTATCGATTTTGCACGTCAATTTACGAGGTAACAGCCGATTGATCCGGCGTATAACCGCTGCTTTTAATGCAGTACACGGCTAGCTAAGTCCAGACTACTTAGCCGAGATTGTTATATCGCTACTCCGTCATTATTACCGCAACCACTAATTGCCTGATCGTTCGCCAGTCTAGCGCCAGTCACCACTTGCATCAGTTTCCATGTCGGAAAATCTAAATCCGCAGCATAACGAAGGTCGTTAATATTTCGCGAAATTTATTTCCGCATTTGTTTATCACCGTTTGTTTATCACTACGTGATTAATGGCATTCTTGAATAAATTTCCTACCGGTACGCGCTAGTGCAGTGAGGAGACTAAATTATATCCGTTATAAATTGAATTATTTTCATTGCATAATTATAGAGTTATTCTGGTTGTGAGATAAGTTTTGTGCGTTATTAGCGACTATTTGTAAAAACCGAGGAATGGCTTTTGCCGAGCGCACCTTGAAAATCAAAATTTTCTTGATTAAGCTGTTAAACGCAGTAAATGAGCGAGAGTTGTAGAAAATCGGAATTAAACGCGCGAGCGAAGTTTTATGGCGATTTCGACATGGCAAATTATTAAACGTTTATATAAGTGACACGTATTTTTATGACCTCCTGGAATTGGCTCTTTCGGACTACGGATTTATTTCATCTCTGCATTCATCCCGCTTAACGTAATGCAGTAAACTGTCGTGCAGGAATTTCAATTACGAGCGGCAGCGTTCTGGGAGGAGACAGCATACGTCAGGTATAAATTTATCCTAGATTATACGCGATCTAAAAAAGACATAATGTTCTTTTGCGCCTGTATATCTCGTCGTCGTGCATTTTCCATTACGGTGGTATTAACCGAGCCCGACATTCCTCCGGCGTGATGTTTCATTGATCAGAAAACGCGAACACGTTGTTCGGCTGGTTACGCTCCGACGCTTACGTTACGCTCCGCATTCTTCCTTCCCTCCTCCACGAAATGCCTCTCTTCTTTCGCCGGTTATTATCCTTCCTCTATCAAGCTCGAGCCAGCATCTTTAGCCAGTCAATGAACTCGGCCTCGTTTTGTCATTGTCGTGGCTCTAATTGCTGTCCTTTGCGCAGAGCATATCGCCGTTACCGCCTAGATATACCTCTTCTCTTTGACTAATCGTAAGTCTTGATGGGAACAGACTCAGCAGAGCCTTCGTTAACAAGACTGCTGTTTGATGAGATACTGAACGTTATTAAAACACAAATTAATATTAAAGATACAACAGTAACTAGTTTATTGCTCCTGACAAAAGCTTTGACAAAGTAATTATAATTCGAATGTTATCCTTAAATATGCTTCTTGAGACTTTTAAGTCTTGTTATCTTGATGATACTTTTCTTCTATTCTCTAAAAATTATTTATTTATAAGTTTGTTAATTTATCGTACGAGAAACAGTCTTCCATGGTCCTTGATATTATCTTTTTTTCCACGAGATTATTACAATTGCGCGCAATTTTCTTTTTTTCTAGAGATCTCCTTGAAGAATTCAATTTCTCGAAATCTTGATCTCCTTTATCGTTCTTTTTCACAATTCTTTATTAAGAGGCTATACATTCCAGGGTTAATGATCTATTATTTATACGTCGGCGATAGCTTAAATGCAGTCATGGTTTTTCAACCGAAGGCTTTTGTGGCGCTCGCCGTTGCAAGGATGCTTTGTGAAAGGGAAAAAGTGTGATACCTGTACGAGGTCCGTTGATCCCCGCGCGGCAGGTCGTTGCCCTCGCCGCTGCACTATCATGGCTAAGCTAAAGGACGGACCGTGACGGTGCGATTCCGAAATTATTATCCCGAGGATCGTGATTTCGCGGGTTTTCGATTCTATATCTCTGCGCCAACTTGTCCGCGCTGATTTAATTTCTCTGAAGTCGCATCTCCGCGATCGTTCAATCCTCGCAAGTTTTCCTCGATAGCATTCGGACTCGTCGCTTTCAGTACGTAGTACTTCCTCTTTTATCATAGTTAGACGATCGCGAGACCACCAATTCCTGCCTTTGTTGCTCGCGAGAGAGCGAAACTATCGCGGCCACGTTCGGAAGTATTCTACGGCCGCGGCCGTTAGTTTGGCACATCGCGTGGCTATAGTTAGCTTGATGCACCGCCAGAAATTGCAAGCGGGCGCATAGCTATTACGCTCATTGCGGCCAATGTGCTTTTTCTTGTCGCGTCGCAAAGTTGCTCGACGAAAGGACTAAGACGAAAGGAGGGCTTGCTATCTCTTTGGTAAATCGATAGCGAACGCTGCATGATATATCGGAACTACGTAGTTCCGGCAAATCGGAAATAGTCCACCTCAAACAGGTCATACTCGATCTCAAAGACATTCCAAATGACAGATGAAATGGACGACAACGAGGGATGTAGCCATGTAACGTTAGCCGCGACGTAAATTCTAAACTTTGTCGCAGTCTGCGTGCATGACCGCGCTGTTACTCGGTTAACGACCCAGGTCGAGTTATCCATTGAATTATTCCCCGCCCTTCCTCGTTTCAGCCGGTTCGCGTGCGGGATCATTGTTCGTTTCATTTAATGTACGATAGCGGTCTAGATATTCCGATCCTTTTTTGTGCAATAGCGCGATGCTTGTCGTTCCTCGGATGTCCAACGTTGCACAACACGGAAAGAAAAATCTGTTTCTTTTTTAAATACAACTATAAATAATTCGTACCAACGCATCGCGGCGCAGGATGCTTTTTTTAAACGTTCGGAGTAAGAGACCAGGCGTTATATAAATCGCCATGGAAATTGATGGGGCGCGCGATCTTTCTCTCTCTCTCTCTCTCTCTCTCTCGATAGTCTATGTGTTCTATGTTTAGCGACTCCTTTCGCGCTCCCCAAAGGGTCCCGGAAGCCCTTAAAGCTTCCCTGCACAGACAGCAAGTGAAGTGAGTACACTTGCGTGTACGTAGTCCATTGCCCGCAACGGTTTCTCCAGTCTGGACCGTCGAGAAAACCGCAACTGAGATTATTGAGACACTCGTGCCGGGTCCTGAAAGCCACAAACCTCCAGACATATGTCATTTGCGGTAAAAAATAACATGTATTTGTCTCCCCAAAAAACTGTCATTTAATTACGGCGCCCACAAGAAAGAGGAAACACCACGAAAGTTGCGTTGACGCTAAAAGACTTCTCGTATTGCATGATCTTTTTATAATGTTTTTTTTTAATAAACACAGTTAAATGATAATTGAATAATTCAATGGCTGTAGTTGAATACCATTTTTTAATTTACAACTACTGTTAAATTAAAAGTTAATAATCGAGCTTAGGTTTTACAGAATAGACCATTTCAGGGTTAAAAATAAAGATGCAAAGAATATTTGCCGAGATCGCAACACATGTATCTATTTGATATAATGATGTTTATTAGTTGCGTTACGTAATTGATGTGCAATTGACGTCTTTAAAGCACTTCAGACACTTCGGCACACGCAACAACTCCTTAAGTGCATTTGCACGTTCTTGAATTCGAAGGAGTAGCGAAAAAATATCGTAACTATATTTGTTTGTGCACGAGACAAGTAGCAATATATTTCGAGCAATATACTTTGTTAAATATTTATCCGTAGATAATTACTGATCAAATGTTGCAAATTTGTGAAAATCACAGGAAAACCTACAAGATGTTTTATCGTAGTAAATTGCTTTTGATTTCTGTGAATCGATAAGTGCTGTGCGCACGAATACAGGTTTTTTAAATTTATACCTTATAAAGAAAAGTATGTCGATTCGCACTACGCGCACTATAAATGGAAGCTACCCTTTTTTTACGGTTGCTGATGTACACACGATAGAAAGTAAAAGTTATCAAGGAATTTTTCAAACGGTTGATGTTGTCGATTGCGCTACGCAAGTAATTTCTAAACCGTAACATTTTAGTTAACAAAATTTTTGCTGAATCTAAAAATTATTTCGTTATAATAACAGATTATTCTACCGCGATAGCAAAATGTCTTATTTAATTGGCAGCAAATTTATATCTACTTCTATGAATAAATTTATTCAAAAGTCGTCAATAAATTTAATAAAACAGATTTTATTGTGATATCAAATAATTGATTATGGCAGCATCGCTTCTTATAGACCGAGTGTGCAGGAGCAGCTACAATGCTGCTCTTGGTAACAGAATTCTTTCCTCCCGTGTAGTCTTTCCTCCATGATGTTTCCTTATTTTTCTACGTCAGTGGAGACTGACGTAGTGGAAGTTCTTCCCTGTTTTGAAAGAAAGTGAGAGATCACAGAAAGAGTGAAGAGAAGCGGACGCGGAAGGGGATATCTTTCTTTCACATAGACTACATAGAGGAACTAACGGTCTGCTGAATTATTTAAGACATGCCGATGCAGTTCGCGTGAAGCACATTCCCTTGCACGTACGCAACACCGGCGTACATCCGTAAACACATTCGTCAGCTTCTGCGATACCAACGAGTATCAAATATAGCTTTCTCCATTGTGTATCGGTTGTCACAAGTTCGCCACCTTGTATACTGCGCGCCCGTAGATACTACTTGAATCGTCCTATAAATATTACATGGTATGTTTTTTCTTAGATAGACGATAAGAAATTAGTATTGCTGATGAGATGCGTTTAACATAAATATCTCCAGTACTGACGCAGTGTTTTGTTACCAAAGCAGACTTTGAAAAATTGTACTTTCAATATTCTGTTCTCTTTTTATATCCTCTTTTTTTGAAAGTCATTTGTTAAAGAGTTCAGTACGCAAAACTTAAAGAAGCTGTTCCTCTCATTCTCTACTTTTCTCGTTTTCTGTGAGCTTAATTTAGAAAGTTTTTCAATGCGTCTAAACGTATACGAGACGGTGCATAACGTATTGTGCATTCATCATTCAACGTTCTCCCGGCGCGACGTGGATCAAATATACGTCTTGCAACGTATGAATACAACGAGGAGGATTTATTTATACGAGGGATATCGCGTCTGTTGACCATTCAGAAAAATGTCGCGCCAACAAGTCGACTACGTCAGATTCCGACAGTCGATTCGCGCTTCGTGTCTGGCAGGTAAAAAGATGAAGTAAAAAGATTCGTTTTACTTAGCGGACTATATTAACGTGAGCAAGTTTTACACGACAACACGATTAGACGTGATAATGACCACCGCGACGCGAACTCCTATTTGCATCTCTAATTTCTGCCTGACGTATTAAATCCTGATAAATAAATCGTTCTCGTGGAGTAAGCGAAATGAGATACTCTGGAATTAAACGGACGTAACTTGACACCGCCTTTACGCTTCGTTCTCTTGAAAATCTCAGCTCAACATTCACGCGCGACGGTAGGTTTTTCGTCCATCGCTTATACACGTACAAGTTTTAAATAAATGTAATATTGATGTCACAATTTTTCCGAAATTTTACAAAAGCGCACACAAGATATACTGTCCCAAATTTAATTTTTTACTAGATAAAAACCGCGCGTGCACTCTTCTCGTTTTCTCGTTTTCTCCTTTGAGCATTTAAAACACCAAATTATCGTATTTACGCATTTTTACGTATGTCCCATCGTGAAAATTAACAAGTCAAATGGAATTTTAACTGCCTCGAGCAAAGAAATATGTACAATAAAAAAAATATAGCATTTTATTCTCTGTATAAATTGCACTCGACATTAGCAAAAAGCGATGAGAAAAGTCACGTACGAGCGCAAGAGCAGCAAAGAACTGACTATCGATTTATCGTCAGCCGTGTGCTTCGAGCGCATGACGATAAAACGTTTGCGTCTCAGTAAAACCACCTACGGTCGCGCAGTAATGCTGCAGTAGGTTCACCGTTACAACTCCCACTGCGCGCACAGCTGCCCAGTTTACGTCGTTTCTACACGCAATATTTTATGTAACGGTCATCAACAATCCGATGTTCAAGATATTGTACGTTTCCTCGGTTAATTACGGCCGCACGAAATGCAAAGACCCATATTGTCTGCAGCATAACTTGCGAGACGTTCTATTTATAATTTTAGAGATGCCTTTTCTTTTAGATAATCTTTATTACGAAAAATATTGGAAGAATCAGAATGCACGTATATAAAATATTATATAATAGATATGCGGAAAAAATATATATATATCGCGTATATATTAATATATGTAAAATTATAAATTTAAAAAAATTAAGTTTTTATTTTTATCGCTAGAGAGAATTATTTAGACGTGTCAAAATTATTGATAGCATTAATAAAATCGGATCGTATATATACTAGAAAGCGGTGTATCACGTCGAAACTTCAGCGGATTACTCCTGTTCTCTGCATTTTACGGCTTCAGTTGCGAGGCTTTTACAACTATATGCAACAAATATTTGCGTTTGTTACACTGACGCAGTTTCTGTCTCGGCGTGCCACCCGAGGATATTTACGCGACAGACTAGTTGGAGAGATTGTAACAATCCTGATATTTATTGTCTTCCGTATGAGCAGAAGGTGCGGTTGCTTCATGTCCATTGACTCGGCGGGCTTGACTTGGCTTTCATCCCGGACGAACTAGCTAGACTAGTATATCTCGGCTTGTACAGGATGTTTTCAAAACCGTCGGACGTTATTTTCACTGTAGATTTTTTGCTCGATTTGATGTCTTTTCTCAACGAAAACATTTAGGCGCCCACGATCTTCGAGCAATTAAAGAAAAAGAAACAGAAAGCTTCCGAAGTAAGCTCTAAAAGCGGAAAGATTAATGGCAACGTCATATTTTTCAGTCAATTTCGATTCGCATTGATATACAGAGTAGAATTTTAATTTGAAATGTAGCTACGAATATGTACAATAGGATTGAAGGGGTAACAAATGATGACTGCTAAAGTGGTCGAAAAGAAGCTGCGGTTAAAAGGCATATCCGGTAGCTCTGCAATATCCTGTAGAATCAGTTGTAGGTCGCGGCGACGTAGGGGGTATCTGCATTGGTATAGTATAACCACTCGGTCTCGAATACGAGGGTTCGAATACAGGAAAGAAGGGGTCGACTCAAGGGTGGGAATCAGGGAGCGGACCGAGAGAGGGAGAGAGAAAGAGAGCCGGATTTCTGTCAGTTCTCTTGTCGTTACAGACTGCGCGGCGCCTCACGCTCTAAATCTACAGTTAATTACTAATCCGCCTCGTGTGATCCGAAATAAACCGGTCAACACGACCTACCTACGTCCCGGCATTAACGTCGATTGTACTATACATGATTGACAAAGAAAGCGGAACGAAAATGAATGTTTAAATATATAAAACAAGATATACGACCGAATTGTGATGTGTAGTTTTTTTTTACATATATAAAAAGTACCCAAAAAATTGCTTTATTATAGTCATTACAAGAAAATTACGACTTAATGACATTTTATAGTTATACTAATTTCAATAGTCATTTAACAAATTGACAGAAATTATTACTCTTCCGAGAAACACAGAACTGTTTATCGCAATTAACACATGCATTTCTAGGAATTGATTAATTGTCTTTTTCAATAATCCTGTTGCCGAAAAAGAATTTTGAATACGTTTCCGTTTGTATCTTGGAAAATGTTTTTAACTTATCTTGTATATTGCGTTATGTGTACGTGGGATGATCTCTCTCTTCCTCTTTTTCTCTCTCGCGGCAGATTATACCTAATTAATTCCTAGAAATGTGATTACGTGTAAAACTCTACTCCTACGTGTCCTTGCATTCCTGTAAATGGACTAATTATATGTCGTATCGCAGAAATGTGCCAATAATATCCGAACAGACTCAATAAATATTGTTTCGCTGCAGATCCCTTGAGCTTGCTGTTATTTACGGCGCATGAATTTTACGACCTACATAAAAAGATCTCTGGGATTTGATTAAGATTCATTTCCATTTTTCTTTAAAAAATTATGAATTTTGATTGGAAATCTATAAAGATTTAGATAAAAAGTATTATGTTTTGCTTTGTTTTTTTAAACTTGAATTTTTTTTACAAGTAACGTGGAATTTTTACGAAAAGTGAATTTTGGAATATACTTTTATATTCCTGTTCGAGCTATTACGATAAAAAAGATAATTAAAATAATCGCGTGCCGAATCTGACTTTGCGAGAAAAAAAAAGAAGAATCGAGAAAATTACGTAAGAGAAATCTTGAATGAGCATTATTATTACACATATGAGCTTATTTATCCTTAATATTTATATGCGTATATGTGGTTGTAATATTTAAATTTATTTATTTAAGAGCGCATTTAAATTTGATGAAGGAAAAAAGATGTAAAGATTTGAAAAAATGCGAATGCGGGGAGCATAAATAAGGCTTCTTAAATTTCATCTGAATAATTTACCTTCAAATATATGTAAAGTGGTATTTTATCTTTTTTTTTTCAGAGTGACCCTAGTACTGCATTTTTACGGGCAGCTCGTGCTGGGCAACTCGAGAAGGTTTTGGAATACTTGGAGTCCGGAGTAGATATCAACGCTTCTAACGCCGTAAGTTATCGATCTTTTTGCGGATTTTGACATAGCGTGTATTAGTCTCTCGAGAAGAATCGCACCTTAGCGATAATATGAATTTTATATATTGTAGAATGGCTTAAACGCTTTGCACCTGGCAGCTAAGGACGGCCACTTGGAAATCGTGAGAGAACTCCTAAATCGCGGCGCGATTGTGGACGCCGCTACCAAAAAGGGAAACACGGGATTGCACATAGCTTCTCTTGGTAAGCGCGTGCACACGTTCTCATCTCTCTCTCTCTCTCTCTCTCTCTCTTATCCTCTTCTCATATGGACCTCGTCGCTCGTTAAATGCATACGGGACAAGGACGCGAATGATTTTAAATAAACGTTTATTTCTCTCGAGGCTTGCGATGCCTCCGATATCATGCGTCGCAAAGCGATGTCTGTCTGCGAGACGAATAATTCGCGTGACACCGATATTTTCTTTCAGCTGGACAAGAGGAGGTTGTACAATTGCTGGTACAACGAGGTGCTTCTGTGAATGCACAATCGCAAAATGGGTTCACGCCGCTGTACATGGCTGCTCAGGAAAATCATGACTCTGTGGTCAAGTACCTCCTCAGCAAGGGTGCAAATCAAACATTGGCCACTGAGGTTCGTGTGAATACTATTCCATTATTTATAGAGAGTTCTCGTCGCGTCAAATGTTTTAAATATTTATACAATGTATTTATTATTTTCACAAATCTCTCTGTTTTATTTTTAAAATTAAATTATTTAATAATTCATTTATAACTAAATATACATGTTTCTCCTCGTACAGGACGGTTTTACTCCATTGGCGGTGGCTATGCAACAGGGTCACGACAAGGTAGTGGCCGTTCTATTAGAAAATGACACCCGTGGTAAAGTTCGACTGCCTGCCCTACACATTGCCGCTAAGAAAGACGACTGCAAAGCGGCTGCCCTACTTTTACAAGTGAGTTATCGTAAAGTCTTGTCATTCACGACTCGTATTTTAGACGATGCTACAATAGTAATACATAAAAATTAGCCCACGTATAATTTCTTTAATTTTTCTGCCGTTACAGAACGACCATAATCCCGATGTAACATCGAAAAGCGGTTTCACTCCACTTCACATAGCCGCACATTATGGCAACGACCGAATCGCTTCCTTGCTTTATGACAGAGGCGCGGATGTTAATTTTGCGGCAAAGGTACGTAACTATTGCAGAGAGAAAGAAGGACACTAAAACAATTGTTCTAAATGTACTCTTTTTGCAGCACAATATCACACCGATGCACGTGGCGGCGAAATGGGGTAAGATTAAAATGGTTAATCTCCTCATGAGCAAGGGAGCAAACATCGAAGCGAAAACGAGAGATGGTCTAACTCCTCTGCACTGCGCGGCCAGGTCCGGCCACCACGAAGTAGTTGACATTCTCATCGAGAAGGGCGCACCCATTGGCTCAAAAACGAAGGTATATATAAAATCGACTTCGTGCGTCTCGCCGGCAAAACGGCGCTTTCCCCCGCTTGCCGAGATTAATTAACGCTTGGTTTTTGTTGACAGAACGGTCTTGCCCCGTTGCACATGGCTTCTCAAGGGGATCACGTTGACGCCGCGAGAATTTTACTGTATCACCGTGCACCCGTGGACGAAGTGACGGTGGATTATTTGACTGCGCTGCATGTGGCTGCACACTGCGGCCACGTACGCGTAGCTAAGCTACTTCTTGACAGAAACGCCGATCCCAATGCGCGAGCGCTCAACGGATTCACTCCTCTTCATATCGCATGCAAGAAGAATCGCATAAAAGTCGTCGAACTCCTCCTGAAGCACAAAGCGAGCATCGAAGCTACGACTGAGGTATGATCGTTTTCACGTCATTCTTATTCTTACTTGTAACGTTTACGAGAATACATGATTGCAAATATATGAAAATTAACAAAATCATATCTTTTTAGTCTGGATTAACTCCACTGCACGTAGCGAGTTTTATGGGAGGCATGAATATCGTGATTTACTTATTACAACACGAAGCTAGCCCCGACATACCGACAGTGAGAGGCGAAACACCGTTACACTTAGCTGCCAGGGCGAACCAAACTGATATTATTAGGATACTTCTTAGAAACGGCGCTCAAGTCGATGCTAGAGCAAGAGTAAATATCATGTTTGATTAATATCTAATAATATAGATTATATTATTAATTAATTAATATCTAATTAATATAGTAACTTTCGTGTTGAAGATTGATTGTACAATAGTGCGGATGTAAAGAAACGCGAATTGTTCGTAGGAGGAACAGACACCGCTTCACGTCGCTTCCCGCTTGGGTAACGTCGATATTGTGATGTTACTGCTTCAACATGGTGCGGGCGTAGATGCTACAACGAAGGATTTGTATACACCGCTTCATATCGCTGCTAAAGAAGGCCAAGAGGAGGTAAGATTACAGAATGTTACACATATAACGTAGGAGACGGATTTCTTTCATAACGTGTTTTTATCATTGTGCACACAGGTTGCATCCGTTTTATTAGAAAATAACGCCTCGCTTACCGCAACGACCAAGAAAGGATTTACTCCCTTGCATTTAGCGGCCAAGTACGGCAATATGAACGTAGCTCGATTGCTATTACAAAAGAATGCGCCTGTTGACGCTCAAGGAAAGGTAAGACTCTTTTTATTTCGCATCTAAAGGTTAATTAATAGTAAAGTTAATTAACTTGCACGTATCATGCCACATTATTTTATCATAACATTTTAACAAATATTTTTTTTTATATGCGAATTGCAGAACGGAGTAACGCCTCTTCATGTAGCCTCTCATTACGATCATCAAAACGTGGCTTTACTTTTACTCGATAAAGGAGCTTCGCCACATGCTATGGCTAAGAATGGCCATACTCCATTGCATATCGCTGCACGTAAAAATCAGGTACGATCACACAACTAATTATTAAGAAACGACAGCAATTAAAATTACTTTTGTTTCCAATAGATGGACATTGCAACTACTTTGCTAGAATACGGAGCGAAAGCTAACGCAGAGTCGAAGGCTGGTTTCACACCGTTACATTTGAGCGCACAAGAAGGCCATACTGATATGTCAACCCTTCTTATCGAGCATAAAGCAGACACGAATCACAAAGCGAAGGTAGATAAAAAAGGAGCACGATGTAATTTTCAACGAACTTTTATTTATAAAATCTTACGTTATATTTATTTTTACAGAATGGCCTTACGCCGCTGCATTTATGCGCACAAGAAGATAAAGTGAACGTCGCTTCCATTCTTGTGAAGAATGGTGCTCAGATCGACGCTAAAACCAAGGTAATATAATTTATAAGCCTTTCTGTAACTTTCGTGTGTAAGCCGAAGTAACTCGCGTAGTTTTAAAAATAAGTATTCCGATTATAGTAAGACACGATCGAGTCTTTAGTTACAGAATGTTAGCACTTTATACATAATTAAATTACCATAGATGACGTGATCTTCATAAGTGATTGTTCATTGCTCTATATGTACATTGATAACTTTGAAATAACACCAATCTACACAGTGCAGTACCGTGACTGCTGTTGGTCTTAAAGCATCGTTGCAAATAAAACGCATTGGATTAAATAGTAAAATAACCCGTGAAATTAAATAAAATTGAACCTAGTTATTTAATAGACATTACATCCGATAATACAAAAAAAAGGGATCTTATGTCTTATCGTGTTTTCTCTAGGCTGGATATACGCCATTGCACGTGGCGTCTCACTTTGGCCAGGCAGCTATGGTACGGTTTCTCCTGAGATCTGGTGCTGCCGTTGACAGCAGCACCAATGCTGGCTATACTCCTCTCCATCAAGCCGCGCAGCAAGGGCATACGCTTGTTATTAATTTGCTGTTGGAGAGTAAAGCTAAACCGAACGCAGTAACGAACGTGAGTTCTATTGCTTTTTACATTGTAATTCTACATACGACGGAAGCTATCGGAATACAATATAATCACACTCAATGTAAATTTATTTTTCACAGAACGGACAGACTGCTTTAGATATCGCACAAAAGCTTGGCTACATAAGTGTCATCGAGACGTTGAAAGTTGTCACAGAGACTATTATCACAACAACTCATACCGTCACTATTGAAGAGAAATACCGAGTTCAGGCGCCCGAATCCATGCAGGAGACATTTATGAGTGACAGCGAAGAGGAGGGCGGTAAGTACTTGTTACTTAATCATTTATTATCTTTTTGCTGCTTATTATCTCTGCTGCATAATTTATTGACCAAGGTTTGCGATATCGGAACGAAACAGACTGTTATAAAGAACTTAACAAACGTGTATGTATTATAAGATGTTGATAATATTGCAATTGTTGTAAAAACAGCTTGTTTCTGATATCGCAATAAATTGTATTTAAACATTTTAACAGCTTATTGCTTAGCATAATTATTTTTGCCTTGCATATTAAGGTTTTAGCTAAAATAGAGATGATATAGAAATGTGAAAAAAAGTAAAAATGAATAGTATAATAATGCTTTCGCTTACGCTGAAGCTGAATACGCATAGAGATAACAGTATCTAACAAACTTTCTTAGTCCCTAAGGCGAAATTATATATTTAAATGTATCTACCTGCGCATAAGCGGCATATAGCGGCACGTTGTCTCACTATATTCGCGTATATATCATATATACATAGGTGAAATAAGATAGGTCTCAAAACAAAGGTGAAGCTTTTCGGTAGATACTGTAATTGCACGCCAGGAGAGCAAAATATATAATGAGTTGCATGGAGGAGAATTACGAAAACGTAATATTAGAGAACTACGAAAAAAAAAATAATTAAAAGTAGAAGTACAAGTATTTATCGACAGATACTCGTCCAATTCGTAATGCGAAGATTAGATAGAAGTAATGAATTAGCAATAGAGCTCTGAGAACAAAACAGTTTTCCGCATGTCCCCGTACAATGCATGACACAAACACTATTAGCATGTGAAACTGTTGTTAGCTACCTGATAGAAAGTGATACCTTTTCCCGATCCTCACAATCACAACGATATAAAATATATACGAGATAGTCAGAAAAAATAGAAAGAATCGCGAGTTTCAAGAAAAGAAAATTAGTCTTGTCTGTCAAAGGTCTAGGTTCTTAGTTATTTACCTATTAAAGTTATCGGATATTAAAATGCTAAATGGAATTATTTGCTTGATTGTTGCGTTTGTGTTATTTTGCAAAAGCATGCATTTAGCCAATATTCACTGGGTTGTTGTACATACATTTTATCTTTATTGAAATTGAAGAGTTAATAATCGTAAAACTGATCATACAAATTTAAAAATAAAATACGAATCAAATATTTCAACAAAAAACAGGAATTGAGTTCGGGATTGTCAACTAACAATATCTTGATATTATAAGATCTTAAATCACATATTAAATTAGAGGATCGTCTATTTATCTGTATATTGATATAGAGTTTGTAGATGTAGAAACTTCCTGTTAAAAATTTAGCCGTTTTAGCGTGGCAGAATTTCCGACACAGTAGGGACATTTAAATATCCTCGCTCCTATCTCGGAATTATCTGTAGACGAGTGCATAGAAAGACGTACTTATGTGCCTAGCAAAGAATAAAGGATGTAGTTCATGTCGGTTCGTCACTTATTAGCGATACCTACTCGGTATGCTTATTGAACAAGCCAGCGCGTCTCACTCGATCTCGACGCTTCTGCGTATAGCTTTGACGTTAGTTTTTTTTTTTAACAACCCAGTGATAGAGAGCGAAACTTAGAGAAAAGAACAAAACAAACAGTGTATATGGTGCGAAATTAGCGTTCTGATAAAACCATGACCTTACCTCGACGGCGTGTACGATGTATGTAGGTGGTGATGAAATCGGCACGGCAGCCATGAATGTGTACGGGCAGCCTCCGCACGCGCAACACGTGTACCTTCCTTCTTACTACCAGGGCCAAATGACCTATACCCGTAAGTTGTCTGTACTCTGTTTCTGTTACACTCTCTCTGTCTTCACGCGTTCCAATGCAGCAAATATGCGTAGATTACATGATACATTATATGTACACGCTAGCACTGTCGCAGAACGACGTAATCGTGAGAAGATGTGTCATTGTTAATTGTCGTTCACTTACCGATGCGACATCCCGCATAGAAATTTCCTAAAATCTTCTATATAGGTATAGATTCCGATCAGAATGCCTACACATAAATTCAATTCAAATAAGTACTAATACCTATTGCGATATTATGATGAATTGGAAAATTTATTTTTATTTCCAATAGGAGTTTGTAGAAACCGCAACGGAAACTAGATTTACACCTCTTTTTTTACAGGAATTTAAAATTAATCAACATTTATAGAAATCATTTTCATGTAAAGTATCGAATTTTTATAATACATCGCACTTTTGTTTTATCTCACAGAATAAATTTTTGAAAATAATTTGAATATTTTACACATTTGTAAGTTGCAAGAGAATTTTTGTTGTTGAATTTCTATATATTTTTTATTATTTTTAGTCCGCGTTTTTTTTTTTTTTTTTTTTTATAAATAATTCTCTTAACTTGAAAGACTGAGAACCGTCTTGTAATAATACTATATCATTTGAACATTTATTACTGATGATAAAATAAAAATCTTTAAAAGAAGAAGCTTTAGGAAGAAGCTAAGGAAACATCGGAAAGAGTTAGCTGTAGGATCTTCTTTTAAACTTTATTTTTTTATTTAATTTAGAATCGCGTTTGCAAAACATTGCGCTTCTGATCAGAATCTTCGTAGATTTTCCACAGACTGAGTCCATAATTCTTTTGGGAAATCGGATCGGGCCTTCAATTAAATTCCAGAACGTTTTCTATGTGGGAGCAACTGCTTCGTTATTTTTGACGATTAGAGCATCGTGACGTAGCGGCATACGACGTAGTTATCGATCATCAATAGATTGTTGTCGTCATCGTTATTATTTCCCCGCGGTAGCGTTCGTACATCCGCATCTCGGATCACGCTCCACTCTTTCACGAGTACATCTCGACCTAATCGAAACTTTCATACATCAGATCTGCATACAGAGACACGCACAGACACAACTGTTCCTCGCCTGCTATTTCTGTCACACATTTATTATTTTCGCGCGTTCGTCTTTCCACTATCCTCCCTTTCTCTCCCTCGCGAATCTTTTATTTTTGATGGTAGCACTTCAACGATACACCAAATTACACCGTGCAAGTTATATTCTGAATACCCTGCAAGTTACATCGTGATTTTTAATTATGTCTGTTTTCCATGAAATCGTAAAACACTCTATTAAGAGAAGGCTTCGTTTAATACAATTACATTGTACTATAGAAAATTTTTTATAAAAGAAGGCGTTGCTGATGGCATATTTTACTATTTTTATAAAACCTGAGGAGTGTCATACACACGTGATTCAGTCGATTGTAACGATATCACCGTAATACGTCAGAGATTTAGAACGCACCTAGTGCACTATATATTCGTTGCATATTCTTAAGATTCTTAGGATACTTTCCTTAGACAAGATCGAATTTAAACGCAGATAATCTTAAATTTCTGACATAATCAGGATACCTATGATATAGTTCTGACATTATTATGTAATCTTTCTATGGAATCCTCTTGATCTCGTGTAGACAGCGACGTATTATCTATCTGTGGTTTCAGTTGTGACACGTTCCTAACGCGATCAACGCGATCTTATAACTATAAAAAGCAATATGCATATCACCGATGTGATCGTTATCATTATCCCGCGCATAATAAATAAACGATATTCTTTCATTACCGTGGCTTTGTTCAACAATCAATGAAGCAATCGAAGCGACGGTTCTTGCTTTTATTTATTGGAACAAATATCTAAAAGAATGCGAATTAACGTGTCGAAAGATCCACTGCCGCAAATAAAAAATCATACAAGACGCTATTAGAAGATATGAATAATAAAAAATGCGAACTGTGTGCAACGTCAATGTTTACAGGCAGATACTTTGAAACACAAGACTTCTCAGCAAAATTAAAATTAAATTCAATTCTCGCCTCATATAGAGAATCAGACTCAACTAGAATACATAATCTTTTTGGGGAAATCGGACTGGATCTTATAATTGCCAGTATATAATTTCGGTATATAATTCCCAAAAAATTTTTTAGATACCACACGATTTAATACGAACAAAATTTTATTTTTTTCTCATTTATTCACACGAGGTTTATGCTCAATCTATCTGATCTAGTGACTCTCGGACTTATTCTCGGATTTTTTTAGTTTTTCGCACTTACACGCGTCGAAAGTGTCAAAAGCGATGAACGCACGGAATCGTTCGCGACTATGTCGGAAGTAGAGAGGCACATGAATTTAACTCTGCAGGGGGGACTTGGTCCTCTGGTTGACTTTACGTACGTTATAAAAGCGATGGAGAACAGGGCGTGCGGCTACCGTTAATGCAATTTACATAATAACGAGCTGCGCGATCGTTATACCAGCCGACCGAAGCGCGCGCTTCGACGTCGTCCTCGTCGACGTCGCGTCGTCATCATCATCGTCGTAGTTGTACCTACCACACGGTACCGCCCTCCACTTCGACAGCTACCTGTTATGCAACCGCCGGCGTGCGTATCGCAGCCGCGGTTATTAGTGCAGTCAGTCCAACCCCTGCCGCCTGGCGTGCCGCCAAACACGGATCCCGCGGACCGAAATAATCTTTGTATTTATATAACGTTACACGCGCGGTGGTCGTTGATTAAGAGGAGGAAGAACAGAGAAGAAATAAAGCGTGCGAATTGTAACGCATTCACACACGCGTCGACGTGCCCACGCTTGGCCGCGTGTATCTTGGTGAAAGATATCGCGTCCGTAGAGCGCGTTTTTCAACGGGGTCGATCATAATATCATTGAATATATCGATGAACTTGAGAAAAAATTGTCGAGGAACTAACTCTCTTCATTCCATGAAAAAAAAAGGACTATTTCTTCCGAAACTTTGTTCCCGCTAACTGACGAACGACAAGTAATTCCATTCTGTTATCTCATGCTGCGCAACAGCTTTTTATCTTTTTTTTCCCACGGTGAACTTCGACCTATGTAACGTCGTCGCGATACGTTACAAATTGGCTTTATCTACTAATTGGCGCCGCTACGATTTGATCGACACGTAAATCGCTGGTGAAGTACGCTCCTCTCGCGTACCCTCGTCGTAACCTTCTCCCCGGCGCTAAGAAAGGCGCCGCGATGCCGATCGGATACTCCGACGCGGTAAATAAAGTGGCGGGAAAAGCTCAAAGGCAGCTACTATTATAAAATTGGTGATTCACGGAATGAGGTCACGTTCCTAGCGAGCCAGTTGCCGGTCGAACCTGTATCAATCTTCCCCGAGCAGTCGCTGTTCCTGACCCCCGTTCGACGCCCACCGCCATTCGAGCACGCGCGCGAAAATAAAGGAAGTATTCAACGCGCCCGTGCTTAACGCAATTAAACGAATTGGATCTAATCGAGTGGATGCTTAGCCGCCGGTCGACCCATCGACCGTGTGCCAGTGTGCGGTATTCAAAGTGAGGCCACGGCCTGCGAACTGATAAGCCGTCGCGCGATAAGGAGCGAAGGACCGAGTCAAGTCGCGTCGATCGATTTCCTGAAAAAAAAAAAAAAGAAAAAGATAATAATAAAGAAAGGAAAACGTACCGACAACGCGACACATTGCCGGTTATCGCCCTGCAATCTCACCCGCGGTAGAAATCTCAATGTAAAAATATATCGGTCGTTGCATTTTCTATATTCGTTCCGGGCCACCTGCATATCGAGTACACACGTTGCACGCGAAGTTCCGGATGGGCTATCGGACGGCGCGTCGCGATAGTGCATCAGTGCGCTAACGACGCTCGAGAAGATACGGAACGTTTCCTCCAGGAGGGAGATTCGGCGGAACGAATTCTACGAGAGGGAAAAAGAAAGAGCGCGGGTGAAACGCATCAGCGAGCATGGCTAAGGGAAGAGCGAAGAAAAAGGGATTCACGTGCGGCTGTTCGTGCGGGTGTGGCAGCAGGAACAGTGACGTATTATGTAAATATCGTGCATCTGTTGCGTTACACCGCCGCTTATGCCACCGCAGCCGTCCATCCGCAACGTTCACATACGATCCTCCCGATCCCGATCGCTCGCGCGAGCGAGCGGAAATCGCGAAGCAGGCGAACGCGAATTTATCTCTCCTTTGACCATTTAGGGTGAAACGCTATTCCCTTATACCGGACATCAGGCGGATCATAATGTAGAATCTTGTAATATAGGATATTTATTATCGATCAAATAAAATGCTTTGAAAAATGTCGAGAAAAGCAAGTGGGATCTGTATGGATTCCTTTAAGATCACTTTACGCTTTGTGACTTGAGTCTTTATAAATTTTCCAATCGGAATCCAATTTCAATGCGATCGTGCAAAAGTGATGCAAAAAATTTCTTTACAAAACAATGGCTTTGCGTTAAGTTTTCTTCGATAACTGATGCTTACTAACAACGATAACGTGTGCCGCGCCACGCGACTGTGTTGTCATAACGTTAAGTACGTTAACGAACGTTAAATACTAACTTCCCACGGGCCTTTGTTCATACGACATAACACATTCTTGTAATTAAACATTATCTAGTTATGTCTAGAGTTCTACGTCATCAAGCTTTACGTCATCAGCTCGAGGTACTAATTAAGCTGATTTATTTTTCCGATGTATCTTATATGCGATGCAATTTTTTCATCGCATTTATAATTTTAAATTGGTTTAAAAATATATTAGTTGCGTATTAATGAGAAGTATCTTGAAGATCTGCAATAAATTATGAGCTCGAAGAAAATTTTTTTATTACGTTATTTTTCATTAAGTAGATTTATTATGTTGTCTTCAAGAGTTTTTTTTAGTTTATTAGAAATAATTAGGTTTTCAAAATTCCACGTTACAAAAGACAAGATTTTTTTTTTATCTTTATACGTACAATAATAATTTATTTTTATAAAGAACAATACATCCAAGCAGCAAAAATCTGCAAATTATAGTAAATATTTCAGTATGCATAAAAAATGCAGAGTAAATCGGACACAGATAATTAAATGTGCTAAGATGTACATCCCGGAATATCTCGAAACCCTATAGAGGAGGCAACATATGTTCAACACGTTTCACGTGTTACTCTTGTGTATTTACTGACGCCGGTGTTACTATTACGTGATAATCGAAGTGCTTACGAAGAGATAACAGACCACGCCGTGTCGCGCCACGCGACCGTGTTTTCGCAAGCACGAGAGTGGTAATGAAAGCTAAATGCCCGCGCTCTGTGGCCCATTGTTCACATCGGAATCCAAATCGGGGGCGCGTCGTAGCCGCGGAGTGAATGATGGATATCCTCGGGCGTACGCAAATATCAGGGCGCAAAGATTCCAACCCGCGGAAGGGGTATTCTCGCTCTCGAAAATTTTGATTCTGTCCTTCGCACAAAAATATTTGTAACCCAAATTGATTTAAAAAAAAGAGACAAATTTATTTTATTTATTTTAATCTTTACGTAGATGACGGATGATAAAGCGAAATAAAATTCTTGCGATGAAGGACAAGGATGAAAATAAAGGGAGGAAATTAAGAGAATTGAATTGATGTCAGAGATTTCGAAGAGAGCTTTCCAATAATCTGTTAGCTTATTAATTTATTATCTCTTTGACCGTCGATTTTTTTTCATCATGAAACAAGTGTACTGAAATACAATCGGACTGTGTTCTGTCGTAATTTCGTGTCGTAATTTTATAGAACATCGCAAACCGCAGAATCGTCCCTGATTTCGAGGGACGCTCGCAGCGCGCATTTAGCACTGAATGGCACTGTTGTTCAGATTCCCGTGTATTTCTGCACGATACACGAAGTACAGAGGCATTTAAATGCGAAATAATTTTACGATTTCAAGAGAAAAACAGGATTTATGATTTCGACGCGAGAAATCGACGACGCGAAAATTATTTGCCGCGCTAATTAGCACTCTACGCTCGATCGCATCGAATGCCGCGTCGTTTGCGGATTACATCTGCATTTTCCTTGGAAGTTATAGCGCTCGCGTGTGGATGACGATCTCCATTATGTTTTACGTTACGACTTCGTGTTTGTATCCGTTGTTATCGCGCGAGTAATGCAAATTAATCGGCAGATGAGACCATCTTCGTCCCTCCTAATACCAGCGCATTCCAAGGCGGGTGTGATTTACGATTCGCGCGATTGCCGCGAACGAGCAGGCTAGACGAACGAACGAATGAACGAATGAACGAACGAACGAACGCGCCAAGACTCGACTTCGTATCGCGAGGTATCGCCAGACTCGCGAGACTCGGATAAAAACATTATTCGCATGCAGCGCGCGTTTCGCTGCCTCGCGCCGCGCGTTCAGTGCCACGCGTTGCGTCCGCGGAAAACGCATCGTCCGTCCGTCCGCTCGTGAAGAGAAGTCGCAGGAGGGAAGGAGAGAAAGAGAGAGAAAAAGAACGGACGTGCATTGTTATCGCGCAACGGGATCAGGTACGATCGCCACGATCGTCTTCCTGCGACGCCGGAAGATCCGGACGCCGAATACGGACGCCGTGGATCGTGATTCCGGCCGTGTCGAGGCGGCCGAGCGTCGTCGCGTTTAATAGAGCGGACCGAGGAACGTGACCCGGTGATACGCTACTACTGTTACGATATACGGCTTACTGTTATACTACGTGCGCGAACGCGACAATGAAGCGGACGAAGGCTCTCCCCCCGTCAATGACACTGGAGGGTGTGAATGATGGTATCGCGCGACGACAACACGCGACGGCTGAACTCAAGGGCGCCGGAACTCGGCCGTCGGAAGAGGAGCGCACTCGCGAATCGTAACGCTTCGACTTTCGGCTCTTCCGGCGAATTAATTTTAGCGCCTACGCACACACATCCACATATTTATGACCGCGATAAAGTCGCGTTAGTCGCGTATCGTAGCCGGGTTAATTGCCGTTGCCCGCGGCGAGTAACTGGGTCGGTCGGACTGGCGAACGAATAACAAACGTCGAGGAAAATCATCCTGTTAATGGTCTCATGGCGTTAACAAACGCTCCGTTAATCCCGACGCGAAGCTCCGTGATATAAAATGATATGGCGCTTAGTGGTAGTGTTGCGTAAGATCTAACCGCTTCCGCATTTTTCTCTCGTTTCTTGCTTCGCGTCGAACCTGCAGGCGACGACGACGCGCGACGCACCGCGAAGGAAATTAATTCGCCGAGGCTGCAGTTTTATTCGAATCAGAATTAATCGAATGAAATCTCTCGAACGAAGTCTAGAATGAATTCTGATACGGCGACTTATTTTGCAAGATATTACCAAAGTTCATTTTTTGCATAACATCGTGTCGTCACTCGTCGCCAGTGATAAACGCGGATCACCGCGAGCGATACGACAGATCGATAAACGATTTTTGCAGAGAAAAAACGTTGCGAAAAAAGTTTCATGTATCTCTGGCGCCAACGGGTTTTAGCGACCGACTAACACGAAGCTGACACGATCGTTGAAACGTACTTCGTCGCGTGTTGTCGAAACGACGTGATTTTGCGGCGATACGATTACGCCGCATGAATAAAAAGGTCGGTGTTACGCGATCGAAGGAGAAGGTTTTTCCGGCACGCCTTGACTTCTCTCGTCCCTGAACGTGCACCGTTGAATCTTTCATCGGCGGTTTTACGAGCGGCGCACTAATCTGATTAATCGCCGCGCTTAAAACAAGCGCGTTGTATCTTTTTCTCTCTCTCTCTCTCTCTCTCTTTCTCTTTGATTGCGATTAATGTGCTATTCTCGTGCATGACGTCGCGCGCGTCAACGTTTTAACTGCACTCAACGAGATTCGACGTGATTATTGTATAGCTTGCCATTTCGCTGGCGTAGTTCGCAACAGAAGATATATAGGTCACTGCCTATGAGGTCGCGCGTAGACAGAAGCGGTGGCTTTTCAAGAAGAAGAGAGAAAGAGAATGAGAATGAAAGATGGAGAGAGAGAGAGAGAGAAAGAGAGAAGCGGAATCGCCGCAGCTCTTCGGCCACCATGTCCTTGAACATCGTTAAAATTAGCGCTTCTACGTTACAGTTCTTCTGCGGCACGCGCTATCGTCGTTCGTTCGCCGTTTCGAATGTTTACATTAATTTTAGATATTAACGGGCAACACCGCGAGTTCCGCGGATAGCTCGTGACGTCACGTTATGGGCGAACCATAAGGGAATGGGGTAACGGCAGAACTGGAGCAGATCTTCCTAGAACTGCGCCGAAATCGTCGTGAAATGTAGATCAGGAATGTCCTCGAAGAGCACGAACGTCAGCGTGCCAAAGATATTCGCGTCGAATTCGTTGCATTCCGCTGAAAAACAATGATACTGAACAAAACTTGGATCACTTGAATTTGAAAAACTATATTAATTGAGCCATCGATCAAAAAATTTGCATCATTAACCGTCAATTCTGATTTCTTTTCTATTATTATGTATCATATATTTTTATATCTTAATTGTATTTTCTTATTATATTTTTTATATAATATTTTTTATAATATATTCATTTTTTTACATGTTATAATAAATTATTATCAACGCGCTCTTGCAACAGTCTCTGCCGCACGTGCGTGTTGATCGTTTATTAATCGTCTTTGCTTTCGCATTAGTCATAGGTGATTCTATTTAGAGAGATAATAATAATTCTCATGAGATACCTAAGATGAACAAACACAATGTTTATCGGAATAATTCTCGAGTAAAAGAATGCGATTGTCAAACACAGTCTCGACATTAGTCTTCGGCATTAAGCCGCGCGAACTTAATTTGTGATTATGGTTACGGTACGGCAATGAGACGTTGTGGGAGGCGAATTTGTAGGCTGACCGTTCATTAGATAATCATGGCCTACATTCTTGGAATATCTGATAACGCGGGATCGTAAAGCGAGCGGGTCTCAGTCGCATGAAAAATGTGATACGGTTCGTACACGTCCCAGCCGGCATCCCACCGAATTACGCTCGTTTATATGTGCCTCTTGGGTGTGAGAGATGTATTCAACCGTGACCCCAATTGACAGAAGGTATGACGTGATTTCGCGACACCCTGCCGTTATGTACGTGGCACCGTGCGATATATCTGTAAACCTCCCCGATTTCTGGAATAAAATTCGCCGAAACCTAACCTGTTAGATGTCTGGCCTGTAGGTGATAAAAAAAAATGTTTCTTCATATGTACAATATTAAATATAAAATTAAAAAAAAATATTTAATGTGAGAGGCGTTTTGGATTTAGAATCAAATTGGCAAAAGGAAAAATTTATTCACTTTAGGTACGATCTTATTGTAAATATACTACGAGAAAACGCAATATTTTAATAAACATTTCTATGCACATATATCACTTGATTAGTTTAATTATGTGCACATATACTGCAATTTTTCTCTATAACTATCCTATTGTGTTGCTGTTATCACATTGTTATTAAAGAATTTATTTAATTCGCATAATTTCTATCTTTCGTACCATGAGATGCTCAAAACGGAGTATATAAATTACAGACTTGTTACATTATAGTTACGAATAATTATTCGAAAAATTGTTCGAAGATCATCATTTTAGACAATAATAATTTTTGTTGTACGATTGAAGATTGATGGGGTTGAAGTGAAAGTAACACTGCATGCGATTGAAAATCCATTGCAAGATTAAAAGTAACCATTACAACATGCGCGGCAGCTCTGTTTTCCATTCGGATCAACGATCGAGTGGTGTCTGCGATTTGAAACACTCGAGGACTATTGAAATAATTTAGAACATATCGCCCGATATACATTTAATCCGGCGCGATAACGCGTTTCTATTTCGTACAAGAATTAATAGAACCTGTCCTCCCAGCGGCGATCATACACAATTTTGATTTATTTAGCGAAAACTCTGAAATCATTGGACAAATCCACGTGTCCCCTTACAGAAACATTAAACTACAACAAGATCTCGCTTCTTCAGCTTGACTGCAACGTACTTGGCGATGGTTTCTTCCTTATTTGCAGGCTCACATAACTCATATTTTCACTTCTATACGCATATTCCCGTAGAGAATATACATATCTGCGAATATACCCTCACATATTGTACAGTTCATTTGAACTCGGTAATACTTCAAAATATACGAGAGCCTCATCCGACTCTTCGGGCTTTCTCGCGCTTGCCAAACCGCGCCCATCCGTTCGTCTTATTAAGCCTAATATTTATCGCAGGTGAGGATCCAATGCTCAGCGACCAACAGCAATACCGATACATGACTGTTGACGACATGAAGTCCATGGGGGATGACTCGATGCGCGTGAACGTGACGGACGACGAGAGAGATAATCGACATTCCGGAGGTAAGTAAACATGTCGACTGCGACTTCACGTTCGGTTCGTCAGGTATCAGTCAGAATAATATCGTCAAGGCGTTGCCTGTGCTTTCGAGTCTTTCGCGTTAATTATTGGAAATTTATGCTAAAAATTAGACTCGAAATTCGTTTCACGTATTTTGTTCGCGAAATTTTTAAACGATTCTACATGCATGTGGAGTCTATCTAATCTATCGTTTATGTAATTCTGGTGGTAATTCGATAATTTTGCTATTTTGGTAGATTACACGAGAAACGCGAGATAGCAGCTGTACATGTTTCTGTAGCACTTAATATTCCGCAACGTATCACAGAACCGAACGTTCGATTACTCTGCACATCGCGTTAATCAGATTAGATCATCCTCAGGAAATAAATTTAACGTGCATGGCAATGTGTTTTCTAGCGCCAACCATAACAGACATGATTACGAAAGAACATTATCAACGTACAAACGCGGCCAATCTTAAGCCAGACAATGTAGACATCAATAGGCATCCTGTGCATGTCGGGTACGTAAAATTATATATCTACTTTTTTCTAGCTCATTTCAACTTTATTAATTAATTTGAAAATTATTATAAAATATTAAAATGATAAAGTCTATAAACCTAAAAAGGTACATTTTTGCACTGCATTGGAGAGTTGTGCAACAAATTTTACTACAAATATTAAATTTCAACAATTTTTCATACTTAATTAAATCGTAATATAAAGAATGTAACATAAAGAATTTTAAAGTGTTCATATCGTCCAATCATAATCATTTTTTAAGGCAAATATCTCTTTTTAATGATAATTAAGATATAAAAAAAGCATTAATTAGCAAGATCAAATTACAATTGCATGGTTTGCCGTGATAAGCATATTTAATATTGAAATTATAACATTACGACATGCTCAAAATTCGACGCATGTTGTTGATGATCTAATATTTGCGGGTTTAAAATTTATTTGAAAGTGAGAAAAGTGTCTTGCATACACATGTAAAAAAATTGAAAACTTTACTTATATTCGGTGTCAAAATTTTGCTCAGTTTTACACGCACCAACCTTTCTCTATTGTAAATCACGGGGATCTTAAATGGGACAAATATTGTTATTCAATATTACGAGAAATGTAATCCGCGATATTACGCGGCCTTGCACTTCGGTATACATATCGCGATTGACACTGTATTGGTACTACGAAACAATAATGATGTGTATTATAGTATGATATAGTTGTGTGTTGGTGAAAGTTTCCTGCTGTGATTAACCCTACAAATGGATTGGACTTGATAAATTACTTACATAATTACGTTAATTTTACTATCTTAATTTCTGATTGATAATAAAGCGAATCTCATATAATTACAAGCAATACGGTCGATAATTTTTTTCACTATTATTTTATTTCGGACATTATTTTCTTAGTCGAGATTATTTGTTATTGATAAAACCGTCATCAATAAAAATATTATTGAATGGTCATGTTTGTGAAATAATATCAATGAAATATTAAATTCGAAAAAATGAAATTGTGCACTTTGCAAATTCGGATAAAAATATACACATGATTGTGCACACGTAAATTTCACATTCGTTCCCATGTGAAGCTTAAAGATTATAGAGATTTATATCACCATTATCAGCGTATACGATCATTGATAGCTTGTCTGTGCCTAATATCCATATGCCACAATGGATGTTATTTTATTCAAGTTGCGTGCAATATATTTGCATAATCACTCAAGTGCATTAGGTTTACGAAGCACGTGGTATACATTAACTCAGCACTATTCTAAAAAAAGACTTTTTTGATGTAAGTGTACCCGATTGTGGAAAGAAGAGTGGTGTGGCACGTATATGAAATTCTAGCTGAAATATCTCGATGCTCACGAAATATACTCACGTTTGCTCATTGAAAATATGTATATAAGTTAACTAGTTGTACTGTGAGATATAAAATAATCATGTATATAGAAGATCGTAACGCGTAACAGACGTAATATCGAAACACGGATTTTCGTGATAGTATACATATATTATTCATCATGAATTTTTACTACAATTTGTTTTATTTAATATTCGTGATAGGACTTGCGATAGTTATTCAGCCAGCTCGACAGGAACGCTTGATGTTCTCGTTACAGCCTGCTTGTTCGTAGCGGAGTTCGATTACTTAGTGTTTAGCATGCTGTTTTTCACATCTCACTTGGATGAACGATTCTTTGACCGATGTAATTTCGTTTATCACTGGCGATTTGTACTAACCGCCCGACTAGTTTGAACAGAGTGAGGAATGTTCGCGATGAGGAATTTTTCTCCCCTCACGTAAAAACGTTTCCGTCTGTCTGTTTAACAATGATGCAACATACTCGATCGAGTGCATTTCTGCACGTGGCACTGTGCGTTTAAAAGGAAAGCACAGGGCACTTCTCTAATGACTTAAAATGAATGCAATGACAACAGAAGAGAGTGCTACTTAAACAAGCAAGCATGAGCATGATAAGCGAGATTATTTGGTTAATTAAAATCGGTTTTGTTCTGAGAACAGCGAGTCTCTAGAGTCCTTATGCACCTCGCTGGCAGCTCTCGGTATCGCACCGAAGGGACAAGGAATGTGGAGGGACAGGTACACCTTATGTATATATTTTACGTATATATCTTCCTTTTCCTGTCGAATAAAACAAGTCTTCTTGCTTTATAAATTTTGCATAATGTAAAACGTAATTATTATTAGCGACGATGAACATTAATAATAACTGTAAAAAAGGGAAGTTTTATTTATTATTTAGAAATAATGGTGCAGTTATAGCGATCTGTCCGAAGACGGACGAGACTTATAAGAGAAAGAATCGTTCTTCCAACAAATTGTTGAATAGAAATGTAGCAAGTAGGAGATTTCAACGTTGCTGCCGCTGGATGTTTTTCTCTCATATAATTAATTTGAGTTGAATTATTTCGCGCGGATTATACGCTCGACGAAATCTGTTGCACTAATTACATAATTAATTTGATAATAATTTCGAAATGATTTCTCAATTGGTAAATGTTGACTCGAATTGAAGTTGACTCGTACACGGTGTACAATTCGAGATTACAACAGATTTCGTCATTATTTCAAATTTTTTTCCGCGAGGTATACCTTCTTTTCGCAGAGTGTGAGTGTGTATTATGTTTCTCTTTTTCTCTCTCTACTATAATACATAATTATTATTGTTCTTCTCGTTTCGTAGTCATGTACAATAGAAAAGTGGCTTGCGTGTGATGAGTGCACTTTACGAAGTGATCAGCGAGTGATCATCATCGTCATCATTATCATTATCATCATCATCATCATCATCACGAACAGGAGCACATTTTACGAAAAACGAAACAAAAATGAAGTAGAAACCAAGTAAATAAAGAATCAGACGTTTCGTGCTGATTGTTAATTTGATTTAGCGAACAAAAACTTTGTAAAAATGTGCTAAAATTAGGGATATATCATCTCTCTATTATACCATCTCATCATCATGTTTATGAACGAATGAATACTAACGCGTTTTTTATTTTGTTCCCGATCCTCTCTGTTATTTTATTTGCGCTACTCGCAGAATTCCACAGTGGAGAAAGTAAGTGATCTTCTCATCAATCTTAGCTTCTGCAGTTTGCCGTGTATATACATCACCCCCTTCGATTTTTTTTCGAATATTTCTCCTTCTGTCGTTACACACAGCCTATATTTGTCGCCGCACAATCCCCTGTAGCCGCTGATTTTTATTATTCTTAGAAATATCGTACATCACATACGTTGCTCAGCGAACACAGCTCGTTTAACGATCGTCGAAAGATGAGTCACAGAACAAATTCGATCTCTTGAGAAATCAGTAAAACTTAACGTGAAAAAATGCACAATGAATGAAGCAGCACATACGCGCGTCTTGCTAGTTATCTCGAATTTTCCACGCTCTTGGCGGTTAATTATTCGGTAAAAACGTAATCGCGGTTTACAGATATACGTCGACAAATCTAGATGGAATTTAAAATGATGAGGAGGAAAGAAGAAACAAATTAACTGCGGCTATTCTTTAATAACGTCATACTCGTATAGCCGCAACAACCGACACCGAGTGTCAATATCGCGGAAAACGTCCTTGTCGAGCTCGTGTTCGCTGCGCGATGTGCATTGCACAATTCTCCTGTGAATATTTCACAGGCTCATCAGTGGGACTCTCAACGCCGGTATCGCGCACAGTATGCGATAGTTGAGAGCGACTGAATGGAACCAATTCGTTTGAATCGAGTTAGATGACACTTTCGTTGCCTTCAATGTCGGTAGTTTGACGCTTGCGGCTGTATTCACATCCATCCGACAGACACCTTACGTAGGAATACCCATAGAATTGGCCTACATATCGTAGCCGTTTTATTTATCTCTTATTTTGCCACATACACACTTCCATACCTGGTGCAACTCGTTGTCATCTTATAGAAATGTTCACACAGATTCGACCTGTATAGATAGCTGTTTTATTTATCTCTTATTTTGCCCATATACACCTCATTGTCGTATATAATCTTACTATCTTATTCACATTACATTAAGTCAAAGTAATTATTATATTTACGCACGACAATTTATAAGTGTCGTAATACGAATTATCTCACTGTAAGAAAGACACGTTACAGCTGATAATATCACGGTGTTAACCGAACCACATTGTCTCTAAATTTTAACAATAATCTCATGAGATCGTCCATAATCTCCGATTCATGGATATCACGCTTATAGTACAATTTTTCGAGGATTATGCTTTTGGCTTTGCGCACTTTTTCGCAACAGTTAATTCACGTCAGCGAATTATACAGTGCATTGTGACTGACATTAATGTTAAAATTATATCATATATGTAAGCCTAATTTTTAATTTTCTACCATGGTATCGGTTTATTGCGAATTCCGCGAAATTTTGATCAAACGTAGCTATAACAATTGGAAATAATATTCTCTAATTTTTTTATATTATTTACTGCGGGATATTTCAGAATGCATATTACGTATGATAAAATCATTCTATTTTTATACAAAAATTAAATGTAAATTGCTGTAAACGTTGATAACTGAACGAAACGATAGCACGCGCGCGTTTGACAAAAATAATGTCAACACACGTATTTTGAGTACATAAAATAGACCTTTTGACTGTGTGCATCTCTTGTAAGCAGCCTCCACATACATATATAATGCAATTTTTTATTGCAATTTTTTATATTATTCCGGACGATTCCTCGCAAGATATCGTAAGTAAACGAACGTAACATATCCTCAAAATCTCCTCAGCTTCCTGGTTTCCTTCTTGGTGGACGCGAGAGGCGGTGCGATGCGCGGATGCAGACACAGTGGCGTCCGCGTGATTGTTCCACCGCGTAAGGCCGCGATGCCTATGCGCGTTACGTGTAGATACCTGAGGAGAGATAAATTGACCAACCCACCGCCTTTAATGGAGGGAGAAGCGTTGGCCAGCCGTATCCTCGAATTGGGTCCTGTGGGCGCAAAATTCTTGGGGTAGGTTCATTAGATGTCTTTTCACGATTTTATTTTTTCATTCGAGTCGCCTGTGGCATACACTTTACATATTTTCGAACGATAAGTGTAAAATAATTGAAGAATTGCTTATTAGAATAATACACTTTATTATACAGTTGCTTCTGGCGACAGATCCTCCAAACGTTAAGAAATTTTTCGTGTGTAGCCCCGTTATCATAGAGGTGCCACATTTTGCATCGCTGCGCGGAAAGGAACGGGAAATAGTGATTCTACGATCGGACAACGGAGAGACCTGGCGCGAGCACACCTTGGAAGCCAGCGAGGAGGCTGTCCAGGATGTGCTTAACGAGAGCTTTGAGGGAGAAGGTACGATTCAAGCAACTTCCCGTGATTCCTGAATGACACGGCAAACACTGGAGCTAATGGACCATCCGCATCATTTACCTTTTCAGAGCTAAGCCAGCTAGAAGATCTCCAGACGTCTCGTATCGTAAGGATACTCACCGTAGATTTCCCACATTATTTCGCGGTGGTATCTCGCATCCGGCAAGAGGTCCACGCGGTTGGTCCTGAAGGCGGTACCGTGTCGTCATCCGCTGTTCCACAAGTACAAGCTGTCTTCCCGCAAGCGGCTCTTACTAAGAAGATCAGAGTCGGTCTACAGGTAATTGTTCTTTTTTTTTTTCATATTTCATCGATTAAATATATTTACATTTACAAATCCTTGACATTTAATTACGATTAATTACTTACGATAGGCGAAAAAACTGTTTATTTAAATCTCCCACAAAATTTTTAATCACCTATGTCTCACATTATAAATTAAGACATTGATACTTTTGATTTAAAAAACAAAAAAAAAATAATTTGTTATACCTAATAATATTCTGTAAAGATTTTTCCAAGTTATTTATTCTATTTAACAAAGCTGTATTATTTTCTTCATATAGGCACACCCTATACCGGCGGATCTCGTGGCCAAGTTACTTGGAAACAGAGTAGCTGTGTCGCCGATCGTTACCGTCGAACCGAGACGAAGGAAGTTCCACAAGCCGATAACTTTAACTATTCCAGTACCACAGGCGGCCAATAAGGGCATGATCAACCAGTATTCCGGAGACGCGCCGACTTTGAGACTCCTGTGCAGCATAACTGGTAATATATGCTTGCACGTAACATTGTAGAGCAGCGTACCGTCTTACTGGAGAATCTCTTACCGATAAACGGTTGGAATTAATATTATACGCCGCATATACACCTTTGGTGTACATATATACGCTCTTGTCGAAACTTACGTTATTGCGCATTCGGGTATCGATTTATTGTAGTTTAGTAGGCATGAAAGCAGTCGGTAGACTATCTCGTCTGTTCTCAGGTCGCTCGGGACTTCGAACCAAGTATCGTACGTTGCACGAGAAGATTGCTTAAATGGTAGCAGCACTGTTGCAACTCATTTATGTTTAGTATGGTAAACAGTCTGTACGATTCGTGACTTGCACCAACGTGTAAAGATGTTCCAGTGTGAAATTTTCACACAAAAAGGAAAATCAATTTATGTATGTGAATGTTGGAAGATATGTTTTGTCTCGTAAACAATTTTTTTTGTCCATCGTATTATCAAGAAATGTCCCGAGGACCTTCGGATAGAGATTTAAAAGGGAGATGGTAGCTGCATGTTTCATAGAAACATTTCGTTGAGTATCATTATTGTATACATATCTTGTTGTGATTCATTGTTAATGCTTGCATATTGTTAGGATTGAGTCATTTAGGTATGGATTATCAATTAAAGTAGATAACATTTTATTATACCTCTAGCCCATTGTTAAGAGCTAACTTCAAAGTTTTTGTTTCAGCACATTCGTTTGTCTGGTAATCGCTTAATGTATTAGTAATTTGTGATTTATAGAAGAGATTGTCCTCATGATTTATATATACATATATATATATATATATATATATATGTATATTGAATTATATAATGCCCTCAATACCTAATCATATAATCTAAAAAGATTTATATTATAACAATATTACATTTACACTGAATACTATCACATTTAAGTTTATTTTAATCGTAATCTTATTGAGAATATATTTCAAGTATTAATATTTTTATACAATACCCCTAAAATAGTTTCTAGGAAAAAATACACATATAATTGTTTCTGTCTTTTTAGCTTTCTTTTAATTTAATGTAATAACTTTAATCACTTTTTTATAAAATGACACATATTGATTAATATTTAGTGATATCATTTTTTTCCATTCATCACTTAATTCTTGTCTTAAATTCATACACGGTTGCTTTCTACACATTTCGTATATAGCGCTTTCTCTTGATTTTGCAAGCATTATCATTTGGTCGGTCATATATCTACTTTTATATTACACTCACACATTAATAAAACGCACCTAACAACAGTGCACTTACAGCGACCGTTTTTAAATGCGAAATTTCCTCGGGCTGATAATTATCGGTTATTAATATACCCAGCATTATTTTTACGCATATTATAGGTACTGATTCATATATCCGATCGTTAATTGCTTGTATTTAATCTCGGTCGTGCGAAAATATACCACACATATTTCACTTTTGTCACCTGCGCATTTGCAACACGGACATATTTTAATAATGTTATTGGACTTGGCATGTATGTCGTTCAGGGGGTCAGACTCGGGCAGTCTGGGAGGACGTCACAGGCTCGACGCCGTTGACCTTTGTGAAAGATTGCGTTTCCTTCACCACCACAGTTTCCGCCCGCTTCTGGTTGATGGACTGCCGTAACATTTCCGAGGCCACTAAAATGGCCACGGAACTCTACACGCACGCGACACATGTGCCCTTCATGGCTAAGTACGTTTCGACTGATGTAACGTGACACGTGAATTTTCTGTGACGAATTACACAGGTGCGAATTATACAGGAAGCAATTATTTTAATGCTTACTTTATGATAGGTTCGTCGTATTTGCAAAGCGGGTAGATCCATTGGAAGCGAGACTACGCGTATTCTGTATGACGGACGACAAAGAGGACAAAACTTTGGAGCATCAGGAACATTTTACAGAAGTTGCAAAAAGTAGAGACGTCGAGGTAACTATCGCCAATAAAAACGTAGATGATCGTTAAAGCGTTTCACGAGTTATGCGCAACTTCTCAGTCGCTTAAGATGTTATTAAATCTTATTTGATGTTGTAGGTTCTTGAAGGAAAAACGCAATACATGGAATTTTCGGGAAATCTCGTGCCCGTTCTGAAAACGGGTGAACAGCTACAATTACCGTTCAGAGCATTCAAGGAAAATAGAGTCCCGTTCACCGCGAGAATAAAGGATCCGGATGCCGCGGATATGATGGGCCGAATCATGTTTATGAGCGAGCCTAAGGTCCCGAGGGGCGAATTGCCGCAAACGCCGATCTGCACGCTGAATATTTTATTGCCGGAAAAGATATCTCCGGATACCGCGGTCTCCGAGCTTGATTTGTTGGAATTGTCAAAGAACTACAGTTTCCTACGCGATGGTGGAATAAGTACGTCAACTATAAATAATATATGATATAATAAAATGAAAATTAATTACTAACGACATTCGCTATCAAAAGCTTTCTATTTTACATGTCGAATATTAAATATATTTTCAGGCAGACCAGATGCAATACACAGAGCGACCATCCGTTTAACAGACATTGCTAATCTATTGGATAAAGATTGGGAATCACTAGCGGAAGAGTTGAATATCCCACCCAACGACGTGGCTCTAATAAAACAAGAATATCCCGACAAACCTGCGCAACAGGCTGCTGCTATGTTCAAAATTTGGCAAAACAGTGGAAACAAAGCCACAGGTGAGACATTGCGCAATTTATTTACCTTTACGTCACTAAAACTAGCGTAACGCGTTAATTTTCGATGAATGAGAGTTGCGGTAGCTTGCCTTGGTAACCTTTAAAAAACCTGTTTCTTAGCAAGGTCAATTAATTAGACACGCGCGCTATAGTTGAGTCAGGCGCGAGGAATCTTTTCTAGCAACGTAGATATGTGATGATCTCATTGTGCATTATTATGCCTGACATAAGTCTACACGCTTCGTTCCCTCTCCTTCCTTCCCGCTAATGGCATTGACTCGCACATAACTCCCAGTGTTTCTGCAATCGGCAGAAATAACAAGTGGTCGTGATTCCGCAGTACGTGATCGGCAGTCGCGCAGTGAAAGTGATTAAAATCCGAGCGTCCTCCGCCGCTTCTTTATTTGTACCGGTTTTACAAATCGCCGAATTATCTCTGAATCTGTATTACTGAGATTATTTAACATTTGACCGACATTCTTGCGATGAAATAATACATTTTTTAAGATTGCTGTTCCAAATTTTATTTTACTTAATTTAATTTTAATAAAAAAATATAGAAAAAGCGATGTTTATAACTTTATATCAAGAATATGAAAATCAGAATCATTACACAAGCGAGCTCCTATTAATATTTCGGAGATGTCCTTGCATACGTCCACAATGTGCAATTCATTCAGGTCTGTCCAAAATCGGAAAAAAGTGAACGAGAATATAATTGGTTATAAATTTTAATAATATCAATATTGATAATGTACCCTTGCGATTGAAACTTATTAACACTTGTGATACTTAAAATACATTTAAAACAGTTTGGAAAATTAAATGTATTGTAACAAATATTTTTAATATACTGATTGTGTGCATTTTTATATAAAATTTATATTGATTGATTAAAATATCACGTGTCGTCCTTTATTTGCAGGAAACACGTTAGAAAAAGCTCTTAATAAAATCGGACGAGAAGATATAGTGAACAAATGTATCTTTAATGTTGAGTTAGTGACTGACGACGTTGAAAAAGCTGTGGCGAGAGTTAGACTAGATCAGCCAGGATTTGATTCGCTAAAGGAGGAACTGGGGCCGTCGAGAAACACGTCACTTCGCCGTGATGCAACTATGGATCCTAAGATGGACCCTGATTACGAGCCTGATATGATGAAGGTGCGCATTTTATGCAAATCTGGGAGAATCTTATACATGCATAATTGTAGTGTAATTCAAATCATCATCATATGACAAAACAAATTACCATTAATAAAAGAAGACTATTTTATCGCCTGACCTTATTCTCGTTATCTAACGAAGCGCTATTATTGAGCGCAATTGAAGAAGATACGATCCGTCCACTTTATATCTTGTAATGGCTCTTTTATGTATGCTACAATAGTTAAAAGACTTATACATAACAGTAATTTACTCAAATAACTACTTCTCTATGAGTGTGGGATTCTTATAATCACCGAGATAAAGCGTCATTCTCTCTTTGTTCTAGGACTCTGAGTCAATGGAGGATCTCAGTATTACTGGCACACACGATAAACGTAAGTACAACAGCAATATCTATAAACTTAATTTTATTATTACTCGCTCTTGCATTGCGTTTTAACATTACATATACAGATTTGTCAAAAAATTGAATATTATATATTTCCTTCCATTATACTACAATACATACTGCAATGAAAAATGTGACGTCACGGCTCACAATATTTGAATGAATGATGCACGCCACGCCACAACGCGTGTTATTAGTGTCAAATACACAGAAACGTACACTTTTTTACTCGTGCTTACTTAGAAAACGTGTTAGTCAACGCTTGCCGGACAATCTTACTGCGGCCACGTATATTCGTTACATTCGTCATGCAACGTCTCACACATGAGCTCGTGTTACCTCCGTGTCTCTTCGTTTACGCATTTTCTGCACTTCACAGCCAAAGAGCACATCACAATCACAAACGGCACTGTATTCAACGGAACCTCGACCCCCATCAAAGACAAATACGCGAGCGACGAGAAAGAGCTCGGCGACATGATGGCTGATTACCTTGAGCACAAATGCCACACGGCCGACACGATGAGCAAAAAGTCGCGCGACGAACTGGACGATCCGGAGAAAAAACGCCAGAAAGCGATCGCCGATGCCAACAAGATAGTCTCTGGTAAGTAAGCTTGAAAGCGATTGGAATGAATGGTGGGTTGAGGGGCCGTGCTTACTACTACTGGCAATTAAAGAACCGGCAGTCGTTAATCGAGTTTTAGCCGAGCTACGTGCCAAATGCGGGACTACGCATTTATACATACATATACTTAAAATTCAGCAGCATGATTGGATTAATGCTGCGGGCGCACGCTTGATCCCAAGGGATCGACTTACTCGTATTAACCATGTGTCGACGAACTGCGTTTCGCCGGACTCGCTAAAGACCTCGCTAGATCGGAGATACCTTTCCTTTAGTGATATCGTGTTCATAGTTATGAAATTTATTCTTACTTAAATAACTTTTGAACAATGCACGAAATGTACAATTATATTTCTCGAATAGCTTTATACATTTATTTTATACGTGTTTGGCATCATTATCTTCTCTCTTAATCATACTATTTTTCGATAAATTTTCTTAGAGATTATTCTTTTTTATAATTTTTTTTTTTTTTTTAAAGAATTTTCTTATACATTATTTCTTCGTTTGTAAATGAATTATCGTTTGATAAGTGTCACCGTTATGCAGTTATGTCGCAAGAAATGCACACGTAATTACTCATTTAATTATATTGGCGTATAGGAACTGTATGCCAATAACGTAGTTTCTAAGTAGATATATTTCAATGCTAATCTATTTCGTACGTTTCACTTGTGACTTATTATCATCGTTTATGAAGCAAGCTTTAATTTTTACGTAAGTATTCAATCAACAATGTGCACGATCTTATTTCAGCGAAACGTTGCGGTCGAATATATGCTAATACATGAATTGCTGTAAAGGATATTATTATTGTAATATAATGATTCTGGACACGATTCACGTCAATGCATAAAATTTGTCTAAGCTTATAAAGAACACTGTACGTTTTGCAGAGTGCAAATAACGTACGTGAGCACTAAACATTCGTCTCTACGCCGTTCACTCACAGGTTCTGGAAGCCAATGCGGATCTCTTCGGAATTTTACCAGCTTGCTTTTAATATATATAACGGATTATTTTTATCTCGGCCTATATTTCAAGCAGCTATATTATACAATAATTTTTATACCTCATTTAATCATCCCCACTAATATCCTTAATACTTCGCGAACACTTTTAGATTAATTTGTTTCAGCAAGGTTTCGCTGCAATTATTTGGCGTTGCATGAATGGCCAATATGTGTGGCCCAATTGTGTGCGCGCACGGAGCAGCTGTCATTAGAAAAAATCACTAGACGTTGTCGCGTAGGCCATCAGAATATCCGTTCCGTTTGCCTATAGCTGATAGATTAAAAATTACTAAAGTCATCACTAATAAGCAATTGACTGTTGTTCTCACTTAAAACAGTAATCAAGAGTTCTTTGTGAAGCTGAATATATGTTGTTTATATTCTCTAACAGCTTCATTTTGGTATCTTTAGCGTTCATTTCACAGTTAATATTATACTAATTGAAATACATTCACAGAGAAATAGTTTGAAATTGCAAGCTACTGAGAACGTTTTAATGTAATTTATTGAAAAATCGAAGTACATATGTTAGCATTGCACCGCGTATTGATTGTCGATAGCAATTGATGTTACTTCTCCTTCTTGAATCGCACTTGCCTTACGTATATAACGATGTAGTGAGAAGATGGCTGCTCCACAGCACATACACTTCACGCACAAACCACACTACTACAGTCTAACCGCAGTTCAATCAAAAGAGCAATCAAAGAGCGAGCCAGCTTACACTAATGATGACGAAATTGACAATAAAATTGTGTTCCTTTATTTTTCTACCACGTATACAGATGCCTAAAATATATTATACTTAATTAACAGGTGTAATAGCAGACGCAGAGAAAGAGAAGGGGAAGTTAGCGAAGGAAGGGTGGTCGGTGGTTTATGATGATGATGCGCGGGACAGTAAAGAGGCGCGGGGTGCGATAGGGCAGACTGTAATTCATTTAGATCAAGCGGCCGCCGAGCCGAAAGGTTTTGTTCCAAAATCAGAGCAAATCCCTAGTATAGAACCGCCAATGATTAAGCAGCATCGCGGTGGGACGCCGGATCCCAAAGTTAGCACTTCGAAAACAGTAATTTCCGTTAGTGGCGATCCGAAAGTAGGTCAGACGACGATAGTAACTAAGACTACGCTAATTAAACAGACGCCGACTAAGACTGTGACTACAAAAGAAACAGTAATCGTTTCTCCCGATAAAAAAGACATTGTTAGCGAGAAGGAGAAATTGTCTGAGGAGGGTAAGGAAGTCGATGAAAAGTTGACTCAAGGCGCAGTTCCCACGGACGCGGCTGTTACGCGAAAAACGACAAAGACAAAAACTGATAAAACTAAAGATAAAGCAGATAAAGATAAAGATAAAGACAAGGATAAGGAGAAGGATAAAGATACGAAGACTGTGAAAACATCAGCTTATGAAAACGTTTACAACGTGCAGCATGCGGCAGACAGCACGGAAGAAAAATCAGACGAAGAAACGAAGAAAACGAAAGATAAGAGTGGCGGAATATTTTCGGGAATTTTCAAAGGCTCCAAATTGAAGAAAGGCAAAAAAGGTTCAAAGGATACGTCTTTTGACAGTGGTGACGAGGAATCGAAGGCTGTCCTAACAAAAGTCTCGGAACAGCAGCCCGAACTTCCTTCTAGCGAAATAACGGACTCGCATTTTGACAGCAGACTACCGGAAATCACAACCGCACCCGATGTAAGATTAGCTACTGTGAAATTTTTGGAAGATTCTAAGCGAATTGCTGAGGGCATGCATGTACCTTATGAAGGTCTTGCTAAGCCAGCGGAGAAAGAAGATAAAAAAGCAGAGGCTGCCGAGAGCGATGATGACGGTAAAGACAAGACGGGCTTCTTCTCGGGTTTGTTCAAAAGCAAATCTAAAAAAGACGACGATGCCGTACCTGCTATTCACGTTGAAAAACCTAAAGAGTCTGCAGAGCAAATTGCAAAGAAAGAAAAGAAGAAGTTGGCAGCAATCGCGAAGGAAAACGAGGAATTGCTGGAATTACAAATGAAGGAAAAGGAGAAAGAGGCCGAAGCATCTAAGATTGCCGAAGTACCTAGTGCGATCGAAAAAGAAACAGAAAAGACTGTGAAGACCGACGCGAAAATCGTTGAGGATGTCAAAAGCAAAGCAAAGATTGCTTTAACGGATGAGCAGCCTTCCGGCAAGAGTGACGAGAAGGAAGAAGATCAGGTGAAGGAGAAAGGTGGCTTCTTCGGTATCTTTAGGAGCCCAAAGTCCAAGGACAAGAAGCTCGCCAAATCGAAGGAAACGTCCTTTGACAGCGGCGATGAGGAAATCAAAGCCGTGACGGAGAAACTCTTGGATGATACACGGAAGGTTGCTGATGTTAGTGTGTTACCGATCGCGTACAAAAGTGACGGCACTAAAGTCACTCCCAAAGAAGAGGTGCGCACTTTTGTATCGACAACTCATTACGATGTCGATACTCCCGCGGATAAAATAAGTAAATCTTACGATGTTGTTCAAACGACGACAAAGATTGAAAAAATTATCCACGAAGAAATAAACGGAAAAGCGGACGCTGACAAGGAGAAAATTCAGAAGGAGGAGAAAAAAGATATCGAAAAACCTGCTGCAGAAGTAAAATCTCACACACCAGAACCGAAAGCTCTTGAAACGGAGAAAGAGGCTGGCGACGACAGCAAGGAAAAGAGCGGCGGCTTCTTCGGTATGTTCAAGAGCCCGAAACTTAAAAGTAAAAAGAGAAGCAGATCTCGAGAGCAAAGTTCTTCGAAGGAGACCTCTTTTGATAGCGGAGACGAAGAAGTTCGACTGGCAACGGCGAAACTTCTGGAAGACACAAGGCAGATGGCGGAGAACCTGCAGGCTGGAGAAAAGATATCGGAGAGTGTTATAAAAACTCCGCCAATAGACGAGGAGATAAAGAAATCTATTATTCCCGAGGATGAAGTTGTCGAAAAAGATAAGGGAGGCATTTTCGGAATATTCAGAAGTCCCAAGCAAGCGAGGAGCTCCAGATCTAGAAGCAGATCTAAGGAAAAGACACCTTCGCTCGAAATACCGGACAGTGGTCACGATGATTTACGAGAAGTAACTGCAACGTTCTTGGAGGATTCACGGAATATGGCGAATATCTTGGGCGAATTGGATAAAACTTCGACTGAAATAAAAGATAAAGATGATAAATTAGCAACAGAGATAAAGAAAGTTGAACAACATATTACAACTGCAGCAGAAGACGTTAGTAAAGCAGTCAAGGATGGTAAAGACGCAATTGCCAAGAAAGTAGACGACAAAACACATGATGTCGTCGACAGCGCTGAAGCTACAAAGGATAAGGTGGCTAAGGAAGCAAAGAAGGTGAAAGAGAAAGGGTCGGGATTTCTATCGGGAATATTCAAAGGAGCGAAGCATGCCGTAGATGAAGTGTCCGATGATGTTAAAGAATTTTTGGATGAAACGAAAAAAGAAGCTGCATTGGAGGAAGCGCGAACCAAAGAAGCAGCAGTTGCTGGTTTGAAGGATTTAGAAGAAGCAAAAGATAATTTGGTAACAGATGCGAAAGACATTACTGATAAAACTATTACCGACATTAAAGACACTAAAGATAAGACAGTTTCAATTGTAAAAGAGAAAAAAGAAAAAGTTACGGAAAAGATTTCGAAAGATGTGAAAAAGGCAGCGGATCATGCAAAAGCAGCTACTGACAAAGCTGTGACAGATACAAAGAAAGTAGGCGAGAAAATAGAAACCACTGCGAAGGGTGCTGTGGAAGCAGGTAAAGAAATTAAAGAAGCAGTCACTACGGAGATTAAGGGAGATGCAAAAGTTGTAAAAGAAAAAATATCATCCGGTGCTGAATCGACTGCGGATACCGCAGCATCTACCAAGGATAAGGCGACTAAAGAGGCAAAGAAAATTAAAGAAAAAGGAAGCGGTTTCTTTTCTGGCATATTCAAAGGTGCGAAACACGCTGTAGAAGATGCGGCTGACGATGTTAAAGATTTTATGGATGAGACGAAAAAGGAAGCAGCGTTGGAAGAAGAACGTGCCAAAGAAAAAGTTGCTGCAAGTGTGAGAGATCTGAAAGACAAAAAAGATACTCTCGTTACTGAGGTTCAAGAAGCTGCTGCTGAAGCGAAAGATGCAAAGGATAAAACAGTCTCTGCAGTAAAAGACAAGAAAGAGAAAGTTGTCGAGGAAGTTTCCAAAGATGCGCAGAAAGTTGTAGACACCACGAAGGCAGCCGGTGAGAAAATAACAGCAGAAGCGAAGAAAGTAGGAGAAAAAATAGGAGAGACGGCAGCAGAGGTTACACAAGATGCCAAGGGTATTAAAGATGCAGTAGTTAAAGAAGTGAAGGAAGATACAAAATTAGTGAAAGAAAAATTAGCAGCAGGCGCTGATGCAACTGTAGAAGCTGCAGAGAGTGCAAAGGAAAAGGCGACAAAAGAAACGAAGAAAGCTAAAGAAAAAACAACCGGTTTCTTCTCTGGCATTTTTAAAGGTGCGAAACATGCCGTAGAAGATGCCACAGACGATGTTAAAGAATTTTTAGATGAGACAAAGAAAGAAGCTGAAATGGAAGAAGAACGTGCCAAAGAAAAAATTGCGACTGAACTTAAAGACTTGAAAGATAAGAAGGATACGGTGGTAACGGAAGCAAAGGTCGCTGCAGATCAAGCAGCAGCTGATGTGAAAGATGCAAAGCATAAAGCAATTTCTGCTGTTAAAGACAAAAAGGATAAAATTGTAGAGGAAATTTCGAAGGGTGCTGAAAAAATTGCAGATCCCTCTAAAGCAGCCGATGAAAAAGTAGCAACAGAAACAAAGACAATTAGTACAAAAATAGAAAAAATCTCAACAGATGTTGTTCAGGATATTAAGGACACAAAGGATACAGTGGCCAAGGAAATGAAAAAAGATACAAAATTCGTAAAAGATAAATTAGCAGAAAGCGCTGATGCTGCCGCGGAAGCTGCGGATAGTGCAAAGGATAAAGCAACAAAAGAAGCGAAGAAAGCGAAAGAAAAAACAAGTGGTTTCTTCTCGGGCATCTTTAAAGGTGCAAAACACGCTGCTGAAGATACATCTGATGATGTCAAAGAATTTTTGGATAAGACTCGAAGAGAAGCTTCTTTAGAAAAAGAACGTACTAAGGAAGAAGTTGCTGCAAATCTTAAAGATTTAAAAGATAAGAAAGACGCAGTCATAACCGAAATTCAACAAGTCGCAGACACAGCCATCACTGACATAAAAGAAGTTAAGGATAAAACAGTTTCTGCAGTAAAAGATGAAAAAGATAAAATTGTCGAGGAAGTTTCTAAAGATGCGCAGAAAGTTGCCGATACAGCAAAAGCAGCTAGCAAGAAACTAGTAGCAGAAACAAAGAAAGATGGTGAAAAGATAGAAAATGTCACCGCAGATGTAGCGCAAGCTGCCAAGGACACTAAAGATGCAGCAGTTAAGGAGATAAAGGAAGATACAAAATTAATGAAAGAAAAATTAGCAGCAGGTGCTGATGCTACTACAGAGGCTGCGGATAGTGCAAAGGATAAAGCAACGAAACAAGCAAAGAAAGCTAAGGAAAAAACAACTGGTTTTTTCTCCGGTATTTTTAAAGGTGCGAAGCACGCCGTAGAAGATGCGGCTGATGATGTTAAAGAATTTATGGATGAGACGAAAAAGGAAGCTGCATTGGAAGAGGAACATGCCAAAGAAAAGGTTGCTGCAAGTGTGAAAGATCTGAAAGACAAAAAAGACACTCTCGTTACTGAGGTTCAAGATGCTGCTGATAAAGCTGTTGCTGAAGCGAAAGATGCAAAAGATAAAACAGTCTCTACAGTAAAAGACAAGAAAGATAAAATTGTCGAAGAAGTTTTCAAAGATGCGCAGAAAGTTGCGGACGCTACGAAGGCAGCTGGTGAAAAAATAACAGAGGAAACGAAAAAAGTAGAAGAAAAAATAGAAGAAACCGCAGCAGATGTTGCACAAGCTGCCAAAGATACTAAAGATGCAACAGTTAAAGAAGTAAAGGAAGATATAAAATTAGTGAAAGAAAAATTAGCAGCAGGCACTGATGCGGCTGCAAATGCTGCGGACAGTGCAAAAGAAAAAGCGACGAAGGAAACAAAGAAAGCTAAAGAAAAAACTAGTGGTTTCCTTTCTGGCATATTCAAAGGTGCGAAGCATGCCGTCGACGACGCGGCTGATGATGTTAAAGAATTTATGGATGAGACGAAAAAAGAAGCTGCATTGGAAGAGGAACATGCCAAAGAAAAGGTTACTGCGAGTGTGAAAGATCTGAAAGATAAAAAAGACACTCTCGTTACTGAGGTTCAAGAAGCTGCTGATAAAGCTGTCGCTAAAGCAAAAGTTGCAAAGGATAAAACAGTCTCTGCAGCAAAAGACAAAAAGGATAAAGTTGTCGAGAAAGTTTCCAAAGATGCGCAGAAAGTTGCGGGTGCCACGAAGACAGCTGGTGAGAAAATAACAGAGAAAACGAAGAAAGTAGGTGAAAAAATAGGAGAAACCGCAGCAGATGTTGCACAAGCTGCCAAAGATACTAAAGATGCAGCAGTTAAAGAAGTAAAGGAAGATACAAAATTAGTGAAAGAAAAATTAGCAGCAGGCACTGATGCGGCTGCAAAAGCTGCGGACAGTGCAAAGGAAAAAGCGACAAAGGAAACAAAGAAGGCTAAAGAAAAAACCAGTGGTTTTCTTTCCGGCATATTCAAAGGTGCAAAACATGCCGCGGAAGATGCGGCTGATGATGTTAAAGAATTTATGGATGAGACGAAAAAGGAAGCTGCGTTGGAAGAAGAACGTGCCAAAGAAAAGGTTGCTGCGAGTGTAAAAGATCTGAAGGACAAAAAAGACACTGTCGTTACTGAAGTTCAAGAAGCTGCTGATAAAGCTGTCGCTGAAGCAAAATATGCAAAGGATAAAACAGTCTCTGCAGTAAAAGACAAGAAGGATAAAGTTGTCGAAAAAGTTGCAGACACCACGAAAACAGCTGGTGAGAAAATAACAGCTGAAACGAAGAAAATAGGGGAAAAAGTAGACGAAACTGCAGCAGATGTTGCACAAGTTGTCAAGGATACTAAAGATGTAGCAGTTAAAGAGGTAAAAGAAGATACAAAATTAGTGAAAGAAAAATTAACAGCAGGCACTGATGCAGCTGCAAAAATTGCGGACAGTGCAAAGGAAAAAGCGACAAAAGAAACAAAGAAAGCTAAAGAAAAAACTAGTGGTTTCCTTTCTGGCATATTTAAAGGTACGAAGCATGCCGTGGAAGATACGACTGATGACGTCAAAGAATTTTTGGATGAGACGAAAAGAGAAGTATCATTAGAAAAAGAACGTATTAAGGAAGAAGTTGCCGCAGATGTGAAAGTTTTGAAAGATAGGAAGGACGCTGTCGTTGCAGGAATTCAAGAAACGACAGACAAGGCTATTACCGATGCAAAAGATGCGAAAGATAAAACAGTATCTGCATTTAAAGACAAGAAGGATACAATTGTCGCTGAAGTTTCCAAAGATGCTCAGAAAGCTGCGGACGCCACAAAGGCAGCTGGTGAGAAAATAACAGCTGAAACGAAGAAAATAGAGGAAAAAATAGTCGAAACTGCAGCAGATGTTGCACAAGTTGCCAAGGATACTAAAGATGCAGCAGTTAAAGAGGTAAAAGAAGACACAAAATTAATGAAAGAAAAATTAGCAGCAGACACTGATGCAGCTGCAAAAGCTGCGGACAGTGCAAAAGAAAAAACGACAAAGGAAACAAAGAAAGTTAAAGAAAAAGCCAGTGGTTTCCTTTCTGGCATATTTAAAGGTGCGAAACATACAGTGGAAGATGCGGCTGATGATGTTAAAGAATTTATGGATGAGACGAAGAAGGAAGCTGTTTTGGAGGAAAAACGTACTAAAGAAAAGATTGCCGCAGAGCTTAAAGATTTCAAGGATAAAAAAGACGTTGTCGTAGCTGAAATTCAAGAATCTGTAGACAAAACCGTTTTTGACGCAAAAGACACAAAAGATAAAACATTTGCTGCTGTGAAAGACAAGAAAGACAAAATTGTAGAGAAAGTTTCCAAAGATGTACAAAAGGTTGCTGACACCACAAAAGCGACCGGTGAAAAACTTGCAACCGAGACGAAGAAAATCGGTGAGAAAATAGAAGAAACTGCAGCAGACGTTGCGCAGGATGTAAAAGATACTAAGAATGCAGTAGCCAAGGAAATGAAAAAAGATACAAAATTTGTAAAAGATAAATTAGCAGAAAGCGCTGATGCTGCTACGGAAGCTGCTGACAGTGCAAAAGATAAAGTTATGAAAGAAACAAAAAAAGCGAAAGAAAAAACAAGTGGTTTCTTTTCGGGTATATTCAAGGGTTCGAAACACGCCGCGGAAGATGCAGCTGAAGATGTGAAGGAACATATAAGCGACGCGAAAAAGGATACGGTTGAAGAATTGGAAGAATTAAAACGTAAGAAAGATGATGTCGTACACAGTGCAAAAGACGTCACGGATAAAGCTATTGAGGATGTGAAGGATGCCAAGGATAAAGTAGTATCTACCGCGAAAGATACGAAAGATAAATTGGTGGATGAGACTGCCAACGACGACAAATTTTTGCAAGATTGCAAAAAAATAACATCGGGAGTAATTGATGACATTAAGAATGTGGCTGAGACTATGCTTGCGGCTATAGAAGCTTTAGAAGCAGAAGCAGACGCTATAGAAGCAGAAGAAAAGTTAAAAAGTTTGGAAAAGTTGGCTATTTCGGATTCTTCAGAAGTTACTAAGGACAAAACAACTAAAGAGGGAAAGAAAGTTAAAGAAAAGGCTAGCGGCTTTTTCTCGGGAATATTTAGAGGATCGAAACATTCCGTGGACAGCACAGTGGATGATGTAAAGGAGTTTCTAGATGAAACGAAAAAGGAATCAGCATTAGAGCAAGTATTGGTCAAGGAAGCAGCAGAAACCGAACTAAAAAATCTGAAGCATCAAACGGACCGCATGGCTGCCGAAGCTAAAGACACGAAGGATCGTGTTGCTGACGAGATAGTTGATCAAGTCGAAAAGACTATTGATGCCACTAAAGCAACAGGCGACAAAATAATTACAGATACAAAGCAAATTACCGGTGATATCGCGCAAAGTGTTGCAGATGCTAAAGATAGTGTGGTGACAGAAGTGAAAGAAGACGTACAAACAGCGAAAGAGAAATTAAAAGAGAGCGGTGATGCTGTAGCAAAAAGTGCTGTGACTACGAAAGATAAGATAATTAAAGAGTCGAAGAAAGCTAAGGAAAAGGGTAGCGGCTTTCTTAGCGGAATATTTAAGAGCACAAAGCATTCAGTAGAAGAAGTATCTGACGATATAAAAGAATTTGTAGACGAGACGAAAAAGGAAGCTACTCTGGAAAAAGAGCGAACCAAAGAAAAAGTCGTTGCAAGTGTCAAAGAGTTAAAGGATACAAAAGATGCTGTTGTTACTGACATTCAAGACGTTACTGATAAAGCCATTACAGACGCAAAAGATACTAAAGATAAAACTATTTTTGCCGTAGAACATAAGAAGGATAAAATTGTAGATCAAGCTTCAAAAGATGCTCAGAAAGTTACCGATACAACAAAAGCAGCCAGTGAGAAACTAGCAGCAGAAACAAAGAAAGTTGGTGAAAAGATAAAAGATTCTGCGGCAGATGTTGCGCAAGCTACCAAGGATATTAAAGATGCAACAGTTAAGGAGATAAAGGAAGATACGAAATTAATGAAAGAAAAATTGGCGGCAGGTGCTGATGCTACTGCAGAGGCTGCGGATAGTGCAAAGGAAAAAGCGACGAAAGAAGCGAAGAAAGCTAAAGAAAAAACGAGTGGTTTTTTCTCTGGAATATTTAAAGGTGCGAAACACGCTGTAGAAGATGCAGCTGACGACGTAAAGGAATTTTTGGATGAGACCAAAAAGGAAGTCGCTTTGGAGGAAGAACGTGTTAAAGAGAAGGTTGATACAGAACTAAAAGATTTAAAGGATAAGAAAGATGCTGTTACAACCAAAGTTCAAAATGCTACTGAACAAGCCATTACTGATGTGAAAGATACGACGGATAAAACAATTTCTGATGTCAAAAAGAAAAAGGATAAAATTGGGAAAGAAATTTCGAAAGATGCTCAAAAAGTAGGAGAAACTGTTACCGATATTGCAGAAAGTGTTAAAGATACTAAGGATGCAGCAGTTAAAGAAGTAAAAGAAAACACAAAAAAAGGAAAAGAAAAATTGGTAGCAGGTGCTGATGCTGCTGCAGAAACTGCAGACAGTGTAAAAGATAAAACTACGAAAGAAGTGAAAAAAGCTAAGGAAAAAACTAGTGGTTTCTTTTCTGGAATATTTAAAGCAGGAAAACATTCCGTAGAAGAAACAACCGATGATGTTAAGGAATTCTTGGAAGAAACAAAAAGAGAAGCTTCATTAGAAAAACAACGTACGAAGGAAGAAGTTGCGGCAGGTCTTAACGATTTGAAAGATAAGAAAGATGCTGTTATTACTGGAATTCAAGACACCGCAGACAAGGCTATCATCGATGCAAAAGATGCAAAGGATAAAACAATTTCTGTTGTTAAAGATCAAAAGTACAAAATTGTCGAGGAAGTTTCTAAAGATGCGCAGAAAATTGCCGAAACTACAAAAGCAGCCGGTGAAAAAGTAGCAACAGAAACGAAGAAAATCGAAGAAAAAGTAGGTGAAACCACGACAGATGTTGCTCAAGCTGTCAAGGATGCCAAAGATGCAGCAGTTGAAGAGGTAAAGGGAGATACAAAGTTAGTGAAAGAAAAATTAACAACAGGAGCTGATGCGGCTGCAGAAGCTGCGGACAGTGCAAAGGAAAAAGCGACGAAAGAAACGAAGAAAGCTAAAGAAAAAACAACTGGTTTCTTCTCGGGTATCTTTAAAGGTGCGAAACACGCCGTGGAAGATGCGACTGATGATGTTAAAGACTTTTTAGATGAAACAAAGAAGGAAGCTCAGTTGGAAGAAGAGCGTGCCAAGGAAAAAATTACAACGGAATTTAAAGACTTGAAAGACAAAAAGGATGCAGTAGTAATAGATATAAAAGATGCTGCACACCAAGCTGCAGCGGACGCGAAACATGCAAAAGATAAAGCTGTTTCTGCTGTTAAAGATCAAAAAGATAAAGTTATTGCAGAAGTTTCCAAAGATGCGCAGAAAGTTGCCGATACCACGAAAGCAGCCGGTGAAAAAGTAGCAGAAGAAACGAAAAAAATCGGTGAAAAAATAGGAGACACCGCGGCAGATATTGGACAGGCTGCCAAAGATGTTAAAGATACAGCAGTTAAAGAACTGAGAAAAGATACAAAGAAGGCAAAAGAACAATTGACATCAAGTGCTGACACTGCCGCAGAAGCTGTAGATAATGTTAAAGAAAAAGCAACGAAAGAATCTAAGAAAGCTAAGGAAAAAACAGGTAGATTCTTTTCAGGGATATTTAAAGGTGCAAAACATGCTGTAGAGGACGCATCTGGCGACGTCAATGAATTTTTGGATGAAACGAAAAGAGAAGCTTCCATAGAAAAAGAACGTGTTGAAAAAGAAATTGTCGTTGGTCTTAAAGATGTAAAGGATAAGAAAGATGCAGTCATAACCGAAGTTCAAAAAGCTGCAGATAAAGCAGTCACTGACGTAAAAGAAAAGAAGGATAAAATTGTCGAAGAAATTTCCAAAGATGCTCAAAAAGTTGCTGATACAACAAAAGCAGCCGATGAGAAAATAACAGAGGAAACGAAGAAAGTAGAAGAAAAAATAGTAGAAACCGCAGCAGATGTTACACAAGCTGCCAAAGATATTAAAGATGCAGCAGTTAAAGAAGTAAAAGAAGATACAAAAAAAGTAAAAGAAAAATTAGCAGCAGGAGCAGATACGGCTACTGTAGCTGTGGATAGTGCAAAAGATAAAGCGTCGAAAGAAGCGAAAAAAGCTAAGGAAAAAACAGGTGGTTTCTTCTCTGGCATTTTCAAAGGTGCGAAACACGCTGTAGAAGACGCAACAGACGATGTCAAAGAATTTCTCGATGAAACAAAACATGAAGCAGAATTGGAAGAAGCTCGTGCTAAAGAAGCAGCAGTTGCTGAATTGAAAGAATTGGAACATAAAAAAGATGCTGTTGTCAGTGATGTAAAAGATACAGCAGATCGAGCTGCCGCTGAAATAAAAGATGTCAAGGATAAGACTATCGCCACAGTAAAAAGTACGAAAGATGCTGTCACTGAAAAAGTCTCGGAAGATATTCAGAAAGTTGTTGATGCAGGTAAATCTGCTAAAGACAAGATTACTTCAGATGTAAAGAAAGCTAGTGAAAAATTGGATTCAACAACACAGGACATTGCACACGAAATTTCACATACGAAAGATGCAGCTGTTAAAGAAGTTAAAGAGGATGCGAAAATAGTGAAAGAGAAAATGACAGCTGGAGTTGAAGCTGTGACTGAAAGTGCTGAGACTGTTAAGGATAAAGCAGTCAAAGGAGCAAAGAAAACAAAGGAAAAAGGATCCGGTTTTTTCTCGGGCATATTTAAAGGTGCCAAGCATTCCGTTGAAAGCGCAGCAGACGACGTCAAAGACTTTCTAGATGAAACAAAACGCGAGGCAGAAATTGAAGAAGCTCGTGCTAAGGAAGCAGCAGCGGCTGGATTGAAGGAATTAGAACATAAAAAAGATGCTGTCGTTACTGGCGTCAAAGATACAACTGATCGAACTATTACTGGAATAAAGGATGCCAAAGATAAGACTGTCGCTGCAGCGAAAGATACGAAAGATAAAGTCACGGAGAAAGTCTCGGAAGATATTCAGAAGGCTGCTGATGCAAGTAAAGCTGCTAAAGACAAAGTAACATTAGAAGTGAAGAAAGTTGGTGAGAAATTGGATTCAACAGCGCAAGACATTGCACAAGGAGTTGCAGATACCAAAGATGCAGTTGTCAAAGAAGTACAGGATGATACGAAAAAGGTGAAAGAGAAATTGGCAGTAGAAGTTGATGGAGCTGCGGCTGATGCGAAACATGCAAAAGATAAAATTGTTGAGAAAGTTTCTAAAGATGCGCAGAAAGTTGCCGATACCACGAAAGCAGCCGGTGAGAAAGTAGCAACAGAAACAAAGAAAGTCGTTGAAAAAATAGAAGACACGGCGACAGATGTTGCACAGGCTGCCAAAGATGTTAAAGATGTAACAGTTAAAGAAGTGGAAAAGGATTCAAAGAAAATAAAAGAACAATTGACAGCAAGTGCTGACACTGTCACGGAAGCTATCGACAAGACAAAAGATAAAGCGAAGAAAGCTAAGGAAAAAACAGGTAGATTTTTTTCCGGGATATTTAAAGGTGCGAAACATGCTGCAGAAGATGCAACTAGCGACGTGAAGGAATTTTTGGATGAAACGAAAAGAGAAGCTTCTATAGAAAAGGAACGTACTGAGAAAGAAATGGCTGCTGGTCTCAAAGACTTGAACGATAAAAAAGACGCTGCCATCACTGGAGTCCAGGAGGTTATAGACAAAACTGTCTCTGACGTGAAAGATGCAAAGGATAAAACAATTTCTACCGTAAAAGATACAAAGGATAAAATTACTGACGACATTTCCAAAGATGCTCAAAAGGTTACTGATGCTACAAAAGCAACTGGTGAGAAAGTCGTAATAGAAACAAAGAAGATCGAAGAAAAAATTGAATCAACCGCAGTAGAAGTTGTACGAGATATTAAAGACACTAAGGATACAGCGGCTAAAGAAGTGAAAGAGGATGCAAAATTAGTAAAAGAAAAATTGTCAGCAGGTGTTGGCGTTGTAGTTCATGGTACCGAAGTTGCGAAAGATAAAGCGATCAAAGGTACGAAGAAAGTTAAAGAAAAGGGATCCGGTTTTCTGTCAGGAATATTTAAAGGTGCCAAGCATTCCGTTGAAAGTGCAGCAGACGACGTCAAAGACTTTATAGATGAAACAAAACGCGAGGCAGAATTGCAAGAAGCTCATGCTAAGGAAGCAGCAGCGACTGGATTGAAAGAATTAGAACATAAAAAGGATGCTCTTGTTTCTGGCGTACAAGATCCAGCTGATCGAGCTGTTGCTGAAATAAAAGATGCCAAGGATAAGACCGTCGCTGCAGCGAAAGATACGAAAGATAAAGTTACAGAAAAAGTTGCGGAAGATATTCAGAAGGCTGCTGATGCAGGCAAAGCTGCTAAAGATAAAGTAACATCAGAAGTAAAGAAAGTTGGTGAGAAATTGGATTCAACAGCACAGGATGTTGCACAAGGAATTGCAGATACCAAAGATGCAGTTGTGAAAGAAATACACGATGATACGAAAAAAGTGAAAGAAAAATTAGCAGTGGGAGTTGAAACCGTGGCAGATGGTGCTGAAACAACTAAGGATAAGGTAACTAAAGAAGCAAAGAAAGCCAAAGAAAAGGGATCCGGTTTTCTTTCGGGAATAGTTAAAGGCGCGAAGCATGCTGTTGGGAGCGCAAGGGACGACGTTAAGGAATTTCTGGACGAAACAAAGCACGAGGCAAAATTAGAAGAAGCCCGTGTTAAAGAAAGTGCTGCGGCTGGTTTGAAGAAACTGGAACACAAGAAAGATGCTGTTGTCGGTAGCACAAAGGATGTTACAAAAGAATTAGCATCTGATGTCAAGGACGCTAAAGATAAAATTTCCGAGTCAGTGGCTCAAGCAGCAGACACCACGAAGACTGTAACTGATAAGCTAGCAACCGAAACGAAGAAAGTTGGTGAAAAAATAGAATCTAAAACCACGGATATTGCACACAGTATAAGGGATGTAAGTGAAAGACTTGATGAAGAAATTAAAGAAGACACAAAGGTGATGAAGGATAAATTACTAACAAGTGCTGATACTGTCGCTCACGGCGCTAAAACATCCAAAGATGAGCTTGCGAAAGATGCCAAAAAGACGAAGGACAAGGGATCGGGTTTCCTTTCTGGAGCTATTCAGAGTGCGAAACAAACGGGAAAAGAAGTTTCCGACGACGTAAAAGACTTTCTGGAAACAACCAAGCAAGAAGCAGCTGCTGATGAAGCGCTCGTTAAAGAAGCCGCGGCGGCGAAATTAAAGAAACTCGAACAAGCAAAAGACAAAGCCGCTGGTGGGATTAAAACTGCTACGGATAAAGGTGCGAAGGGTGCGAAAGACGCGAAGGAAAAGAGCCTTTCCAGCATAAAAAGTGCGAGGGACAAAACAATTTCCACCGTAAAAGCGGCGGGAAGTAAGATGGGGCATAGCGTGTCGCAAGCAGGGGAAAAAGTTAAATCCACTGGTCAAGATGTGACACAGAAAATTAAACGTACCAAAGACGCCGTTGTAAGTGAAACGAAGGAAGATTCGCGAGTAGTTAAAGGAAAACTGGCAACTAGCGCGGGTACAGTTGCCAGTACGTCAGAGACTGTTAAAGACAAGACCGCGAAAGAAGCTAAAAAGGTTAAGCAAAAAGCAGGCGGTTTTATATCAGGTGTGGTAAAGACTGCCAAGCACGCGGTAGAAGACGCGACAGACGACATGAAGGAGTTTTTGGAAGAGACCAAGCAGGAGGCAACCGCTGAGGAAGCTCGCGCTAAGAGCGATCTTGCTCAAGCGAAAGACAAATCTGCTAAATCGACAACTGATGCGAAGGATAAATCTGTCGGTGCTGTCAAAGCCGCGAGAAAAAGTCCCCCGAAAGTGTCAAAATCACCAGCGGACGCGAAAGGCGCGAGCAAAGCTTCCCCTATCACTAGGAGAACGGGAAAAGTGACCGAAACACCAGCGACGAGAAAAAACGGTGATAGAGTAGGATCGAAACGTACAGGCGAGAGTGCTCAGGAGGTAGTTGTTCGTAGGTCCGAGACAAGCAGGTCGGAGACGTCCGGTGGCGTCGAGCATTTAACCGAGACAGTTAGCGTTAAGAAAGTATCTCGCATTCCACAAAAAAAGATTAGTCCGGGTAAAGAGGCGGCCGCGGACGATTCGGACAATTCGCGTAGAGTAGTAGAGACAGTAGGGCACCCCGAGCCTCGCACACGGCACTCCGTCACCACAATCGTGACAAAGTCTGTGCGAACGACCCCACCGCCACCCGGTTCACTCGCCGAGTTCACTGACAGTAGAACCGAAGGTATCTTGCAATAATCTTGCGTTATATATCCATATCTATATCTATATATTATATATTACATATACCAGCTGTGTGTAACATGATTAATGATTAAGTTGATGCTTCTCTGTAACTTCAGTTTTACTAGTTATTCTCGTGACATCAGAGAGCAAAAAAAAAAAGAAAAAGATATATATACATATATATACATTCATGCACCTTCGTCACTCATTAATGAAACCTAACACTCTAATCTTTCAGTCATTTCCAATTCATTAATTCATCATTTTACGACCCGTAGAACCAATCGACAACATCCGAGACATTCATACTACCGCTTGTCCCCATTATAATTTTCTGCGTACTGTTTTGGATTTACTTTATGTTTCCATGTGTATTCGAATGGGTATATTGTTAATCAAAATAAATTTTACATATCTAAGACAATGCGCTTAATTACGATTATATTTAAATTAAAATCCAAATCAGGAACGATTCGTTATAATATATATGAAGATTCAAAGAGACATCTGAAAACAATATCGAGAAGAACAGACGATATACCTATATGTACTACATTTAATTATTTGCTACACTTATTTTCAGTTATGTCTTAATGATTTTGTTAACACCCATTTAATGCATGATTCCAGGTTTTTACGCTATTTTTTAAACGTCTCTCTTACCACGATGGATAATTTTCCTAGTACTACTTCTAGTAGAACACCGGAATCTCTTATTTTATCGTCGTGTCTCTTTTTTTTCGTTTGTAGCGTATAACATATAGAAATCACGTATTTACGATTATGCGGTAATTATGTCTCATTGAAATTAACAGGAATACCACAACTAGCGAAGCATGAACCGAGGTATGCCATGCAGAGAAAAAAAACATCATCCATCATCTAATCTTTGTTGAATCACTGCTTTTAATGTCGTATTTGCCGATTCCCGGTGTGAACTCAATTCTCTCTCTGTGTGAACTTTTCAGATGTGACCAAAGAGGCTGCGCGACGGGCACAGAACCTGGCAGACCAGGCGTACACCTCGACGAAAGCAGGTAACGTAAAATCAATTCGAGTAAAGTGTAAAAGAATTCACGTACGCGGATCATCATCTCCGATCGAAGATCAGTAACGGTAGCAGATTCTATATTTTTTTGGTGCCCTCATTTATATTTAGCTTTATCTTCCATAGTTAGCACCTGCCGATGCTTTCACACTAACTGATACTGCGCGCACGTCTCTTACTAAATAGTTACCGATTTCTTTTCTTTTATTACCGAGAGGTATCTCGATTGAAAAGCCAATCTGTATATACTCGTCGAGTAGTTTAGTCAGTTGTACAGCGTGTCCAAGTAAATTATGGCATTGTAGTACCGACGAGAAGGTGATTCTTTTGGAAAAAAAGACAAGTAAAAGATATATAGTTTAGATTTTACCATTTTTCAATTGCGTAGTCTCGACAGAATTTGGCATATTTTGAACGCTCTCGGCGCGTTTCTCTGCTTCCACAATGGTACGTTTTAGTAAGACTCAGGCGCCAAACACCGTTTTTTAATGAGTGTACTCTCTTCCGTTTTCGATAAACAGACTAATCCTGGTTGCAATATTGATACTAACTAAAAAAATAACTAAATACGCGGGCAATACAATAGCCACAATGCACGCGCACACGCATCACGCGCGAGACGCATCTCTCCGGGATCGCCTCTCTCATACCCCACGTGCGTGCGTGCGTGCATCAGGCGCGAGTCTCTCGTTAAATTAGTGCGTAATGTGCGCGTACACATGCGAGGCAGACACGCTCCGAATCTTTCCGGTCCAACTTTGGCAGCTGGGCTAGAGTTGAAATTCTTAGTGTGTATCAATGTGCTTTATGTCCTTGTTCCTGTTCTTGTCCATGTCCTTTTGGATGGGTCAGGGCATGATTCGGCTGAGATTGATGGGACTGTAGAGAGGCATGCTACTTCTGCTCCATCAAAACAACCTGTTCCCGCCCCGCGTTACTCCACCACCAAGCCGTCTACCAAACCCGAGTTCCATCTGGAGCTCAGTGATGCCTTACGAACACGTAAAACGGCCGAGCAGCCGCCCAAGTCGACGCAGGAGGCGCAGTCACCGAGCAAGAGCAGTTCAAAGATACCCGTTAAAATCGACCCTCACGCTAAATCGAGCGACGATCCCGAATCCGTCCCATTAGAATCGGAAGACTGTATCATCGGTCCACGAGCAGTTTCGCGAACCATCAAATACGTTACTAGAGAATACACAGACGGGGAATTGACCAAAGAGACTGTGGAAGAGAAGAAAAGAATATCGTCAAGCGATGCGATGCAGACAGTCAAAGCGGGCGACCTGACCGAGACGACCAGCAGATCGGAGATGATTCCATCGGTAGAGCAGATACGACGAATAACAACTACAGAAACCAGCGATTCATCGATTGATCCTGCGAAACTGGAGGAACTTTTGAAGACGGGGGATATCATCGAGACGGTGAGGACTAGGACTTTGACGTCGGAGGATGATGCTTTGCAACCCATAACGCGCGAGGAGGTCAAGAGGATAAATCAGGTCACTAACACGCTGCCGAGCGAGATCTTTGATTTCGGCAACAAGTTTCCGGACTCCTCTACTACGATAAAGACCGACAGATCGGAGTCTGACGGTGTCGTGCAGACGGTCACGACTGTGCAACACATGACGACAGAGATGCCGGACAGAACCGAGAGGGTAGTGAGAACGGTGATCTCTAGTAGTGGTGGCGGCGACTACGGGAACACGGAGTCCGTTCTGAAAAGCCTTCAAGAACAATTAACGAAATCCGAGATCGGGGAGACCGCCTCTTGGACAGCGGCGAACGAACAGTGGGAGATGCAGTATTCCCAAGACACGTCGCCCGGTTCCGGAAACGGCGGTGGCGTTGACACGTTCGCCAGCAACAACAACAATAACAACAACAATAACAACAATAAGAACGATGGTAGTTCGAGGCACGATATGCACAGCGACACCGATAGTGACGGTTCGCCGCAACCTAGAAGAAGATCCCCGAGCAAGAGGCGTACGTTGGGCAGTTCCAGCGGGTCGGATGTAGCACTGCACGAAGGTGCGGAGCTGTCCCCGTTGGAGGACGACCAAGGTACCGCACTCTCACAGCTAACCTTCTGCATAAGCAATGTACATACCCCTCGAACTCCCCTTCGCTAATCGGTTATCTCCCAGATTATGTGAACGAACGAGCCCGAAAAAAAAAAGAAAAGATATATATATATATATATATATCTGTACATAGATTATTACATTGAGCTTTGGTGTTGAATCCCGGCTACCTTTGCACGCAATTTCCATGCATTTTCCTGTATTTCCCGCTAGTGCATGACGAGAAGAGTTAACATTGGGTGATGGAATTGATTGATAAAGATCATCTCTGAAACGATAAAGTTGATCGATTAAAATCACTCAAATTCTAGAATTATATTATAAAAATTATGGATATATTTGTTCCGGAGATGTAAATTTGGATTTGGAAACAGTCAAAGGTCTTCTATTAGCTCGTTTACAATTTGCATTTGAAATTTTCTTTTACAATTAATTTTAATGTAGCTTTTTTAATTAAATTTATTTGAAATATTTTTCGCAGTATCCGATTAACTATTACATACATATATAACTTTTAAAACGTTTAAGAAATCTTTTCTTGAACTTGGAAGGAATAATCGATGTCGAAAATTTGGAACATAATTTTATTAATTTTCAGTTGGGAGGATCTTTGATTCTTTATTGCTTGAAAAAAAAACTTGAGGTTGCAAGGAGCAAAATGGGGAATTGTTCGTTTGGAAATTGCATGATCTGTGATGTTTTGCATAAGGATGTCGATGGCGTGCGTATAGAAGGGTAAATGACCCGGAAGGAAAAATAAAGCTTGTGAGGTGCAGTCGTATAAGCCTGCATAAAGTATGCGGTATATTCCTCTTCGTGGGCGTACTGCGAGAAATTGTAACACGTGCGGTTAATGGTAGTCAACTTGTAAGTGTTGCTTCTCGTTCGGGAAATGTTTGACGACGATAACGTCGTTTTCTTACTTTTTTGTTTGTTCGTTGGTTCTTGGCTACAGGATGGATGGAGTCTTGTGATCAGGGGCTTCCTGGGACTAGCATACTTTCATTCGCAATCAGCCACATTGAACGATCGAATATTTATCATACATTGGCGCATTGTACATGCGTTTAATGATATTTAAAAAGAAAGTTCTAACGAAGTATCTTCACATAATTTTATCGAAATGGCGCTGACAAAACAACAGGTGTAATAATCGAAAGAAAGTTTCATACAAAGATCGCAACAAGCACTTGAAAAATCTTCACGGATCGTAAATTCAACGCATATTTGGTCATTTTATGCTAAACGGTATGAGCCAATTTACAGAAGCTTTTCCAAAAAATTGCATGAGATTATTTTCATTACTCATAAAATTCATTACGGACAGCGATTAAATCTTGAATTCGTCTTTTGAAACTTCTAATTTAAATAAATTAAAATATCGGTAATATTTTGCGTACTAACAACAATTTCATCGTGAGCATACTGTTGAATAATGATAAAATTAATCTTATCTCGACTTTGACTTCCGAGACAGAATGTGGCTATCCTGTTACTTTCGGCTTTCTCATACTAATTACATGGCGATGAAGCCATCATCCAGTCAATCAGTCAGTCAAGTCAATCAGTCAATCAACTTATCGAAATTCATATGTACGATCATAATTCATAGCAATTGATAATCTTTAAGTAGCAGAAACACACGGTATGGTACAGTCGATTTGCTCAGGTAATACGATAGAACCGACGACTAGGACGAAGACACCTGGTAGAACCAGCTGCGCGTGTTGGATGAGCATAGCTGTCGCTGTGCTGGTACTTCTAGTTGCGCTTATACTTGCCGTGGAGCCACAAACGTTTCGACGTGTCTACACCCTGTCTAACAATATTCCGAGGCAAGCCGGGTACGATTACCCTTTACATTATATATTTTCTATTAAAAAGTATATCATTTTACAATATTAAATCTCTTTTAAAAGCCAAGCCAAGCTTCTATGGCCATCAAGATAGAAACCTACGCTACCAATCAGTATCGTTACTCAGTGTCGTTATTCAAAATCTTCAAAAATGACACAATTCAAATTTTCTTTGATTAATGCGCGTCGATTAGCTTGAACTTTTGCTTCATGCAATGATTATTATTACAACCCCACATATTCACTTTTATAAGCAACAATTCAAAAATTTTCAAGTTATGACTTAATGTATTATAATACAATGTATTATAATATTAATCAAATTGTTTTAAACGTGTCACTTTTGATGAAGAAGTATAATTAATTGATATCTTCGATTATCGTGAGTGATGTGTTTAGGGATTGTATAAGTATTTATATTTACAAAGTATGCAATGTCCCAGCAAAATTTTATCGACAAATATTTTTATCGAATGTGATATTCGCGTGAAACACTGAAACTTACTTTCATTTTAACCACTTGCGATCGCAATTGATTTCAAAGCTAGTTTATTCGCATAATTTATCTAAAAGAAGATTTTACTTCGATCGACCGTCAGCAGTGTGATCTTAACAGTCCTGGTGAGAAAGATTGAAAGAAAACGCACAACGAATGATTTGTAAAATTAAATCGCCTTCTGTCACACGTAGGGTCACTCTCTTGTCTACCGAAAGCGAATACGCCACGTACGTGTGATAAATCATCATTTACCTCGAAAAGACAGGTAAACCCACCGCGATCGACGAAACTTGTTCCGCAAGCTTTCTTTTTTCTAGAATACGACCTGCATGAGTATTGATATTGACACCCCCTCCCCCCCGCATGATTGCATTTTTGCATCGTACGAACCTTAGTTTACGCCCATAGTAGCTGTTTTAGTTTTGCGCAGTGCCCCGTTGTCGGGGTACGACGATTTTCCCGCTCCGAATCAAAAAATATGTTCTACGCCTAGTTGCACGTACCTTCGCCGTACCGAAAAGAATTCCCTCCCCTATCTCTTTTATCTTTCGTTTTCCGTTTTTGTCTTCTTTCTTTCTTCCCCTTCTCTTTCTGTTTCTCTTTTATTTTAGTTTCGAGCATCCTATAGATCACTATTACCCCTCTAGCTCTCTTCTGACAATAAGCAATTCAAGATAAAGCTAAAGTGTAGAGGGACCAACAGTCTTTTTTTAGTCACGTTAGGATTGTTAGGCGAATCGTCATGTAAGTAATCTCTAAGTGTATGTATATGTATCGTGCCTATACACGTGTGCAAGCACAAGATGTGCAGCTTGCTTCGGATTCTATCGATGTACGGATGAGTACACACGGCTACTTCTCGAACGGCACCAAACCAACTCTCTTTTCGCCGCGACGTGAGAGCGAGTTGCGTTGCACCGACCGATGTGCTGCGGCTTTCTAACGAATCCACCACCGAATCCGACCCCTTTCCGATCCCGCAGAAACTGCATACGTACGTCAAAGGGCAGTGCGAGAGAGATTAAGAACCGATATAACTCCGGTGAGTTTGGATTTTCAGCGCACCATTTCGACGCATCGAAAGGCGGACTCCCCGGAATTACATCCGGTTTCAATCCCCGTGAGGATGGAGAATCGAGACTGAAGATATTCGCGATTTCTTCGTCGCATCCCTCGAGCCTGTAATCGTTCTTCTTATACAGCGAACTGCTGATCCGAAACTGTAACGCAACAATCATTTCGATCATTGGTTAATCAACGTCCAAGCGTTGATTAGCGCATGACACGTGCTTTATTGATTCAGTATCCTTGAAATATTCACACTTGAGTTTCCCTCATTCGTACATAATACATTTCCTATTTTTTTGACGTGCCAGAAGATCGATCGACTCAAGTAAAATAATTTCTTGTCGCTCCGAAGAAGTCGAAGTCTCCGCGAGAAATTAATGTACCTTCCACATCGGGTATTAATATTACCGAATACCTGTAGTAATAGTAATACTCCAGCAACAACCTGACCGTTCGTCTAACAATACTAACTAATGTAGTTAGTACGGGCTCCTATGAAATGGCTGCCAAATCTCATGGAGCGTTTTGTGCGTTTTGCAAAACTACGGTCAAAACCAAAGGGCAGTAAACTTACGCGTAAAAAATCGTGATGCCTGTTTCTCTTTTGCGAATTTAAATCTCGATAGTGCTCTTTATCGAAGAAAAATGTATTTCGTGCACACAATAGCAATGTGTAAAAATATATATAAAGTCGAAAATCTTTTTTGATTTATCTCTTTAAAAGTCATTGCTTTACTTCGGATGAGATTTCGAATTCGCCTCTGCTAAGGTACCGCATTTTCAAACTTCACACGTATTTGAATGAATATAACATCCGGATGTATTTACCGAACTGTTGGAGAAACACCACTTTCAGTTTTTACCGTAGTATAATCTGTTGTACCGAGAACGTTGAGTACCTACATTCTCTTACGACTAACTGCTAAATGCTTTGTTCAGCGGCTTTTATCAGCGCTTCACACAAGCTCGCTGCGCGCAGCACAATCGTACTGAGAAGTATTCCGAATATTGCTCAGTAATAATGTCGCCGTACTTAATTAACTACAGATCAACGAGCGTTTATCTCTAAGCGCTGTTACAACAGTGCTGTCTTCCTATGAAACGTAGCTGATTCTTCAAGCGACCCTAAATAGCAGAACAATTACGTTCGAAAAAGTAATTGACGAAATAAGTTTGTCTAACGTTATAAAATCAAATTTATTTGATTTTGTTAATTAGCATTTTTTCCGTTCGCATCTAAAAAAAAAGCATTTTATAAAAGTCCCGTCAGACGAAATTGGATCATACAGACTGCTATTTAGGATTCCCAGTCAGTAAATGCAAATTATATATCTTTTATCTTCTTGTACATGACGATCGACAGGGGAAATCGTCGTAGGATCGGCGAAGGAGCTTCTCGTGAAGGAATGATCAGAGGATGCAACGAGGAATCATCTCCTCGTCGATTGTACCACGATTTAGACTCCCCGTAATTAATTACTTACGCGATATGTTTAAATTGCAATCGGGACATAGGAATTCGGCCGAATTTGAGATGATTTACAGCTTGTAGCACACGTGTAAAAGTAATTAGCATCACGAGAAAACGAGTAGTGGACACAGTAAAAGTTGTACAAGTATTAATCACGCGAGGTATAATATCTACCGTAATCCACGTGCAGAGGAAGATCACACGTGAGAAAAACGGTTGCATAGTTTGGCTAGTTGAGTGAAAACGCGTTATTATATACATACAACATATATATATTATGTATCAAATGTTTAGCGGTGTTGTAACTTTTTTTATATGTGTCTAGTCTTACCCCCTTGTTTTGGGCATGATGTAAAATTGAAATATATATATATATATATATATATATATATATATATATACGATTCGTACTTGTTTTTTTATGTAAAACGTGCAACAGCGAAATAGCGAAATTCGCCGCGTTCGCAAAGCGTAAGAAGCAGGTGTTTGATTTGTTCTCGTTTGTTGTCGCAGAATCTGACTTTTTGCAACATAGCGAGCCATCCTTTGTGGAAACGACAACGATCGAGGTGGATCCTGTCACTCAGGAAAGGTACATACATAAATTACGATCTTTTTTTTTCTCTTTTTTTAATTTATCAGAGGCAGGTACGTTGACTATTGTCTCCTATACAGTGATCAAATTTACTTGCTTCTATCTCTCGATCATTTTCGACATTGCTGTTTGTTTCGAAAATTATTTCAAAATTTTTTCTTGCGTCGCGCGATGATCACAAAGCATGGTAAAATCGAAAAGTTCAAATAGATAAATGTAATCTCGATGGAATTGTCTTTTGCAGTATAACGACGACCACGCGAACGGAATCGAGGACGATATCGTCCGCGGGAGCCGGTGGTACGGACGATTTGCGAGAATCGATGCAGAAGATCATGGACACGTTTATGACGGAGGAGAGGAAGGATCATTAGAAGTAAAGGTGCGCGTTTCACCCTTGCGAACTTGCGATGAGAAGAGAAAAAGAAATCGCCGTCGATTCTCGACGCCGATCCCCTCGTCGATCTTTGGATCTTTCACCTTTGGAGGGAAGCACCTCGATGGATCTCGGACTCGACTCGGCGCGTCCTCGGGCGTTGAGCGATGAGTTTACCATCACGATAGGATCGGGAGCACATGAAGACGCTTGCTCTCTCGGGGTGCTACCTTCCACACAAAAACATGCACGATGATTTACTATCACGCTCATGGCCTACGCTTCGAATTTGCTTGCCTTTCCGTTCCGCTCGGTTGCCTTACCTCTTTACGTTCGTCGGAATCTCGCGATCGATGATAATGATATTGATGATGAAATGCGTATGTCGTTGCTAGTCCGATTAGCCGATTCGCGCTAGTCTTCACTATGCCAACCCGTCCATGTATGTGCAACGCCTTTCTCGTGTTGTCTAAAGCTATAATGCGAAATGGAAAGGAAAGAAAGTAACAGGTGTGATGACGATGGGGAATGTCGGAAAGAGAGAAATACGAAAAAGGCGGGAACGCGACAAGATGAGATCGAACGAGCGATCTGCCGATATCAGCGATCGTCTAGATTAATAGATAAGATTCTCGCGAGAATAGCCCGTTTATAAGCTTTAGGATGGTTATGCATCTCTATCCGCGCAATATATCGCTTAATAGATCGGCAATACATATATATTCTTCATTAACACTTTCGGCGGTGGACAATTGACGAAGTTTCTGAAAAAACGGGAATAAGGGAATTTCTTGTTGTTACTCGATTCAAATCGCGAGTTCAGGCACAATAAAAAAGAACGACGAACCGCGAGAGGTGCCGGACCATTGCGCGCACCGGCCGTGTTGATTTGATTAACAGTGAGAAATGTTTTTATGCATCGGAACACATAATGTATAAATTTAACTTGTTTAAAGGATATTTCCTAACAGTTTTTAATTGTATATATGATAATTTCTTAGCGTAACTTATATATAATATATATATATATATATATTATACACACATATACAAATATATATATATATAAATAAATGTACTATGGACACGATTGTAATAATTGTAAGACGCTAACAGGAATATTTTATTTATATAGCGAGCCCCTGGATAAATGTTACATGCTCGTTAATTTGTAAGCTCGATACGATTATACTGTCAACGTTGTCATCCACGTGAACCAGTGTAAACTAAAGTATAGCAGCTAACGACACGCGACAATGTAGGGATATATTATGTTGTCTGAAATCCGCGCGATGCGAATTCGTTTTAATATCTATAAGCCGATGTTAGCTTTCAATGTACGACACAATTTTAATGAGCGCAGAAGAGGAGGAAGGAAAATCATATATAATATATAAATATATTTAAAAGAACAACAAAATTTAAATAAGCTATTCTATTAATGTATAATATATTGAAAGATATAATGATTATGCTATCTGAAGTTTATAAATTATTATCTATAATGACTGTTATACTACGTTTAATAGACTTGCCTAGAGCCTATCTGACCTAAGGACCAAAGGCACAATCACACACGCGCATCAAAATAAAATAATATGCTCCCATGTATTGTCGTAACATTTAGTATATAATTCATTACGAATATCGCGACGCTGGTGCTTCAACGCTATCAACGATGCTCCGCGATTTATCTCATGAGGAAAAAAACATTTGTATGCATTGTTACACACACACACAGATATTTATATAAAACGCAACTATGCGTGACTATATTACGTGGCGCACAAACGATATGTTCCATGTGCAATAGCAATGTACTTTATATTGTTTTACCAACGTATGTGATATGAAAGTATTGTTCTAAACGTATGTAATAACTGTGCTACTTATCATCGTTGAAGTATTGACGTGCCAGGGTCGAGTCGATGCTTTATATCTCACATACTTTTGTACAAGTTGATTTTCGTGGACAACGTAACACGTCAAGCAATCAAGCATATTCCCCCCCCCCTCCCCCCATGCTAATTACATGTCCCTCCTCAATACTATATATGACATTAAACTATCACAATGGCATCGCATGGCGTCAAGGTATCAAAAACGAAAGAGACTATAATTTACTATATACTATTGTGTGATAGAACTATCAGCGGCATAATAAATAAAATGTTGCATCAGAATTACACAATGTCCTCTGCAATGGAAGGATAAAGAAAGAGGACACCCATCTCATCCTTTCATTCACATTTGAGCATTCGATAAATAACCGATCGATCGCCATCCATTTTTTCCGTGTATTTCTCTTTCATCTAACATTCTCTTATTGTTTTTAAATATTCCATTATTAAAAAAGAAACTGATATATTTCGGATATGAACTGAACGGGACATTTTACGTAAGTATATACATTTTTCGTATTATAAACCGTATAAAGGTATTTATTTCTAATCGATAAGTAACAGGGAAAAGATGTGGGAAAGTAAATATTTTTTTCGCAATTTACATACGTAATTTTATTTAATATGAAAAAAGTTGAAATTTACAATCAAATTATTATTTATAATTGTGTTATAATTAACTAAATCTGATATTCTTTTATTGAGACAAAAATGATATAACTTTTGCACATTTTTGTCGTTGCTAATACCAAATGACACCAAATGAAATGCAGCACGCACTGTAATTCCCTTTTGATATAACGAAGAATACATGAACAATTGCACAGAACGCATGCCCTGAGAATTAAATCTGGCGCGCGTTATTTGTCGTACTGATGATAGCTATATTATTAACAATGTATCGATAACACGATCGAAGCTATAATAAAAAAACGCTAAGACAGAAAAGTCACTAAAAAGTCAACTTTGTCCTCCCTCACGCGTTCTTTTAATTTATTAATTTAGCAATTTATACTAGAGCTGTAGTAGTTCTAAAATCTCATCAAAATTTGACAAGTCTAATTGTACATTACTTCACTTCTCGATGGATAATTTTTAGTGAGAGACATTTCAACATATAAAAAGAGTACTTACTGCATGATATACATAGTGATATTAACATTTTCTTAAATAATGTATATGTGTATTTCACGAATTGGCAGATAATATATAACGTAAATAAAAAGAAAAAAATAATCGTACAAAGATGGTATATGCGCACCGATTACATACACAAACGCAGATCTCGCTAATCTGTGCCGTGTACGAGGAATTTTAACTCAACGTGCTAAATATCTGTAATTTTGCTATTTGGAAACTGATGCGCCTATAAAAATTTACAAATATTAAAAACGACTATTTAAACTAGAACACGATGTTACCCATAAACTGACGATTTATTTGTAGATACAGGGAGATGAGCTACTCGACAGAAGGAAAACTTTGACGTTGTATAATTGCATTTTGTGAAATGAGAATAGGATGTCCCCATGCACTTTCTCGTGATGTACCTTTTTTTTTTATTATTACACTGCGGGTCATCAGATCTGTAAGGACAATCATTATGTAAGGCATATCATATTATTGCGTATATACTGAAATAAATGAGAAAGCAAACTAGCCTAGCTTTTTAATTTTATCTTATGTGCTATTGCATATAAGATAAAATAAATATAGAGAAGTTAGAGGAAATAAAAACAAGTTATAAGTATAATACAATATACAATAATGATATAAAATAGATGGATTATACACAAGTACATTTTTTCAAAAAAAAAGTACATATGAAAAAACTTACATTGTCAACATCATCTTCATCATCGTCGCTAATTTCGTCACCAAATTCAATGTCTTCATCGAATCCATCTTCCACGAAGGTTACTGTGTCATTGATACGCACTAAGAGGAAAAAAATTACATTAGAAAATGTATAAAAGAAAAATTTGTCACATTTTCTGTACAAAATTTTATTTTAATAAATTTTTTAAGATTATTTTCACCAAAAGTTAAGCAGGCTCTACTAATCTACATTTCGAATTTTTCATCACAAACGTTCTCGATTGTTCCGCAGTAATGCCACTTACCAGTTTCTGGGAACTCGCCGTAGGTCTTCAGATTACGCGCTTCGTCGGACGTGTACTTCAATATAACGTCTGCCTTGGCATCCTGGTAGTCTCGCAGTCCGATCAGTATGATGTCTCCCTGATTAATCCACACCTTCTTCCGCAGCTTGCCTCGGATGTGGCACAATCGTTTGACTCCGTCGAAGCACATGGCCTCTAGCCTGCCGTTGCCCAGCATTTTTGTCACCTGGGCGTACTCTAAATAAATAGCATTAAATAAATAGCTCTAAATAAGGGCGCAAAATAAATAGCGAATGAGTCACCGTGATCGACTCGTTTCCCGTGCGAGGCTGATTCGTGCGTGAGCCACGGACTGAGGTGGCCGAGTGATTCTACGTTCTAGAATGTTCTAGAATCTTCGCGTTAATTTAGTACTTCATTACTTTCGCGTCAGTACTCGTTCACAACGTATTAGTTTTACATCGCGTGACTCTAAGAATTTGGGCGAATTAATTCTCGTATAGGGAATAGGCTCATAATAAAAGAAGAAGAAGTTTCCCGTGAGAAGGTCGCGTCGCTCGCACCACATCTCACTCTCACCTTGCCCGTCTTCCTTGAACACCAGCTCTCTCTTCTCGGTCTCGTTCTCGTTCTTCCCTCTTCTCCTATTTTTACCTCCCTTTCCTGCGAACAGAGCGTGAAAACGTTCTCAGCGAGATACGCGAGTGGGTGAAAATATGTGCGATTTAGCTCGCGCCTCGAGGATGATCTTGACGCGAAATTAGGTTAACAAACTTAACCACATTAGTAGGACAAAACGTGAGTCGAAAAATCGCGGGATTTCGAGGTGGAAAGACGGAATCGCGATCGCACTTACCCTTATTCTTTGGCATGATGCTCTCTAGCACGGCGTTTCCGAACGACCAAAGTACGATTAATCCGACGAAAAGCGACAGGACGATGCAAGCGTCAGAGATCCTCGTTGCGAGTTTTGCGACAGGAACGGTCGACTGCGTGACAGGAAGTGAGGACTGAGGGGAGATGTCAGTCTGAACGAAACACTCTTCTCTCCAGTTTTGATTTTTAGACAATAAATATTCTCGTAATTTTTGATTAACGAATCAGTGGAGAAAAATGTAAGCGCGATAGGAAAAAATTTACGAAAAATTTCGATCTAACAACAAGTTGATTCGAGAATCGTGCACTTCCGACTTGCCCACGATTCACGGATGTTACGACACAAAACCCGTGGTTTGAAAACGTGAATTCGTCCATTCCGCAGACTTCTAGAAATTCTAGAAATATATAGCGACTAAACAGAAGTATATAATTTCTATGCACGTCCCATCGGATTGTGCTGAAGAGGCTGCGAGAATTTCAATATCAAATCTAACGCATTTTTTGAGTTTCTTTCGAATCGGTTGCGATGAAAGAATTGGGCTAAAAGCGCGATTATAATTAGGAAGGTCTGCCAAGTGGGCTTGAAGGTAATCGAAAAACGATGACATTATCAACGATTTTAGTTGTACTGCAGAGTGCAGAGGATAACAAACACGATCGTTAAAATTTACGTGCCCAAATCACTATAGTTTATTATCGACAGTGAAAAGTTTATAATATATTTCGTCGGTAGATGTAGCTACGTAGTACCCGTTTAAAAAATGGATGTAGTGGCGCTAGTACGGGGAGTTCTGACGGTCCCAACTGGTCCCAACTCCCACGTAAAAGGTTAGGATGACCGCTCCCATGCTTCACTCTGCTCCACAGATGTAAATATCTTCTCCGGCTGCACCGCATTGCACTTTCTGCACTCAAAATGAGATGGATTTGCAATCAGCTGTTGGAAAGAAAAAGAGAAAGGATATATAAACAGAGCACATTCGTACAGCTGCGAAGCAAGCGCATATGTCGTAATTAGCATTTGATCTTGAGAGTTGAGATAATTATTGATAGATAGTTTAGCTGTTAACCTTCCGTGGCGGAGAACATCCACATACATTGTTAATGTAAAGAAATACGACAGCAAGGAAGAATAATTATACAACTCGATATAATTGTGCACGTTCGCTCCACTGCGAATTGGTTAGCTAATTAATAAATTTTAGATAGTTTGAATTGTAATCGAGTGTAAATTGCTATGTTATCCAGAGTGACAGTTAATATTATTAGGAGATCGGTATGCAGCAATGCACGTACTCTTTGTCACACACCTCGATGTCTCTTACAGTCGGAGCTCTCTTTGTGCAAGGATGGTGCAAGGTCACATAGTGTACAAAATCATTATGACTTATATATAGCAAAAAGATTCAAGTCCAGTAAGAAGAAAATTGCTAACATTGTAATTAATATAATAATTTCCATTCTTAATTTCTTTTTCTTAATATAATCTAATGACTTTTGTCTGTTTGTTCCTCTAACGGGCTTTCACAAGGTGCAGATGAATGTATTATCTTTGGAATATATTGCAGAGGAAAGACAAAGATGAGGATTCCGACGAGGAGAAAGAGAAAGACGATGAGGTGGAAATTCCTATGGGTTCAAAAGTTATTAAAAAAAAAGTACTTTCTCTTCGATTAGACGCCATTTCTAAAATTGGATTTGGAATAAGTCGCAAGTATGTCTAAATTTTAGTTTGGCTGTAATTTGCGTATATATAAAACATTTGATTTGTAATTTATAATACTTTTACTCAAGTCTTACCTATTTTTATATTCTTGTTCTCAGTAAAATTGAGGAGATCTTCTATGATAGCAGACTTCGCGTAAATGGAAAAAAAGTATTAAAGAAATCTAAAGAGGTAAATTTATATTTTTATAATAAAGCTAACATAATTTCTCGATAGTCTATATATGATTATCATTATCCTTGTATCTAGTACAATTATGGAATTATGATAATAGGTGCAAATAGAAGATGAAATCGACATGATTTTACATCAAAGTGTGGACAATCCTGGGTTCCTTGTTGTAAACAGAATTGTGATATTATCAATATATCCTACACATGACGGTATACAAATTAAATTATCTGTAGATAGAAACTTACTAATTGAAGATTATCAGGATTCCTATCTATAACCTGTAAACTTTTTTACAAATCAATAAAATTGTGTATTGTACAAACAATATATATTATTATATTTAATTAATTAATTATAATATTAAGAAGTTTAACAATTTACTCTCAACTACCTATTATCTACATATTTTTTAATACATTTACATATGTGTTTATAAAGGGAGGGAATTATTTAGCAATAAGAAATACATTACAATTATGGAATACACTAATGTTAATTTATTCTGTAATCTGTTTTAATTTATCAGGGATTGGCTCCTGAATTGCTCCTATTTCTTGCAACAGGTCATGTTTAGATCCAAAATATTCTTTATACCACATAATATGTCCAATTTTCTCTTGAACTGTCATGTATGGATTCTTGGAAAGTCCAGTGCACACTAATTCCATAAAATGACGTACCGGTCCCGATTTAGGACACCATTCCTTCAGATGACGTTCCATAAAGACATGTTCTGAGAAATGAACATTGTACTCTTCTTCCATTCCTGAAATATACAGAAATATACAGATAAAATTTTTTTTTCAAGTATCAGAAAAAAAGTATAATCTATGGCATGTAATAGAAACCTTGCTCATTGTCAATGGGGAATTTCCATAATTTTCCTTGCTCCGTCCAAAGAATCAGCTCTTGAAAAACATTGGCAGGTGGATAAGTTGTCATTGCTTTTAATTCTCTTTGCTCTAACACCGCCCACGTTTTCAATTCCGGTATATTTGGCGAAATGGCACCCATATTTTCGAAAACTTGACTAGGCTTTCCATCCCATAAATTGACATCTTTAAGCCTATCATACAATAACCAATAAAAAATTGAATGTTAAATATATCATGAAAATATGAATATCTAAATAGATCATAACATAATATTATAGCTAAATAATTGTACTTGAATTTCACCTCTGTTATGTAATAATTAATATTATATTTCTTGTAATACCTGGTACGAGGCTTTTCTTTATTCTCTAACTGTGTTTTAGATTCTTTACGACTTTGTAATAATTTTCTTGTTACACTATCTTCAACTACTTTTACTGGTTGCTTATTATAATCATCCAGCAGGTTTTGTATTATAGACTTCTTTTCTGTATATTTTTCTTGGGAACTTTCTTTAACTACTTTCACTGGTTGCCTATTATATTCGTCCAACAGAGTTCGTATTATAGACTTTTCCATATCTTTGTCTTGGAAATTTTTTTGTACGTTGTGTTTTTGCGATTGTTTGACATTAACATTCTGCCTTTCACTGTTAAATAAAATTATATTGTAAAAATATATTTTTATAAAATTTATAAAATCACATAGAAATATATTATATGTACAATTTATTGTATTTAATGCATAACAATTTACATACACGCTTGCCGATTCTTCTCTTAATGCTTGTACTCTAGATGCAAGAACTTTTTCAAGCAAGTCTGATGTAGTCTTCGTTTTATCCCCACCAAGCATATTGGCCACATCTTCTGCCGCACTTACTATTTTCTTTTCTACAAAAAAATACAATTTAACTCGTTGAGAAAGATTTAAATCTGCAAAAATCTAGTATTATCGCAGCACAAACTTACCAAAAGGTACGGGTTTCTCCAATTTAGCTTGTGATTTCTTTTTAGGCTGCATGGCAACATCAATGGTGTTTTGCAGCTTTCTCGCCTATAAGAGCAATGACAAGTATCTTCATTAAAGTATACTAGTGTATGTATTTTTCTTTAAATTCATTTAGAAAAAATATTCTTAAAATATTATTTATTATTAATATATTACTTTTAAATATATCAATATTTTATTTTAAAATTTAGCAAATATTATTTAAATGCTTTATTTAATTAGCAGTTCTTAAACGCGATACTTTAAAGAAAATTATTTTGGAACATAATGATACTATTTAAAAAAAATAAATATATTTTTATTATCTTCTCAAAGCAATCATTTTTAGAACTTTGCATGGTTTATTAAAAATAGAGTAAAACTAATAGAGATATTTCTAATATAAGTGAAATAATAAATTCTAGATTTAATAGAAATTAAAGTAAACAATCATAATAAAAATCATGATTTACTTGTATCATGTTACTCAAGAAGCTTTCCAAATCATATTTGTTATCTGATGTTGCATTTGCAGAACTTGCACTTTTAACTTGTGTCACCTTTGGTTTTGCTTTTTCAGTATCAGAATCAGAATCAGATGAATCTGATGATGTAGAAGATGAAGAGCATAATCTCGCAGAAATATTTATCCATTGAAATAATATTCCATTTGAAGGTTTTATATTACATCTGTAAATTATATATATTTTTTTATATAACAATAAAATTATAATTAATATTTCATAATAAAATTTCTATACATTCAGCAATACAAAATTTGCTAGACAGACGTGTTAATACGTTTTTCAACATCTACTAATTTCAATATCTTGGCGCAAATCTACTTACTTCGATAATATATGTAAGGACAACATATTTGCACGTAAATATCTACGAATCAATTATTTCGCACTGAGATACAAACGCTTATGCGATAGCACTTGACAGTGCTTCGAGAAACAGGTAATCGTAGACGCTGTTGTAGAATCTAAATACGAAAAAAAATTAAGTTACTGACAGTCACGTATATAAGCACGAGGTATTTGTTGACAAAATTTAATTACAAAAAATAATAATAAGTAATGCAAGATTACAAATGAGAGATTACTTCTAACCTAAAGGGAACTCGAGAGAAACCGGAGTCACCGGAGACCGGAGAGAGACCACTACGGACCTCTCGCAGGGTGATCGCGAACTGCAGATCGGGCTCCGGTAAATTCGCCTCTCGCGGTATCGATACGTCAGATTCAAAACAGAGAGTATCGATACATATCGCGTCGCGGCGCAACGCAGTAAACCACCAACACCAACGGCGACAAATGAAAGCGTGACGTGATCCTGCAGCGCGCGTCACATACTAGTCACTGACACCACACCACGTCGCGAGGAAGCGGATGATGTCGCCGCGCGAGGGGACCGTCGTGGGCAGCCGTCTGTAAGCGCGCCGCCGAGATATCGCCGATCGCGGCCACGGTGTCCGTCGCATCGACGCCGTCCCGCCCGCCGCATCGACGCCGGAAGGGAAGGATGGAGGCGGACTACCAGCCGACGCTGAGTCCGTCGCGGACGTTGACAGGTGAGCTGGCGGTGCCGACGGACGCTCGCGTCCAGATCCGTCCGCACCCTTTTCCGCGCCCTCGACTGTCCGTCTCGACTCGCCGCCGAGGCGAAGCCGTCGTCGGGATCGATTCGGGGCCATCCGCAGGCCCTGACACGAATCGAACGGAGAACAGAAGCGAGACGCTATTAGGAGTCGTCTGTTTACTTGCGTTGAGTAAATAGAAAGCAGCCAATTATCGTATTTACGCTCGCAATTGTCATTACTATCCGTGAGCGAAGGTCGTCGACAATCGCGGATTTTATGGAGTAAAGAGCTCTCGGCGAATTCGACCGCACCTTCATCGGCGCGGAATAATCTTCGCCGTTGAATATGCGATGCAATATCGATTGGCCTTTATCTTGGGAGATAAAATTTTTGTTATCGCATAAATGCATGCAGGTACCATCGTCTCGATCTGTTTGTTTACCGTCGACTGATTTATTGTGCTTTGACATTTAGCAGGAATAGGCAACGACTGCGAAGATCCATATCCTAGCCTGTCGGATTATCACGATTATGAACCAAATCTGGAATTTGACGATACAGAATTGCAAACCACTTCAAATAATGGTAAATTATATGCCTTTAGATATACGTTTTGGTATCTTCCTTTTACAACGAAAGAATTATAGATTTGTTTTCTTCTTATCTGGAAAATGATCTCTTTTATTACTTAGTTACATAAAAGATTTAATTTATAGCAACGACTGTGATTATTTAAAAATTAATAGTTACACAAAAGATTAATTTAGTAACGACTATGAGCGTTTAAAGTTAATTTTACTGTTACAGCGGCGCGACTGGGAAAATTGGATTTGGTGAGCGGCAGCATGGGTGCCGGGATGGATTATTTGGAAAGCCCAGTGAGTGACGGCACGATCGAGGAGAACTTTGAGGAAGCTTTGGTAGATGCTCCAGTTATCGAATCTGGTGTGTGACCTTTTACCTTCTGTTAGTAGCCAGTAAATGTCATGGCATTCTCGGGGCATAGCAGGTGAATTATATGTAGAACATTGTATAGCTTGTTTTACATTGCATGGCGTATGGATGAAAGAGGAGATGGAATGCGACGACTGTTTTTTTTTTTACATTTTTAATTCGTTTTTTTTGCAACAATAACATTATGTACAATCTTAGCATTTGAAGTGAGTAAATCATTTGACTTTTCGTGTAGTATATACTTTTTTCTTAAATAGGATTGCTCCGAGGATTCGAATTGTTCTTTTGCTAAATAGAATTTTTAGTTGATACAAATTTGTTGCAAGAGCACGGTTGCGAAACGCGCGGCTTTATATCATAACAAATGTCTGTTTTAATGAATAGCAGACGATCTAGCTGCTTTAGACGGAGAAGAGCTGGCTGACGAGGAGGATTATCTCGACATATCCAGGCACGGTATCGTAGAGGTGGTCGGCGACGATAGCGCCGGTCGTAAAATTATTGTCGTGTCAGCTTGCAAATTGCCTCCCATTGGGAAAGAGACCTTTAATCACGCTAAGCTCCTCAGGTGAGTTTGCGGCTATCTATGTTATAATCTATGTTATAAGGATGACACGCAAGACATATGTTCTACCGCAACCAATAATTTACAATTGCTTGAAAATTATTTAAGGTTCGCGAGTCATCCTACGTTGTTCTCTAGATAATAGAATGCGTGCTAAGTCTCGTTACTATTTTACTTTTTCTTTTTTTTATAAAATAAACAAAATTTTTCATAAGAAGAATTTCGTTTACAGGTATCTTACGCATACTTTGGACATGTTCGTGGAACAAGATTATAGTCTCGTCTACTTTCATTATGGCCTTACGTCGAAAAATAAGCCACCCTTATCTTGGTTGTGGCAAGCGTATAAAGCGTTTGATAGAAAATACAAGAAGAATCTCAAAGCCCTTTACCTAGTACATCCGACTAATTTCATCAGGATTGTGTGGCAAATATTCAAACCGGCTATTAGGTACATACAAGTAACTCCGTTATTAAACGAAAGAATTACTTATTAACTTATATGAATTGTATATTTTTACAGTGTAAAATTCGGACGGAAAATGATGTATGTTAATTATCTGGAGGAATTAGCACAATATGTTAACTTGGATCAACTAATTATTCCACCTCAAGTGATAGAGTATGTAATTTTCGTTATGCTGTTACGTAAAATAGATAATTTAGAAAGAGTTAGAATCGAATTGCACGCAGATTTAGTTCACATGGGACGTTTCTTTCAGACACAATGAACAACTGCTGATGAAGAATAAGAAAAATTTACCGGCGAGTCCGCCACAAAGCGCAGTAGTTACGCCAGTTGGCACGACTCAGTTCGGTGCTAGTCTGCAATTCATAAAAGAAAATAATAACGGTGATCCAATACCACCGATTCTAAGGCAGTGTGTAGAATTTCTCGATACACCTGACGGTACGATATCCCAAAACAAAAATAAAACAAAACTATCTGTTTCGTGTCCTAATTGACCATATTATTCTGTCATCGTGTTTCAGCTTTAGAGACCGAAGGGATATTCAGAAGATCGGCTAACGTGGCGGTAATCAAAGAACTTCAGAATCGCCTCAATCAAGGTTTGCCCATCGATTTCCAAGGGGATCCGCATATCGCCGCGGTTTTACTCAAGACCTTTCTCCGTGAACTAGACGAGCCTCTTATGACCTACGACTTATACGAGGAAATCACGCAATTCCAAAGTGAGCATCACACTTCTTCCTTTTCTTGTTTTTTTCAAGTGTTACAGCGACATAAAGCATTTCTTCTTTGAATTTTTACTGCAGCATTATCGAAAGACGAACGTCCGCGTAAAGTCAAGATATTAATATTGGAGAAACTCCCTGAGGACAACTATCAAGTTCTTAAATACATCGTACAGTTTTTATCGAGGGTACGTAACTAATATTCGCAGTTGCCATTTCCTACAGTCAAATATCGATTTTTATGTTTATTTATCTGTTTTTATTATTGACAGGTAATGGACCGATGCGATCTGAATAAGATGACTTCTAGTAATCTCGCGGTCGTATTTGGACCAAATCTAGTTAGAGCACCGCCAGCACGTGGAATGTCCCTCTCGGCGATAGGACCCATCAATCAATTCATAGACTTTTTATTCACCTATCAGGATAAGATATTTATTATTTAAGAGCGGCAACACCGAAAGCCTAATTGTGTAACATTCAACTATCACACGTCCACACATTTTCATTTATCTAAATATTTTTATATTTCTACGTGATAGAGAAAGAGAGAAGGATATAGAAGGAAACACTCAATTGTTCGTTTACACGTGACTTTGCACAAGATTTTTTAATATGAGTAGGTATAATAATTTTCGGACGAAAGAGCAAAAAACGTTCGAACTGATGCTGGCCGTGCGATGATTGAACGCCAGCTCCGAGAAGACAACGTGTCCGTATATTTAGAGAGAAATTACGACCAAATACCAAAGATACATGAGAACGTCACACAGTGAGTATAATATGTAAGATTATCTAGAAATACGTTTATCTATTTAATAACGCTTAAGAAAATAATATATTCGAGGATGAAAGAAGATATCGAGCGGGATGCCTCCGTTGTCGCGAAATCACAAACCGCAATTTGTTCTTTTTTCCCGTTTAGATTAATCATTTAATATTTAATGAAACTTTTAAACAACGAATTGATTTTTTTTAGCAAGTATTACATGTATTATTATTTTCATGTATATTTTTAAGATTTTATTGGTTATTTTTATTTTGTTATTTTCGTTTGCCAGTTAAAAATTTTAAATTAATAATTGTTATTAAATAGATTATAATTTTTGTTTTGCTGAATCCAAATCTGCATAGCAGTCATCTTTTATTATTTATTTCCATTAAAGTCGGAGTTGTCAAAATTGTTCAATCGCATCGTGTTACATTAAGCATTTTAATTAAAAGATCTTGTGAAACGAAATAATCGTAGAACGTTTTGGTACACACTTTAAATCTGCAGTAGGAAAACTGCGATAAATCTTTTTAACATTTGGCATCCTTTGCATCTTTTGCAGGGTTTGTATATACTGGAAAAATTCATAATTCAATAATAATTGTGGTCTAACGAATGTAGTATATGTGATACTGTATTTAAGTAAACTCGAAAAGAGATGAGATATATGTAACAAGGAAGATTTATATATATATAATATAGAGAAATACTATGTTAACTTTAGATAATACAAATGAGTATTCATTCGTTTTATATAAGTAAAACAAAACACTCATAATTGGGAAAAAGTTAAATTGTATTTTTTACTTCAAAAAAAGATTCGTCATATAACTTTCGTGACATTCTCTCTCTTTCTCTTTGTTTTGTACGATTATACAATTACGAGCAAAATAATGTTATATTTAGGATTAACGTAATGTTTAAAAAATTATCCATTAGCGCAGTGATTAGTGTGATATTAGTATATTCCGTATATACTCCACATATGAAGTGAAGTATTCTAGTGATTTCACAATATTCTCTTTTTTAATTATGATGATCTCGAAAAAAATTCACCTGCTTATTAGTTTCCTTGATGTCACAACAGGAACTGAAAAAAAAAAAAGAATAAGAGAGAGAGAGAATGAAAGAAGGCAGAAGAAACTTGACATGTATTAAATGCCAAGTATTGTATAGTCTAACGACTTAGTGAATTTGTCCGTCGTCTAAGTATAAGAATAAGAGACTTAGCAAGTTTTCGCGGAGCAAACCGCAGATTTGTATATCCCCTTAAATAGTCCTGCCATTATGGGTAACTGGGATAAAGTACGGGCTTTGGCAGCCTAAACCCGCTCTCTATCATAAAGAAAAAAAAAAAGACTAACCCAGACCTGTATAGAACTGATGTGACTCGATTACATTCCTCGTTGTTGTCAATAGAACGTGTAATAAAGCGTGTTAATTTATAGGTCTTCAGTTTCACTTTTGTGTACAATAATCGTATAAGCAACACCTAACTTTCGTGACACGATGGGATCGAGGTACAAATGTTAAATGAAGCGTTTCTCCGTAACAAATTATTACAAGTTACCATTTTATGTTCATAAAATAACTTACAAGTAACAATAATTTAAACAACAACTCTCTTGTATCGCTAATTTATATAATTTCAGATGAATAAACATATTGCGTGTTACTTAATATACGGTCCAAATCAATGCATTGTACAATAAAATTATCGGCACTTAATATGTACAATAACCCATCATTTTTTGGATAAAAGAGCCGAAAGTCTTCTTTTGCTCTTCCTTCAAAATGCCCTCGTCTCGCGACAAGACCGCGCCCGTCTAATGATTAGCTAATTCTTAGTTGAACAGCTTGTAGCAATTTGTGGATTGCAAAGACATAGATATATCGAAAATTTGAAGATGAAAATGGGAAAACAGGATCCGGGACGACGAGGCTTTTGCCTTTTTTTTTTTTTACAAAATTTTCGCGGTTGCACTGAGATTGAGGCACTCGAAACATGTGACAAGATTGCTATTTCAGACTATTTCTTCCTCTTCATTATGAGCGCATGATTTGAATAATTGAAAAACACTCCACTCGCGCGATCGTATTTACGAAAAAGGAACTACCTGGAATCATGATGATTCATGTGTACGGCGAATATAGAAAAATCCATTAGAAAGAGGCGATACGTATTGTTTATTGTATATATTACGTATTGTTTTGTGACTGCTTTGAATGAGAAGTTTGAAATTAATGATAAGTCTTGTCAAGATGATCAGATATGAAATACTCGAGAGGCAATTCTGTCAGGAAAAAGGAGGCTTATCTCATGCCGTTCGCGAACGACAATGAAAAGGCCGCAGCTCGACATGTGCACATCTAAAGTCATCAAAAAATATTAATTCATCCCTCAATTCCCACTTCAAAGCAAGTATATACGGAATCTGCCTCGAAAATTTATGTGCACAAAGTCACAGCTTCCACTACTAATATATATGTATATAAGTATAAGTATCTTTGCTATCCAAGAATTGCCGCAAAGCTAAAAATATACATATATATATATAGGCATACACATGCACATTCATTCACAAATACATAACTCACTCGTCCACGTATACATACAGGATGAAGCACATTCGTAATGTGACGCAACTACTATTTGCAGATATTAATTTGTCACACATCTGAGATGCATCATTCCGTATATAGTTGGTGAATTATCGAAATTAGACCTTGTATCTGGAATCGAACCTTTAAAAATTGATTTTAAAGGTCTACGAAAAACCGCCGTTACCACCACCGTTACCCCCGCCACCGCTGCCACCGCCACTGCCGCAGCAGGAACTTCTACTCGGTTGCGTTTGTTCCGCCTCGTCCTCGACCATCACGACATTGCGGCGCGTACTATTGGTCCTCGTGAGCGTGGACTTTTGCTCGGCCTCGTCCGCGCGTTGCATCATGCGCTGCGTCAAGTCCAAAAACATCTCCTCGATGTTCTGATTCAATTTGGCCGATGTATGGAAATGCATAGCGCCAACCTGTTTGGCATACCTGACAGAAAAAGATTTGTTTACGGTCACGCGCTACATTCGTTTGTAATTCCACTGTGAGAGAAGATTCGAGTTAAACTTACTCTTCCGCTTCCTCTATGGCAACGTTCCTGTCCTTCTCCAGGTCCACTTTATTACCTGCTATCACTAAGCAAATTTCACTACCTAACATCTTCTTAAGCTCCTTCACCCAGTTCTTCACCTGATAAAATCCACAAAAAGATGCTTTAACGTTTATGAAAAACAGAGATACTCCACGGATATGGTATACCTATATCTTATTTGATAAACGTACTTTTTGGAAGGTATCCTCGTCCGTAATGTCGTAAACGAGAATGGCACCATTGGACATTCTGTAATAAATTGGTCCTAATGCGTGAAACTTCTCTTGCCCGGCAGTGTCCCATATCGCCAAGTTCACTCTTTTCCCGTTGATGTTTAGTTTCTTATTCAGGAACGACGCCTGAAACGTGAAGCAAATCGTCAGGATCGCGTTACCAAAAGCGCTCGGAAAGTTGAAGAGAGGTTAAGAAAGCTTTCAACATATACGCGGTTTCCCTCTGACGCAATTGCGGAGCTCAAATCCAAAAAAATCGCCGAGTAAATGCCTCGATAACACTTTCTCTTTTTTCGAAAGTACAAATTTGTATCGAATATAAAAAAAAGCCTCCAAAAAATTTACGCGAACAAAGACAGATCAGACAGATAACCGCGTCGCGTTAAAAACGGAGGAGAGATCCGAAGTGCGGGCGTTAGGACAAGGCAGAAGGAGGGCTCACCTGTAACGTGGTGATATGCTTGTCGTTGAACTTGTCCTCGACGTACCGAAGGGCGACCGAGGTCTTGCCGACGCATCCCTCGCCGAGGAGAACCACTTTGAAGTTGTACCCGGTGCCGACCACCGGACTGGCCATAATCCTGGACGTTATACGACTGAGCTATCTACCCAAGGACGTCGCGGCGGCGGGGGAGTAGACGGGGAGGGGGTTAATTCGCGCGGCCGAGCGCAACCACTCGGGGTGGATTCGGAGGTGCGGCGTCCCGCGACTACGTCTCGACTTCGCACTGCCTCTCTTCGCGCGCTCGTCGAACCGCCGTCGGCGACAATCGCCGCGAGGAGCAGAGATAGCGGCACCCGCTTCTTCGACAGTCTCGCCGCGGCGGCCTCGAGGCGTGAGGATCAGCTGTTCCGCGCCTCGCATGTCATTGCACACCGCATACGTCACGTCGGAGCGTTTCTATATAGTCGACCCTTACCGTAACCGTTCGTACCCGTTCACATTCCCAGAAGGCGCGTTCTTCTGTAGCTGCGTCTAGTGGGAGAACAGGTGTCTGTACACGCGATTTGTTGTTGCGCGCACCGCAATGTTGTTGCGCGGTAACTTAACCTCTTCGCTCCCCGCCGCGTGCGTCCACGCGAGTTTCGAAGCGCGACATCAAACTCGATTTCAAACTCCGGCTAATCAAACTAATTAATTGATTAAAATTAATAAATAAATGATTTTTTACTAGTTGCATCTTGCTCTTTTGCATTAAAAGATTGATACAAGTATTTTTGGGTCAAAATCAGCAGTAGGCTAAATATTTACAGAAAATAAAACTATATATAGTCTTTCTTTTTTCTATCTTTATACAAAAATATTTCGCGAATTTCAATACAAAAATGGATCAGTGGGAGTCGTTAGGTATTGTTCATCCATTTGGCGAAACTCGAAAGCGCACTGATTCCGTTCAGGTAGAAGATCGATCTCGTTGTAGAAAACAGCTTGCAGGTGCACGATGCTCTTGACCTTGGCGATGGCATTAACCTTGGTGAAGAGCGCCTGTGCCTTCGACAGGATTTTTATTCCACTCAGAATCACCTCTTTCCGAGCCTCGAAAGGATTCTCTGGCGCCGAGGCTATCAGGCACTTGCCGTACAACATGAACGCCTTGCCCTGATCGTAACAGCCACCGTGGCCCAAGATCGTGGGGATAGCGTCCTCCACCAGGTTCAAGGCCAACACAGGCAGACCCATTGTCAACTGGAACACAATTGGAGATGTGTATTTCGGTCGATTGAATGACGATCTCTAATAAAGAGGGGAAACTCACTTGTGTATTGGCGAGGTGCATCTTGACAAGCGCCTTGTAGTACGACAGATGATTCTGCGCAGCCAATTCCAGGGCTGCACAAAGACGCATTATGCAACTGGTGGCGACTGCCGTTCCGTTGTCCGGCGAGGACGAGGCGCACGTTATCTGACTGGAAAGAAGCGCGGCGCGTATCACATACGGCGGAGTCACGTCCGAATGCTCCTCGATGGCGCCAATGTATTCTAATCCTTTCGGGTAATCGCCTTTTGCCAGGCAAACTTCCGCCAATCTGAAAATTTTATTAGGAACTGTAAGATATTTTACTTATTTTTTTTTTGCAAGAACGCGCGTTCGTGAAATAAATTCCTTGTACTTGAGTTTGGATTCCAGTTGATCCAAGCTGGAGATATTCCTGGCTACCGCTTCCGCCTCGCTCCACTTCTCCTGTCGCAGCAGTTGCGTGAACATATGCAACTGTTCGCTCAACATCCAGATCTATGATATAATAAATTAAATCACGAATAGAAAAAAAAATCCTTTTCAAGTATTTCAAAATTCAGAATTCAATCTCTTCGCGAAGTAAAAACCGACTGTATGCGATTTTTCGTCATATATTCCATTTGTAAGAGAACTCACCTTGTTGCAAGGACTGTTGGGAAATCTTTCCTTGGCATGTGCCAGCACAACGTCGGCGAGGGCGTATTCGCCGAACTCGATCAACATATTGGCGACAGTGACGATCGCCTGGCACGTGGACGGTCCGTTGAACATGTGCTGCTTCTTATCACCCGTATTGTGAAGGAGTAGTAGCTGGGCACAAAGAGAGGCCATCTCGGTTTTACCAAAGTATGCCCATAACGCCGATTTCTCTGCGAATGTGATGGACATCAAGTCGGACATCGAATGCTGACAGTTCAGCATGTCCGACTTCATCAATATCTGCAACATAAATCGTAATTTTAAATATAAATTTCTACATGTCAAATTGATCAATTACAATTTGCTACGCACATCGAATACTTGAGGGGGATTCTTGGCTTCCAAGGCGTAGCTATGCGCGTGCGAAATGAGACTTAAGCCTGTCGTATGCGTAATTCCGAGCAGACTTGCTTTGCCGACCGAACGTTCTATCAAAGGTCCCCTTGAAAAGATAAGAATGCATATATAAAAGGAAATTAAATAAAAGAATATCTATAACGTTAATGAACTTGATTAACTTATATCTTTTTATATTAAGATTCTTATTCATCGTTTAATAACTTATTAATTTAAATTATACATAAGCCAAAAAGAATTAAAACATTTAAAACATATTTGTATAATGAAAAGATGTGTGAAAAATCTCTCTCATATTGACTTACCTATTTTCTTTACTCATCAGGTAGGATATCCAAGAATGCGCGAGCTGCAAGCACACGTTGTCTCCAGCTTCCTGAGCCAATTTAATAGCTTCCTTCAAAGCGTACTGTGCTACCTCCCTTTCCAAGAAAGTCGCAAGAATTACTTGATTGAAACAAATGTATAACGCTATATATATACACACACACATATAAAACTACAAATTAAATTTCACTTGTTGAGTAGATGGAAAAACAAAGAAAGTTAGATTTGAGATAAGTGGATTACTTAAAATAGATTACTTGTGGTTAAACTGGGCGTGCAAAACGGCCAAGTTGAGTGCCGCGTATCGGAAGGTACGCGATCGATCCTCGGGGGTGGATCGGTTCTCCAGAGGTGCCAGTCTATCGAAACAGTGGTAGAGGCTGTCTACCGCTCCACAAAAGTCGTTCACGCGGATGCAGTTCAGGTAACTCAGGTAATGCTGGCGCAAAAACAGTTCTCTGTATAGCTATTAATCTTAATCCGTGTAGTTGGAAAAAACCGTTTATTCCATTTATATTGATTTATATTCCTTTGCGCCCATACTCACCGCATCCGCGTTGTAAGGATTCGACTTTAAAAGATCTTGTACGAGAGCCTGCAACTCCATCGGCGGCAGTGCTTTGTGCTCGTCAGTCTGTAAAGCATGCGCCTGCTGTGCCACGAGTAATTCCGCCTGTCTTCCACCCCAAATCGTTTTTGCTTTACTGTAAAAAGCATCGATATTAATCGATAAACTAGCTTTGTATAATGTAATTTACACAACACTATTTTATCAAGACTCACTTATCCGGACCAAAATCCTCTTGCTTGGCGATCGCGGAGATGTCGGAGTTTTCTAGGCTATCGATCTTCTTCGTAACATATTTCTCCATCTCGTTGTAGAGAGCGACCACTTGATCGAAGGCCAATTTCTCAAAGAAAATGAGCATCCTACGAACGTACAGCCCGAGGACAGAATTTCTGCTTAATGCCGGTAAAGCTAGCGCGTGATCCTTCGATTCCATTAATCGACGAAGATTATCAAATAGGTCTAACAGCTCGTCGATTCCTTTCTCGTGTATGGCATCCAGATTTATTTCCAGTCGATCCGCAAATCGATGTAAAGCGTACTCCGGCTCGTACAGCATGTTCAGTAGAGCGTCCAACTCCATGTCTGCCGACTAAAATAATCATTGTAAATATGTGCAATAAAATATCCCTCTTTTCTTGGCGAATAAAAGCAGTTACCTGAGTCAACTTTAACGACGCTAAACAGAAGTTACGCCTCTCCATGATCACTGTGAAACATTAAAGACTTGTATAAGGGAATATACTGAAGTAGTGTAACAAATCGTATCGCACAACAAAAGCGTGGAGCGTACCTTTTGTGGTGTCATTACAATATTCCTTAATTAGAATGACAGTTGCCACTTTGTAAGGAGTTAGAGTCTCCTTCTGAATCTTCCTCACGTTACCGTCGACGGTCACGAATTCCTTCGACATTCTGTTAAATATGTCATTCACCGTGTAGAGCCGATTATCATTTATCGACATTCTTTATACATAAATTTCTCGCACGTGCGTACACAACACAGGCGTTACATTCTTCGCAGCAATGACCACGTTTGTTTACGTTTTGCTTCGTTGATCCAGTGAGCGAGGTTTCAAAAGATCTCCGCCAGATGATGCGCGGTCGCGGGCCGCGGGTTGTTATTGTTGATAACACGATGACACGAACTTTCAAGAGACGAGGATAGCAGTACGTTGCACGACTTGCACGCAAAAGTAAACTCAGGGTGCCATCCCATGGCATAGGTCGAGCGATTCGAATTCAGCAAGCCGAAGTCAAATCGTCGGTAGATGCTGCAGCTCGTAAGGCGCACTGTGAGATCGCGAAGCGTCAAGCGGATCAGCTGGTTTGCAGTCAACAAATCGTTCGTCGTCCCGCTCGCGGAAAGGAGGTACAGCAGGATGGTGAAGTTTCTGAATCAGACGGAGGCTATCAACATCGACAAGGACCTGTTCGAGAGGTACAGGTTCAGCGTCGATCAGCTGATGGAGCTGGCCGGGCAGAGCTGCGCCGTTGCGATCGCGAGGTCTTACCCGCTTTCGGCGGACTCCCCGAGCCGGGTGCTGGTGTGCTGCGGGCCCGGCAACAACGGCGGCGACGGCCTGGTCTGCGCGAGGCACCTCAAGCACTTCGGATACTCGCCGGAGATCTACTATCCGAAGAGGCCGAGTAACGGGCTGTACGAGAGGCTGTTGCATCAATGCGTCGAGAACGGCATTCCAGTGCTGGAGAATCGGCGCATAGAGGAAGCGGCCGACTCCGCGGTTTTGCGCGAATACGCGATCGTGGTGGACGCCCTTCTGGGATTCAGTTTCAGACCGCCGGTCAGAGAGCCGTTCGTCCGCATCATCGACATGCTGAGAGACACGAGCGTTCCTATTTGCAGCGTGGACATACCGTCGGGCTGGGACGTCGAGAGAGGCCCGCCCGCGGACGGTGGCATAAAGCCGCAAGTGCTGATATCTCTAACGGCACCGAAGATGTGCGCGTCCAAGTTCGACGGGAGGTTTCACTACCTGGGCGGACGATTCGTGCCTGAGAAGCTGGAGTCGCAGTACGATCTCAATCTACCGAAATACCCCGGCACAGACCTCGTCGTTCAGCTGTGCTGACAGCCTGACACATATGCGTATATAAATCCTGATGCGTTAGAAAAGTGTGCAAAACTGAATTTTACCTTCTTTTCAAATGTTACTCCGAATTTTATTAGACGCTTGAAAAACGGTACTCGATTAAAATACAATTTCTACAAGTCTCAAACGATCGTACGCAATTCACATCTCTCGTTTCAAGTTCCCAATTATTTATAAAGATATTTAAATTATACATAATTAATATTATGTATATTAATATATTTGTTTATATACATCTGTTACAATTTATATTTGATTGTTCTTAAATATAATCAACGTTTCCTACCATCAACCTTTCCGTATTTTGTTGTACGAATTCAATGTAAACAATCGTATAGGATCTATTCATAATAAATGCGAATTTTTATAGACAGTTATTTTAGGTTTACGTTGAATATCTTGGCATCGAAACATTACTAATTCGGTAAAACAACAAAATAGCGATCGCGTCAACGGAGACGTGAGCCACGTGGTTGAGGTTAATAATCTGTCTTACCGATCAAACATTATCACGCAGCAGGTGGTGACCTCATTCTTGAAGCTTGAAGCTCCACGAAAAACATGGAGGAAGGGAGATAGACGGTGAGGCCTGCATTGCCGAGTTCTTATCTTCTATGTGTAGAGAAAATCGTTGTACATTTGATATATTTATGAAATATATGCCTTAATAACGCGTAATTGCACATGCAAAAGAGTGGCAGTTTTTTTTCTTAAAAGGAGCCACGAGGAAGAAGTGTAAAAAACCCGAAATCTCTCGCAGCACGGTTGACACGTCTTATCGCCTAAACAGTTTTACACAGCAAATTGTGATCGCACCGTTTTTTCAAAGGATCCCACGAGGTTGTCTCACTCTGAAAAATGGTACGTACGATAATTCTGTAATTTTGCGCGATCGGAATATATCGTTCATGGAATGTGTACATTTTTATTCAGGCGCAAGAGGTCGAAGAAACGATGAAACGAATTCAGTCTCACAAAGGGGTGGTTGGAACGATAGTGGTGAACGCGGAGGGTAGGTATTTCACATGCGAGAAACGTGACGCTGATCTGCTCGCGATCCGTGAGGGAATTATAATCGAGGCTTACATTTCGGTTTCAGGCATTCCAATAAAATCAACGTTAGACAATACGACGACGGTTCAGTACGCAGGTTTGATAAGCCAGTTGTCGGACAAGGCCCGCTCTGTCGTGCGCGATTTGGATCCGACCAATGATTTAACTTTCCTGCGCATCCGCAGCAAAAAACATGAAATTATGGTCGCACCGGACAAGGAATTTATATTGATAGTAGTGCAAAATCCTGTTGATTGATATTTAAAGGATGCAGCAGTATATTGCAAAATTGAGGTTTCCTTTGGTTATTAATTTATTAATTCTACACGCTGCGTTTTGACTTTAATATTTATTCAATTAAGAAATGAAAGAATAAAGCTTGTGAATTATTATGCAATATTTAATTTCCAAGATAATTTAGCAAGTTGCGCACAGGGCTTTGAAAGCTTTCATAGTGTTTTCATTGGCAATTAATATTTTATAGTACTTTTACGAACCAGTTTGGTAATAGATTCTGAATAAACACTTAATTATTCCTACATTTTTGTATCATTCAACTATATATGTGCATATACTCTAATATATTCTCTTTTATGTAAATCTATTTTATTAGTCTATAATACAGTCTATAACACAATCCGTATTGTAGAATACTTGTTGAATATTTTTTTAATTTTCTTTGATTTAATTTTATAGCTAAGATGACATCTTTATTATTACTTTAATATTTTATGTGGAAATATATTTTACAATCAATATATACATATAATCATTTAAGAGGATGAAGGAAAACAAAATAGTATGACGCATTTTTTACAGAAGTATTGCTATTTCTTTTTTAATGACAAAATTAAATGATCTTGTATTTATAAAGAAAAAATATTTTTACTGTTTTTTATGTTGAATAGAAAATTTATTCTTTTGTCGTAAAAATGTACAGTCTTTAATGTCAATATCACATAACTTACATTTACTCTAACACATTACATTGAAAATTTGAACATAGCATTTTAGTACTCTGTATATACATGTATAATTATATATGTATATACATTTATATATCCCTGAGAGATATTTCTTAGTTTATAAATTAAAAAAGTAAAAAAAGATTCTTATCAAAGTTTCAATACAAAAAAATAATCTCTAGTTGGCTTCTATTGATCATAACACAGCCATGTTACTTAACATTCTGCGCAGTCTATGTGATGTTTTAAAACTATGTTAGATGTAATCAAAATGTAGCCTTGCTTATATATTAGAAGTAATTTAGTCTGCAGAGAAACCTCGTATGTATATAAACATATTTTGCAAAGTTTTTATAAATTGTACACAAAACGAAAGTTAAATAGAGAGTTGTATGTAAAAATCTCATTGAGAAAAAACTCGCATTTTATATATATATATAGTAAAATATTTGAATATTGAGATTCTTTTTGCTTTCTTTTGAGACATATAACGTATCAGAAGATACTTTATAAACTATAACCTAAGGTTTATAATCTCTTTCAAGTAAAAAAAATAGATATTTACAATTATATGGCTTGGAGTGAATTTGAAGCGTGCTGCTTTTTTGAAGGATGGAATTTGGTATAATACACTATCATTGCTATAATTCCCAGCCAAAACGAGACGATGCAAATAATAAAGAATACATTAAAGTACCAAGCCTCTCTAACTTCAGGAGGACATGTGTATCGCCACAATAGATTTGTGGTAATATTTTCCGCAAAACAGAGCCCGTAGAAACATAGATGTTTCCAAAATGTGTTGCTATCTACGGTATTTAGATATATGAAGATGTAAACTATGCCAACAACTGCGGCAAATAATATGGAATTAACGCGTTCTTTGAACGTTGGCAGCATATGTGGTGGGCGACCGTAAGCCCGACAAAACTCTAATACCCCATGGGAATTGATCAAAATCCATATAGTCATGATTGCCCAATGTATTAGGCAACCGATTGCAGTATATAGAGGCCAGACACTCGCAATAACACCAAGAGATAAGATTCTTGCCACTGTAATCATGATAATAATAAGTGATAATCAGGGAACTTTTTCTCAAATTATCTCAGTTAAGTTTAAGTTAAGTCAGTTGAATATATCTATATACCTGTGATGCTAAAGTGCCACAGAAATTGTAACACAGTTCCTGCAACGCCAATGTTTAATTTATTCTGTTGAGCTAATCGAATGCTACGATGATAACTGGCCATTGCCCAACCCATGCTTGTAAGCGAGGAGACAATACTAGCTACTTGATGTATAACTGAAAAATAATATAAAAAGCATATTAACAGAATTGTTTGACAGCATCTATTAAAATATGTTTATGCAGAATGTTGTAAATTTTTGATTCAATAAAAATTAAAATTGATGAATTGTGGAAAAAGCTAAAATTGACAACGAATTAGAAGATAAATAAATGATTCTTTGGTAACTTTTTTTCTCCCTTGCCAATTGTACTGACACAAAATCTCCTTTGTAGCTTTGCAAAATATAAGATTAGAAATAAAATATATTCCAAATAATGTAAGTACATGTAAAATTAACTTCATTGTGATAATGCTTTAGCATCAGAGTCAGCTGTAGGACTTGTTGCGGCGCAGCCTCCAAGAAACATTCAAATACTCTTAGCAAGGCAACATCTTGATCCTCCTTGAGCATCCTTATATAATATCTCCTTTCAGTGACACGGTCCCCGGATTTCTTGCATTTACGCGCTTTCAACGCACACTTCAAGGTTTCCCAGTAATGTATAACTGGCGCCAGTTGCAAGAAAACGGCGATCGTGCAGTACAGTCCATTCTTAATCAACAAACGGGTCGTTTTGTAATCGCTCGACGTATCCGATGTACTGGAGCTCATCTACACCAAGGAACACATGTTATTCGAAATCTGACAGATTCTAGGAAACAACGACCTGGTAATTGCAACCCGATCGAACGGCGCTGAATGTGCTAAACGTGCGCAATAGTACTTCACTTGTTTATCTTGATGCTGCATCCGGCTGCTGATGACAACGTTGATCAGAGAGGGAACGAGTATGAGGCACATTGTCCAGACGAAGTACGCTACTTTGTCGTCCAGGTAGTACCGGATGGCGATGTTATAATCGAAGCCCATGTCCACGACGTGCATGATTATGGAACACACCAGGAAGAAGACGTCCAACTTGGAGATGCTGGGGATGTCCGGCGGCAGATCGGTGAGATCGACGTCGAAATGGATACCTGGAAATATGCTGGCGAGATGGAAAGGGCGACGCTCGCGATTTTCCTGCTCCATGGTCGCCCGCTCGGTCTCGGCTTCCTCGTCGCTTTCCGATGTCTGTTCCCTCCCCGGGCCGAGGATTCGTCCCGCCGTTTCGCTACTCGCGTGTCACCAGAGTCCTGACACCACTCGAAAACAATTTCCATTTCTCCGCCAGCGGCGAAGAATCGACGAGTTCGGCAGTCGATGACAGTCGATGAGATCGACTCTCGGGGGAAGAATCGATTCGCGCTCGGCGAAGACGCCTGGCGCGACGCGAGTCGGCGGAGAGCACAACTATCGAGCGACCTTCTCACTCTCTCACTCGATCACCCTTCTCGCAACATACAAGTAACCAATAAAGCACATATAACGAGAGAGCTGCGCGTGACGTCGACGTTGTCGTCGTCGCGGTTATACGCGACAATCTATATAGTCGTCTCTGTAGTATAATAGAGATTGTCGTGCGAATCGCGCAAAACTGCGCGAGAGGCGTGATGCGCAAAAAGTGTAATCGATGTGATGTTTTGCGAGGGTTATAACGAGGTGGGTGGTGAAATCCTGGCGAGTGATTCATATTTTTTTTCTCGATCGATTTGTCGGGTCGGGTTCTGGATCCCCGAAATTCTCCCGACGCAACGTCAAGTCGCAATACATTGCCCAGGGCAGGTTCGGACCTGCGACGAGGTCGCGATTATTTTGAATTTCCCATCAATTCTATTCCCCCAGAAATTTCTACGACTGCTATTATTCTTACTTATTATTTTCTCACGATATCGCAATAAATGATTGATCAGTCGGATCGACGACGATCGTATTGTGTCACGTTTCATCGTCGTGATCTCTTTATCTACGGACCTCGGTAAAATATGGTTATACGAAGCAGGATTTGCAAATTGTAAATTTGCATTAATTAATGAAATAACGGCCTGCTTAAAATATTATTTGCAAGGTGAAATGACATATTGTAGAAAAATTGCAGGGACATGAATGTTACAATATTTTTAATACCTGATCAGTTTAAAAATAAATAACTGTCTCTTTTTCATTTTAGATTTTATATAATTTTGTATTTTTTTTTATCTTTACAGAATGCCGATACAGGCACCACAGTGGACTGAATTCCTGTCATGTCCAATCTGCTGCCATGACTTTGACGTGGCTGTACGTGGCCCCATATCACTCGGCTGTGGCCACACCATATGTCGCGCTTGCTTGGCCAATCTACACCGCAAGCAGTGCCCTTTTGATCAGGTAACAATAGGTATTTGAATATAGTAATATATGCACATAAAAATATATATGTTTATCTATATTTATATATGTGTATCTGTGAAGCATACATATGTATGCTGCCTTTAATTCCACAGCCATTTATTTTCACTTTGTTTTTCCTTTTCACAGAGCATTATCAATACCGATATCGAGAAACTACCTGTAAATGAGGCACTGTTACAATTGCTGGGCAATCCAATTCCCACTGCTGCTCCATCAGCATCGACATCAAATCAACAGCAGAATTACCAGAAGCTTCTTCCAATCGACCAACATGCTAATTATCTGAGGGCCAAGAGTTGCATTGAAGAGCTTGCACTTTATCTGAAACCATGTCAAATTACTAATACCGCAGGTATGCAGTATGTAAATTTTAAAATATAATAATTCAAAAAATAAAAAGCTGACAGATAAAAATTGGATTAAAGTTTATCATGTAAGGAATATACATAAGAAATTAAATGACATAATATGTATTATATTACAATAATAATTGTTACATTATATTACATCGTGTAATTATTATAATAATATAATATTACAGTAGATTTATATATGTCTAAGATTACTGAATTAAATTAAGCATATGAATTGTATAGTATTTTAAAATATGTATTCATATAGCTGCACTGTTTACTTTTGTATAATTTAATAGGAAACACATTTATTTGATTATAGGTATTGGGAGTGGTGGCGGGGGATTGGTGTCACGGCCCATGCAACGTAAACTGGTGACGTTGTTAGGTTGTCAGCTAGTAGAACCAGAAGGCAGGGCGCGCGCATTGCGTGCCGCCCGTAGTCTTGGTGAACGAACCGTCACAGAGCTTATATTACAGCACCAGAATCCTCAGCAACTCAGCGCCAATCTTTGGGCAGCTGTACGTGCCCGTGGTTGTCAATTCCTTGGACCAGGTAAATTTTATTTATACAAAACAAATTATGCAATTTGAATAATCCATATCTTTTCATTGGATGATAAAAAAAAACAACGGAAATATAACGGATAAAGGAAATAATAACTTATAAGATTTTTTTTATTTATTACATTTATCGTCATTTTTATAATTGCCTTTATATTTTTTTCGTTACTGTTAGCAATGCAAGAGGAGGTTCTCAAGCTCGTACTACTGGCTTTGGAGGATGGCTCTGCTTTATCGCGTAAGGTGTTGGTAATGTTTGTAGTACAGCGTCTGGAACCTCATTTTCCGCAAGCTAGTAAGACCAGTATTGGACACGTGGTGCAGCTTCTATACCGGGCGAGCTGTTTCAAGGTAAATATATAGTGATACATGGAAGTTTTCAATCGAACATAGTATAGAAAATGTTTTACTATATACAACTATAATAATAATTATAAATATTTCCTATTGTGTATGTTTAGGTATCAAAGCGCGAAGGTGACTCATCGCTGATGCAATTAAAGGAAGAGTTTCGCACTTACGAAGCTCTGAGACGAGAGCATGATGCACAGATTGTACAGATAGCCACGGAAGCGGGCTTGCGCATTGCCCCTGACCAATGGTCAGCGCTGCTCTATGGCGATACCGCTCACAAGTCGCATATGCAAAGCATCATCGATAAGTTGCAAACACCACAGTCGTTCGCTCAGAGTGTCCAGGAGCTTGTGATAGCGTTGCAACGTACTCCTGATCCCGGACAACTGAGCGGTCTCAGGCCTCAATTGGAACTATTAGCTGCCATCGATCCTAGTCCAGGTATGTAGATATGCTGTATGGATGTGTATGTAAAATTATATCTTTTAATTCTTAAAACTTTTAAACTGATCAAAGTTTTTTAAACTCTTCAAACACTTAAAATATAATCTTGAATGTGTATCGTTATATAATTATTTTTTTATTAACATATTTTTATAGTAATTTTTATTATTTTTAGAAACAGAACCACCGAGCTTGACCGAATGTCGGGCGGCTCTAGAAGCCGTGAGAATAGTGGTGGCTACATTAGTGGACTTTGTCCGACAACATGGAAGCAGTGGCACGTGCGGTAGCAATCGGAAATCAGCGACGCAGGATAGTGGTGGTGGCGGCGGGCTCGGCGGGGGCTCGTGTCCGGGTTCAGCGACCGGCAAATACAAAGTCAGCATGTGCAGAGACCTGGCACTACGCGGCACTTGCCCACGATCCAACAATTGTACTTTCGCTCACAGCGATACAGAGCTTGATAAGTGAGTTTGATATTTATTTTTATTTCATTGCTGTACTATAATAATTTGCAGATTATGCACACAACATTCTTTACAAATAAAATTTTTATTTATTTGATCTTTTTTTTCATAGGTATAGATCAAAAAATCGTAAATTAAGTGTCAGAGCGAATTCAAATCAGACGGAATCAAAGAGTGAGAAGAACAAGATTTTCAATAAGCAGCAAAACGGTGATTTAACGACTTATCATTCCGCCAAAGCACACGATAGAGATAGTGAGTATTTTATATTTAACATAGATAAAACAATATATAACTATATAGATTATAAAGATGTGCTTTTCGGAACAATTTTAACTTCAGAATTTTGTTTTTTATATCTTTAGTAATAAAGAAGATAATTTAAACGTTATATTTAAATAAATCTCTTTTAAGTAATTCAATAGAAAAATTATCTCCATTATTTTATCTTAATTTTGTCTTAATACTACAGCAGTGGTGCAACATTCAACGCCTGTTCCGACCAACTTGGAAAATAATTTGATTGACTCATTGACATCGACCTACATGTTGCCGCTGACACCTCCGCAAAATTTGCCTCATCTCAGTCTCTGCTCTGTGAAGGGAGGAACCATGATAGACAGTGGAGGACCTCCTGGTGTCCATTGTCCTGGGCATTACATAATGCCACCAGGACCCGTTCCCACGGTTGATTATGGACCTTCGTTGACAACCGCAACAAATCTCGGAATGTGGGACACTCCGCAAATTGCAAATCAGGTAACAAAACGATATAAAAGTTAGAGAGAAAATGTGGCTTGCTTTCTTATAATTAATAATTTGTTAAAATTTGAAATATAAAGTAATTTTGTTAGAGTGATCATTTTATTGGATAATAATATTCATTATTAATGTAACTGTATGTATGTGTGGCAGTTGATTGTATAGTAGTTTTAATATAATTTTAATAATAATAATAGCAATAAAATAACTTCAACAGAGAACGGCAGTGGCAAAAACGATGTTGGCGATGTTGTTGCAACGCAAGATGGAGATTCTACATCAATTGGAAATGATTGGCGGCAAACAGCAACAGCAACAACTAATATCACCGCAAATGAAAACGGTAAGAACGAACGTATTCTGATCGTTTTTTATTTTTATTCATATTCTATCGAATATAATTACACTTCATCACTGTTTATTATATATTTGTATGTATATTTTATACATATATATTTTTTTCTAGAATTATGACATTCAGCAAGAGGGTGATTTATTGACTACACCCAACAATTATTCGATATGGACCGCTGCAAATACCTTTCGCTGTTCACCCGGAACGGATCCACCGCCGCCGCCTCCATCGGCTTCGCATCTACTCGACGATGACAACCCCTTTATATCTCCATTGGACATATCTCCCGCGACCTCCTTGCCACCAGTTAACAAACAGGCACCTATTTCGAGACTGTCTAAAACACTGATAAGGTAATAAATAAAAAGAATCTATATCTATAATTTTACTAATTTTATAATCTATAATTAATAATAATAAAATTATAATGATAGATCTCCCTACAACGGAACTCTGCAGCATCTCTACAATGAGGGAGTTGATCCTACTCCTATCCCCGCACTGTCTACTGCATTCAGATCTCCAAACTCTGTAACCTCTTGGTACTACAGCAATCAACGTGAGTACGAAATATTATTTCTATCGATAAGTATATATAAACAGAAATAATACATAAATCATATATGTCATACTGTATACAATTCGTACTATTGTATTCTTGAAACACTCAGAATTTAATTTATTCACGAATAATTTCTTCTGTACTAGAACATAACAAGCGCGCGCTTTGCGCTCTATATGTGTGTATATATATATATATATATATATATATATATAGAGAGAGAGAGAGAGAGAGAGAGAGAGAGAGAGAGAATTTTTATAGATAAAATATGCACATATTAATACAGTTATATTAAATTTGTGTTAATTATCGTTACAGCGTACGCAACGGTTGGTGTGAATGGGATACAATCAATGGCACCAACGAATCCCGGTGATGGTGACAGCGGTTTCACCGGTGATAATTACGTCGCCCTCAGTCGCAATATCATTACACCAGAATCATTATCGCAATTCTCGAGATCGGAATGTACGTCAAAAGAGTAAGTTGTATATTTCTATTTTTTAATTTTTATTTTTGTCAACGATGAGAAATGAAAAATATAATGTATGTATATTACACATGTTATATGTATATATTGCAGTTTGATTTTGGAATCACAGAAAGTAAAGCAGCAACTCAGACATCTGGAAAAAAAGATCAATGACTTAAAGGTATGTATGTCACCTTTCGAATTTTGCGAAATGCGAAAAGCATTGTTCGATTTATATCCTGCATGTGCATGTTTAGTTGGCTACACAAGGAGCTACTACTTTCGTCACTGCGGGCGAGCGGCTGACGCAAGAATTGCGAATGATCGAAGCGGGTATCAGAGAAAGGGAGAGAGATGTACGAAATTGGAGCAATCCATACGGCGGTGGTACCGGTACTACCACTATCCCTTGGATCCAGCAATCCTCTAATGATTGGTTATCAAATCAAGAATATAATACGGATTACAAAACTGAGGAGGTAGGTCGTGCCTTTTGCGCCATTTTGTTTGGTAAATTAAAATATATTTATAAGTATTTTTAACAATAAAAGCCCAAGAAAATTATATTTTTATTGAGGTGATGTTTATTATGTCTTTTTATCTATATGAGCAAATATAATTATATAAATATTTTAATATAATAAGAATTGAGTAATTTAACACGATAGTATGCAAGAATGATTGATTTCTTAATTAATTGGTTAATCAATGTGTGCGCAGGAAGATACATACGAAGCTGGGATAGCAAACGATATGCGCGAGTTAGAACTGCGATGGGAATTTGAGCTGCGCGAACAGGAGAAGCATTGGTCCAGTGGAGGCGAGAAGGATACCATCACCTCCAAGAATAAGCAATAGGACGCCAATCTCCTGTCCTTTTTTCTCCTTTAGTTTTCCTTTTTCATCCATCTTTTGAGAAACGTGTATTTTTACATGTTAAAATCCATTTCCGATTCTATCTCCTCTGATTATAATAATATTGATTGAGGGTAAGTAGAATTCCTTCAATCTACGAAAGTCGGGGAATATATACACGTAGGCGTACGGACCTAAATCTTTTCTTGAGTATTTTTCACGTTAATTAAAATGTCATATATTAAAAAACGATTTTAAGTCTGAAATGATAATTTTAATTATCAACTGCGTTGAATGCATCAGTTCTCGACTGTTGAAATTAAGTAGCAATAACGCCACAAATACTTGGGCTAAATAACTACGTCAGCTTGCGGGAAAAAACGTCAGATTTAATATAATTTGTGTCGTTAACATAAATGAATATAATTCATTTAATATAATTTCCAAATTAAAAATCTTGATTGATCTCTTAAACTGACCTGTTGTCTCTTTTTAATTTATGAAAGAGATAAATAGGTGAGATAGTAAAATTTGCAAAAGAAAGATATATTTATTTTTATGGGATTTGTTAAAAATTTAGCTTAACACGCGGTCAGTGTTTTATAAACAATGACTCCGCGGGAGTATACTGGCGCGAAGAAGAATATATTAATTAACATATTTAATTATATGCAGATTTCGTATACTCTATATTGATGATACGATATCACATATACATATAATGAATATTACATTCGAAAAGAATGCTGATCGCGCTTGACCTGATCGATAAGGTTACACTCTGCGATGATAATAACAACACGTTATTACATTATATGCTTATACATATATTGTAGATACATGTGCTAAAGAAGAAATCGCGTTCCTTTTGAAGGACGCTATATTTATAGAATTTCTATATTCCGAAGACGGAAAGGAAAACGAAACCGCTACCTCGATTCGATGACGGTACTCTTTATAATATTTTGTTTCAAAATTTCTTTTCGAAGGAATCTTCTTTTTAAAAATTAATTCTCATTCTCCTTGTGCCAGAAATACACAAAAAGAAGCCTCATGCTTATATTTAATTAATAAAATCTGATGTTTAATAAATTGTCGTATAAAAGTGATGTGTAATAAATTTTCGTGCTGCAAGTACGCAATAACTCTGTATGAGGATTATTAAAATTAACATCAATTTTATTAATTAAATCAATTACCAAAATTCTGCTGAAAATTAGTGTTTCGAGAAAAATAAAGATGCGACTTTTGAGAACCGTCTCGAAAGAGGAGAGTCCAGTTATCCTTTTTAGGAAATCGTTGCAATAGCAATTTGAAATCGACTCTTTTTTTTCTATTTTTACGGAATAACAAAGAGCGATGAAAAACAATTCCAGTTTTAGTGGAAGCAAGATTTTTTTTTTATATAGACGGGATCTCATTGATTCCACTTTATAAATCCTCAGGAGGACGTACACTCGTACATACATTATACACACGGACACACAAACACACACACATATTTATACATATAATATACTAGAATGGAAGTAATCTTTTTTTTCTATCAAAAGAGCTATGGATAATTTGAGTCTTTCTCTTTTCAGTGATGTATGTACAATTACATCTGACGTTAAATTAATGCATTTCTTTTTTTTTTTTAGTACTTAGCATAATCAAAGATTATTCACATAAGAGTAATAAAGATGAATTATGCTGTTTTTAATTTAATTGGATTGTTATATATTTAAATTTTTACTTTTTAAAAAAAGAAAAAAATTACAGAATTAATGCATTAATTTTGTCTGAATTTTTGTGCAATTAAAATTTACTGTTTTATGGTTTTATATCCAAAAAATTTTTGGAATTAGTTTAAAATAGTTTTATAACAGTTAATGTATGTGGAAACTGAAAACGCATTGATCTTTTTTTGCATAATTAATTGTTTTGCATCGTCAATTTTTATTTGTTGCGAAAATTAAACTCGAAATAGGCTATAAAATAAGATGTAAAAAGTGCATTAATTCTTCTTCAAATTTAAGTTGTTTCAATTTTTTTCAAAATTTTTCTTTAGACTACATACTTAATCATTTTAGTATTAATATACGTATATGTGGCAATTATTTTGGAAAGTTTGTTTTAAAAAAAATGCTATGATAAAGAAATTCGCAATTTAATCGATATTATTTTGTTATTACTTAAATTTTATTATTTGACTTATGATTTATTATTGATATCGTTAATTTTTATCGAGATTTAAATCATTAAGATTATATATATGACTACGATATAACTATGCGAAATTAATTAATTAATTATGGCAAAATATCAATTGGCATATATTCTCTACAGCTAGCCTAGATAAAAATATTTAGTGCAATTTCATTCGTTCTTGTTCGTTATTATATATAATAATAAGTGCGATAAAATGTTTATTATATGAGTTTATAGATTTTGTGTACGCATATGCGCGCGCGCGCGTTTTTTTCACTAACTTTTGCAGTATATAATAACTATAATACGTGTGTGAGCGACTATTTAACAAAAATACTCAACATTTTTTTTAACAAGTAGTAAAATTCTCTTAAATGAAGATTACTTTTCCTACTAAAAAAATATCACTTACTTTTCTTAATTAAAAAATGAATAGAAATATTTTTAACATAAATATTTATATTTTTTATGAGTGTTTTGATACAATTGATTTTTTAAGAGAATTCCACATCTTTTAAGAAATTGTTTTTAATTAAGAAAAAAGTTTTTTATGACTATAAATCTACGTACATGCAATATATATATTATTTTTATACACACGTGCGCGCGCACATGTATATATAAGAATCATTATTATATATGTATAGCGTGTTGCTTCAGCGAGGACCATACGTTATATATGCACTTAGTCACGTGCCGCCGATTTCATTTTCTCTTTTTTTATTATCATTCTCGTACACAAAATGTTAATTAAAAAGAAGAAGTAAAGGAAAAGCGAAGATCAGGTTTTGGAAAAATCGAATTCCCGATAAAATCAGAATTCGTAATCAGTACTCGTAATTCCTTGATAAATATTCAATGCTAATGATTGCTAATTTTGCCGATGCACAGATTCTCTGCTGCCATTGGCGCGTGAAAATGATTCTGATACTTTTATCAATAATTCTCAAATAACAATTGTATTAATTATTAAGATCTGAAACTTTTTTTTTATATTTTACATTTTGTAAAATAAAATCAACTTATCAAGTTTCTTAAATGAATATTATAGTAATATTTGAAACTACTTAATAAAATAAAAGGCAGAGAGAATAATTATTTCTCTTATTAATTATCAAAAATGAAAATTTAATAAATTTTCGTGATAATACAGTTTATCAAGTTTCCTGATTAAGTCTCATAATAATATGATATTAATTAATTAATTATTTTTACTGAAGATTAGATTCCAGCGCGAAAATGACCCTTATAGCAGTTAATTTTTTAAGAGTCATTTTCGCGTGCCAAAGACGCAAGAGAGATCGAACACTGTCGAATGTATCAGACTCTCCTATATATAAAGGAAAAAATAATAATAATAAAAGAGAACAAAACCGGGAAGTAACAAGCGCAACGCGCGATGCTGTGTTTGTGCAAAAAGTGCTTCTGATTTATTATATTGCATGTTAAACATGTTCGCCAGAGCTACTACTATGTATGTACAGTTGAGATACATACGTGTCGATAATGGTATGACGATTCTACTTGATGTATTAACTTGTTCCTTGTTTGAACGTTATAACAATGCGATATAGAGTTATATCACATATCGGAGTATATGGTGATATATTATAGCCACTTAATGCACTTACCACTTATCAGTACAACAGAGACACGCTTATTCCACATGGTGAATCCGTTGTTCTGTATCTTTCTATTGGTACGCTAATAGCTATATAATTATTTATGATATAATTATAATATGACGAACTGCATGATCATACGATATAATTTAACCATTACGACAGTTTAATATGGTGTATATTGTAAAAGAGAATTACAATATTCAGATTTATAAAATATCTACGCTCTCTTGTGGGAAAATAATTTCGATTTTGATCCGTCACGATTTTAAATCTCTTTCTCTAAAAGTAGATAGATATTACATCCATGTCTAAAATTACGTGAATATGACGTTTAAATATGTTTCCATTATTGAAAAAGCATGAGCGAGTTTTCTTCTATTTTACTATCATACAGATCGAGATTATTTTCTCCAAAAAAAAAAAAAACAAAGTATATTCTTTTATAAAATTATAGTTAACACCAAAGCATCAAAATAGTCTTGTCATTACAGAAAATTTCATTCTAATTTATTTTAATCACGTAAGTTATGTAGAAAGAGCACTTTTGATAATAACAATGAAAATTAATTATTTATTATATCAATTGTAATGTAATAACAATCGCGCGCGCGATTTACGGAAGAAAAAACGACTGTTTTGCAGTGAAAAATTTTATACTCAATACAATGAAAACAAATTCATTATATATACTTTACTACAAAATAATTTGCTATGAAAACATCCATATATGTATGTACACTCGTGAATATACACATATGTACTCGTGCATTCGCATATATTTTTCAACAACTGTGTACTGTAAGTGTGAAAGTGTAATATATAAATATATTTATTTACTCACGAAGGCGAGATTTATGTGTAATAAAATTTTTATGTCTTCTCATTTTCCTTACTGCCCATCTCAAATTTTATAACAATACTTTACCCTATATATTTCAATTTTTGTTACCAATATGGCATACTCACAACGTTTCTGACGTGTAGTTATTCTCTTCCTTAGCATTGTGCGTTAAAAAATAAATTATAAAACAACCAACGTATGTTTATAATGCTGAAAAGTTGCGATAAATGGTACTAAACTTTTATATATATAACTTCCTCATTTCCAGAAATTAATATAAATTATGCTGATTACATATTTCCTTCTGAACTGATTTAAAGAATATATTTATCTCTTAGTAATTGAAAATTTGTTGGCATATTGTTTAAATAGCGAAATTAACAAATAATTTGCGTTACTGATCTAGGCTGATTAATTATAAAATATAATAAACTTGAGTGAAAATATAAATTATAGAGTTTAATCGAATATGATAAGTAAAATCGAATTTTAGGAAAGTAGAAATTTTTAAGCATGCCGAGAAAAATCAAATTTTTAAACAAATTTTTAATGGGCACGGAAATTTTATTGTCTTCTATTTAATTAACAAAGACGATCGCGAGCTCTGAAACGCTATCGTTTAAATAGGTGCGAGATATCTAACAATCTTATTATTAATTAATTACAACTTTTGCGATATCCGGAAAGTGATCGCATATTAATTACAACGATACTAATTTGTACATATAATATCAGCTTTAACATATAACACTTAAATATGTATGTACTTGTATTAAAATCTTGAATTTAAAAAATATATATAATTAATTTATGTAATATGAAGTTTTGCGAGAACTAGAAAGTAAAAAAAAGAAGGATGTGGCATATATAAGACACGATTAGCACGGACACGAACCACGTTCTAATGCTATAATTTGATCGACAATATTATAAGATAGATGTGGTACGTAGTTCCTTTTTTGAAAACGTGGACGTGGGGCGCTAGTGTACGAAGGAAAATCGTCGGTTCCCAAAAAGCCGGCATGGCCTCTCTCACGCTTCTCTCTGGTATTGTGCGGCACTGCGCATGCGGTCTACGGCGCATAATAGAGGTTATGGTGGAGAGGTGTCAGGTGATAGATGTGATACTTGATAGTACTAATTAGACTGATAATAGGGAGGGATATGACACCACGTATGACACATCGTGGCAAAAGATGTAAAAACTGCAATGTAAAAAGTATTTGTCAACGATGAATAGCATGTGAATAATTTTGCAGTCATTTCAATAATCTACCGAATGTAATTGTTTATAAAAATGAAAACGTATAATTGAACGGAAATCAATATCAATTTGGGCGAGACATGAGCTCTGTCACAGAAATGACGAACAACGATACACATAAAGATACGACAAATTTTTATATCGGTTTAGGACTAGCAATTAGCTCTAGCGGTTTTATAGGTTAGTGTAATATAAAAATGATTTAATAACGATATGTATGTATAATATAAATAGGAATAAATTCATTCAGAATTTTATGTATAAAAAAAATCAATATTCTGTATCTAATATATACGCAATTATTTATCTTTTTTTGTACAAAAACTAAAAAAATACGACGTACAAAAATTAATTATTTCTTTGTTGTTTTAATTTAGGTGCCAGTTTTATCATAAAAAAGAAGGCTTTAATTCAGCTCCAGAAGTACGGTGGATTGCGTGCATCGTCTGGTGGCTTTGGCTATTTAAAACAATGGATATGGTGGGCTGGTCTTTTATCTAGTACGTATAACATTTTAAAAATTCTTAAATGCAGGTAATTTTTTTATGATATTCATGTAAAAACATTCAAAATGAATGTTACAGTGGGCACAGGAGAAACAGCGAATTTTGTTGCGTACGCGTTTGCACCTGCGTCGCTTGTCACACCATTGGGCGCTTTAAGCGTTCTAGTATCAGCAGTATTAGCATCCAAATATCTCAATGAAAAATTAAATCTATTGGGAAAGGTAAAAAGTGTTCATAAGTAAAAACATTAATATTTACGATAATTATATGTATTCTTATACTTCAATTTTTTAATTTTTTTTAATTTTTTTAGATGGGCTGCCTGTTATGTATCTTAGGTTCCACGATAATAGTATTACATTCCCCGAAAGAAGAGGAAGTCAGCAGTCTAAGCGAATTAGTTGTCAAAATAAGAGAGCCGGGTTACATGTTATACGTTTTAATCGTGATAATGTCTACCTTGTCGATCATCTTTCACTTCGGTCCAGCATACGGCAACCAAAATATCCTGGTGTATATTTGCTTGTGCTCGTCTGTCGGCTCTCTGACCGTGATGAGTTGCAAAGGCTTGGGCTTGGCGTTAAAGGAGACTATCTCTGGCGGGGAGAACGCGTTTGCCAATTGGCTAACGTGGGCCTTCATATTTAGCGTTATCCTTTGCATCATGGTGCAAATGAATTACCTGAACAAGTCACTCGACCTGTTCGACACGTCTATCGTGACGCCAGTTTATTACGTCTTCTTTACGACTCTGGTGATAATAGCGTCCGCGATTCTGTTCAGGGAATGGACGAAGATGAGCGCGGAAAATATCCTAGGTGCCTCTTGCGGCTTTCTCGTAGTTATAATTGCCATATTCATGTTGAATGCTTTTAAAGAAATGGACGTAAATTACGGTAATATCAGGCACATGCTGAGGCCCAAGAGAGAAATGCTCTCGAATTATAATTCAAGATGGAGCGATCAAGAGGAAACGATTAACAGAGTGGAGGCCCAGCATTTGCTTAATCATACTTACGTGAGTTCAGATCTCACTAGGACTGTTTAAAAAATTATTTATTAAAAGAAACACGTGTAACCTGCATTATTTTAAAGTGATAGCACTTGTACAGCGACATTACAAGAGATAGATTTAAGAAAATAATTTATTGTTTCCACATTCTTCTCCGAGTGTAAATATGCTTTATATTGCCGTCGAGAGCAATAAAATAACTTTAAATGTGTCTCTTGTAACTTAATTATATCCTTATTTCCAAACAAAAAGAAAGTTTGTAAATAGATTAGAAAAATCTTTTTTTTCTTTTGGGTAAGGCTCCCAGTAAATAAAATATTAGCAGCATAACAGTTTGTCAGCGATTTTAAGCAAAAACATAACAAAATCTCTTATTGTTAAACCAGATTGTACTAACGTTATTTTAAGCAAGGCTTAAAATTCTGTTTTTTTTTTTAACTTTAGCGAGAGAGAAAATGAGTTTTAAGGCTCTCTTAAAGTCAAAATGACGTTGGTGTGATCAAATCTTAACAAACAAAATATGTATCACGTGATCAATAAAATGAATTGCTCTATTAAATTAATGGTTACGAAATGATAGATTCCATTCGAATTTCGCTGTCAATTCATCACATTTCGTTAGCAAAAATCTTTTATTTCTTATATTTTCAATCTTTTTTTACCTTTCTTTTTACAATGTAAAAAAAGAGCATTATAAACTCCAATCTGCGACTATCATGATTTGCAATTTATAATGATTAATCGGTAGCGAATAAAAAGTCATTGCATTTGTATTTTCAGATAAGGCGAGCTTATCACGTGATCGCGACTTGATATCGGACTTGTCGCGATTCGTCGGGTGGCTTCTGTCTACATGCAGAATGGCGTTCAACCTAGCCGCTTTTTCGTACATTGTAGCGTTAATCGGCGACGCGTTTCTAATATTCTTCGCGATATTTCACGTACGTATCTCCCACGGGAGATGTCCGCGTGACTAATTCACATCAGTGACAGCCAGCGGGACACGCCGATATAATTCCGATTATAACCTTAACGGATATATCGCGCGCACTTACAAGATAGTGTATATTACGTGATTATAACTTTTATTAAACTTTTCAGGTAATCACATTCGATGAATTAAAGACTGGATACAAAAATCCGATCGATCAATGTAATAATTTAAATCCGGTAAGCCCCATGTGTGTGCGTGTACCAGGTGCTGAACACCCGGACAGCCAAAACTGTCAAAGACACGTTTTGGAGAGCGTTTGCTACAAATTTCGACAGAATGTCAGCAGAAACAGAATCTATTAATGGAATGGCAGATTAATTGTAGAAAACTGAGCATCATACTTATTTTGTAATTGTTTAAGTAACATATTCCAATTGAATGATCGCAAACTAGCGCAGTCCGCTCAATGTCAGTCTTTTATACTGACAATCCGACGTCGGATTACAGAACTACGTTGGTAGATTTAAAATAGAGAATGCAGTTGATGTCAGTATTCTGCTGGCAAACTGTCAGCATAATCGCTAATGTTTTGTTGATACCAGAGGTACTACTTGTAATTGATAATTGTTTAATCCTTGCGTCTCAATTTCAGCTCGTTCTGCCAGAATATATACTGCACGTTGTGATCAATATTTTATTTCTGATTGGCGAGCAATACTTCTCGTTGTTCATCAACATCCCGCTCATTGCCTATCATGTGTGGCGATACATGAACAGGCCTCTGATGACAGAATCAGGCCTGTACGATCCTACGAGCATAATGAATGCTTATGACTTGTCCATGTACCATAGGGAGGGATGGATTAAACTAGCGTTTTATCTTCTGTCATTTTTTTATTATTTATA